TGTAATTTTCACAATTTTCTCTAAGGATAATTCACGCATTTTACAAAATTTTCTGATTTTTTCACAAAACTATAATTCACGCATTTTCAAATTTTCTACAATTTTCACAAAGAATTCACGCATTTTCATAAATTCATAATTTTCATACAAAGACTATATTCGCATCTAATTTTCACAATTTTTCAAAAAGACTATATTCACGCATTTTCACAAATTTTCACAATTTTTAACAAAAGACTATAATTCATATTTTCACAAATTTTCACAATTTTTCACAAAGACTATAATTCATTTTCATTGAATTCAATTTTTCACAAAGATTATCAAAATTAAATTTTCACAATTTTTCATACTAAGACTATAATTCACGCATTTTCACGAATTTTCACAATTTTTCACAAAAAGACTATAATTCAGGCATTTTTACAAATTTTCACAATTTTTCACAAAAAGACTATAATTCACACATTTTCACAAATTTTCACAATTTTTCACAAAAAGACTATAGTTCATGCATTTTTAAAAATTTTCATGCCAAGGACTATAGTCCATGGATTTTCAAAATTTTTCATGACAAAGACTATACTCCATGGATTATCACAAATTTTCATTCCAAAGACTATATAGTCCATGCATTTTCACAAATTTTCACAATTTTTCACAAAAAGACTATAATTCACGCATTTTCACAAATTTTTACAATTTTTAACAAAAACATGATTCACAATTTCACCACGCATTTTCATTTTCACAATTTCACAAATTACATTTTTAAATTTTCACAATTTTCATACTAAGACTATAACCATCATTTTCACATTTTTCACAAAAGAATATAATCAGGCATTTTTACAAATTTTCACAATTTTTTACAAAAAGACTATAATTCACACATTTTCATAAATTTTCACAATTTTTCACAAAAAGACTATAGTTCATGCATTTTTAAAAATTTTCATGCCAAGGACTATAGTCCATGGATTTTCAAAATTTTTCATGACAAAGACTATACTTATGGATTATCACAAATTTTCATTCCAAAGACTATATTCATGCATTTCATAAATTTAATTTTTTCACAAAAGACTATAATTCAATTTTCACAAATTTTCAAAATTTTAAAAGACTATAATTCATATTTTCAAAATTTTCACAATTTTTCATAAAAGACTAATTCACGTATTTTACAAATTTTCACAATTTTTCATAAAAAGATAATTGAAGATTTTCATTAAATTTCACAATTTTTCATTAAAAAGATTATAATTCACTTCCTAATTTTCATAATTTTCACAAAGAATAATTCATGCATTTCCAAATTTTCAAATTTTCACAAAAAGACTATAATTCATGCATTTTTGTTTTAATTTTCTCACAAAGAACAAATTCACCATTTTTTTTCAATTTTTCAAAGACTATAATTCACGCATTTTCACAATTTTCAATTTTTCAAATCTACTAATTTTTTCACAATTTTCATTAAAGACTATAATTCACAATTTTCACAATTTTCAAAAGAACATATTCACAATTTCATAATTTTCACAAAAGACAATTAATTCACGCATTTCCAAAATTTTCAAAGATATATTCACAAAAGACTAATTACTTATTTTCAAATTTTCACAATTTTTCATAAAGACTATAATTCACACATTTTCAAAATTTTCACATTATTTTTCATTAAAGACTATAATTATGCATTTTCTTCACAATTTCATAAAAATATAGACCATGAATTTTCATATTTTCATTAATTTTTCACAAAAAGACTATTATTCACACAATTTCACAAACTTTCCCAATTTTTCACAAAAAGACTATAATTCACATATTTTATCAAATTTTATGAAAAATTGTGAAAATTTGTGAAAATGCGTGAATTATTCTCTTTGTGCAAAACTGTGAAAATTTTTGAAAATGCATGAATTATAGTCTTTTTGTGAAAAATTGTGAAAATTTGTGAAAATGCATGAATTATAGTCTTTTTGTGAAAAATTGTGAAAATTTGTGAAAATGCATGAATTATAGTCTTTTGTGAAAAATTGTGAAAATTGAAAATGCGAATTATAGTGTTTTAGAAAATCGTGAAAATTTTTGAAAATGCGTGAATTATAAGCTTTTTGCGAAAAATTGTGAAAATTTTTGAAAATGCGTGAATTATAGTCTTTTGTGAAAAATTGTGAAAATTGTGAAAATGAATTATAGTCTTTTGAAAATTGAAAATTCCAGAAAATCGCGTGAATTATAGTCTTCTTTTGTGAAAAATTATGAAAATTTGTAAAAATGCATGAATTATAGTCTTGTGAAAATCAGGAAAATTCCAGAAAATGCGTAATTATAGTCTTTTGTGAAAATCAGAAAATTTTGTAAAATACGTGAATTATAGTCTTTGTGAAAATCATGAAAATTTTGAAAATGGTGAATTATAACTTTTTGTGAAAAATTGAAAAATTCCAGAAAATGCGTGAATTATAGTCTTTCTAAAAATTGTGAAAATTTTGAAAATGCGTGAATTATAGTCTTTGTGAAAATCAGAAAATCTTGTGAAAATTTGTAAAATGTGTGAATTATAGTCTTTTGTGAAAATAGAAAATTTAGGAAAATGCATGAATTATAGTCTTTTGTGAAAATTGAGAAAATTTGTGAAAATGCGTGAACTATAGTCTCTTTGTGAAAATTTTGAAAATTCCAGAAAATGCGTGAATTATAGTCTTCATGTAAAATCATGAAAATTTGTGAAAATGCGTGAATTATAGTCTCTTTGTGAAAAATCAGTAAATTTGTAAAAACGCATGAAATATAGTCCTTTGTGAAAATCAGAAAAAGTGAAAATGCGGAATTATAGTCTTTGTGAAAAACAGAATTCCAGAAAACGCGTGAATTATATCTTTGTTAAAAATCAGAAAATCCATGAACAATTACAGTCTTTGTGAAAATCAGAAAATTGAAAATGCGTGAATTATAGTCTTTTGAAAAATCAGAAAATTTGTGAAAATGCGTGAATTATAGTCTTTGTGAAAATTGTGAAAATTTGTGAAAATGCATGAATTATAGTCTCTTTTGAAAAATCAGAAAAGAAAATTTGGAAATGCGTGAATTATAGCCTTTTGTGAAAAATTGTAAAATTGAAAATGCATGAATTATAGTCTTTTTGTGAAAAATTGTGAAAATTTGTGAAAATGCGTGAACTATAGTCTTCTTGTAAAAAATTATGAAAATTTGTGAAAATGCATGAATTATAGTCTTTTTGTGAAAAATTGTAAAAATTTGTAAAAATGCATGAATTACAGTCTTTTTGTGAAAAATTGTGAAAGTTTGTGAAAATGTGTGAATTATAGTCTTTTTGTGAAAAATTGTGAAAATTTTGAAAATGTGTAAATTATAGTCTTTTTGTTAAAAATTGTGAAAATTTGTGAAAATGCATGAATTACAGTCTTTTTGTTAAAAATTGTGAAAATTTGTAAAAATGCGTGAATTATAGTCTTTTTGTGAAAAATTGTGAAAATTTGTGGAAATGCGTGAATTATAGTCTTTTTCTGAAAAATTGTGAAAATTTGTGAAAATATTTGAATTATAGTCTTTTTGTGAAAAATTGTGAAAATTTGTGAAAATACGTGAATTATAGTCTTTTTCTGAAAAATTGTGAAAATTTGTGAAAATGCATGAATTATAGTCTTTTTGTGAAAATTTGTGAAAATGCGTGAATTATAGTCTTTTTGTGAAAAATTGTGAAAATTTGTGAAAATACGTGAATTATAGTCTTTTTCTGAAAATTGTGAAAATTTGTGAAAATGCATGAATTATAGTCTTTTTGTGAAAAATTGTGAAAATTTGTGAAAATGCATGAATTATAGTCTTTTTGTTAAAAATTGTGGAAATTTATGAAAATGCATGAATTACAGTCTTTTTGTGAAAAATTGTGAAAATTTGTGAAAATACGTGAATTATAGTCTTTTTGTGAAAAATTGTGAAAATTTGTGAAAATGCATGAATTATAGTCTTTTTGTGAAAAATTGTGAAAATTTGTGAAAATGTGAATTATAGTCTTTGTATGAAAAATTGTGAAAATTTGTGAAAATGCATGAATTATAGTCTTTTTTAAAAAAATTTTGAAAATTTGTGAAAATTTGTGAATTATAGTCTTTTTGTGAAAAATTGTGAAAATTTGTGAAAATGCATGGACTATATAGTCTTTGGAATGAAAATTTGTGATAATCCATGGAGTATAGTCTTTGTCATGAAAAATTTTGAAAATCCATGGACTATAGTCCTTGGCATGAAAATTTTAAAATGCATGAAATATAGTCTTTGGCATGAAAATTTAGAAAATGCAAAGACTATAGTCTTTGGGATCAAAATGTGTGTTAGTCATGGCAGATGTAAATCCATGTTCCAGCGTAAATCTCTTGGATGAAGTGAATTTTAACAAATTGAAGAAAAAGCCAATATTGCAGGAAGCAAATGAGATAATCTTTCCTTAAAAAACAACTATCGATTAAAGGAAAATGTCAGTGTGTGGTCGAAACCGATAAACTATATGGGTTGGAGACATTTTTTGTTGTTAATGGGAATACGGGTTGCTTGCGCTATAGTCTTCGGTAGTAAAATGTGTGAAAATGCCTGAACTATAATGCAATTTCACAAATTTTCATGACAAAGACTATAGTCCATACTTTTTTACAAATTTTCATGCTAAAGACTATAGTTCATGCATTTTCACACATTTTCATGCCAAAGACTATAGTTCATGTATTTTTACACATTTTCATGCCAAAGACTATAGTTCATGTATTTTTACACAATTTCATGCCAAAGACTATAGTTCATGCATTTTAATGCCAAACCTATAGTTCATAGTCTTTTGGCACATTTTCATGCTAAAGACTATAGACCAAAGAAATGAAGTAAATGGTTAAGGTAAAAGTAAATGCATGAATTAAATGGTAAAATATGAAAATTTGAGAAAATGCACAATTATATTTTTGTGGAAACGACAGTAAAAGTTTCGATTTCTTATGTAATCTAGGGTTATGTTGGGATAATTTGGGGTTTTTACAAAATTACATTTGACAACAACATTTGTACATGATTACATTAAGATTTATGTTATCTACAATATAAAATTTGTGAAGTAATTGTTGTGTAAAATGAGCTAGTTCAACTATCACAAGTAGTTTTGTATTTGATGACATTACTTGAGTCAAGCATTAATATATTTCTTGACTCCTTAAAAAACATGAATTAAAAAAGTTAACGTTACATTTACAACCAAAATGTTCTGTCAGCATTCTTTCTTGAATTACTCAAAGATGATTAGTGAAGAAAAAACTTGTATATTAACTAAGCATAATGTGGTGATTATAAACATTTCTACGCTGATTTTCAACACTTTCTTATAAATATTATTAACTAAGCATTGTGTGGTGATTGTAAACATTTCTACGCTGATTTTCAACACTTTCTTTCCACTTCGTTACAGTACTATCTAGTCGGTTCAGTGTGTTTGAACGTTGTATTAATCTCTCTTGAAGCTGTAAAAACAGTAAAACAATTTTTTTCAGGATTTAATGTTTTCTATAAGCTTGAAAAAATTACATATTAACTCCAAACACACATTAACTAGCATATATTAATTGTTGTAAAAACTCATACATGTAACATGTTGAAACACCTCCTTCCATCACCTCACTGCAAATCTAAATACTCACAATCCTGCTTTCGTAACTTAAGCCAAATCTTCACAAAAAATTCAGCATGACAAACAAATTCTGTCTGTTTTTAAACATTTAACACTAACACTATACACCAAGACTAAGACTACACACCAACACTAACACTATACACCAAGACTAAGACTACACACCAGCTCTAACACTATACACCGAGACTAAGGCTACACACCAACACTAACACTATACACCAAGACTAAGACTACACACCAGCTCTAACACTATACACCAAGACTAAGACTACACACCAGCTCTAACACTATACACCAAGACTACACACCAACACTAACACTATACACCAAGACTAAGACTACACACCAACTCTAACACTATACACCAAAACTAAGACTACACACCAACACTAACACTATACACCAAGACTAAGACTACACACCAACACTAACACTATACACCAAGACTAAGACTACACACCAACACTAACACTATACACCAAGACTAAGACTACACACCAACACTAACACTATACACCAAGACTAAGACTACACACCAACACTAACACTATACACCAAGACTAAGACTACACACCAACACTAACACTATACACCAAGACTAAGACTACACACCAACACTAACACTATACACCAAGACTAAGACTACACACCAACTCTAACACTATACACCAAGACTAAAACTACACACCAACACTAACACTATACACCAAGACTAACAAAGTAACATTAGAAGCACTTTAAATTAATTTTCAAGCAACATAACATCACTAATCACCCTATTAATATAAATAACTTCCATGTCTATTTCTTTGTCCACCCACATATCATGTCTCATACTTCAGTATAAATCAACCTGTTTGTCAACATTTTATTTACTTGGCACTGGCTACGACTAAAGTAAGCTGACACATGCGTTCAATAAAAAAGTTTAAAAGTTGTCATTTAAGTTAAATGCTCAATTACACATTGCTTATCTTATGCAACTTATTGAAAGATTATTTAAGGATTTATTTACTTTTGAGAATGGACACTTTTGATTAGTGCTCTAAGAAGCACACTTACAAAAAATTCCTAATCATGGTATATAAGTAATCCAAACTGAAGCACACCTAAAAATATAATTTTCAGACATTACTTACCACATCAGATCGAACACTAAGTTCACGAGGTTTCCACAGAGATAATATTGACAACATAATCATATAAATAATAAGAATTACCAAGACAACCACAATGAATGTTACTACAACCTGAAATGGAAAAACAATATTTGTTTTAACATTTAATGTCATATCAAAATTAGATGAAGTATCAATAACAAACATTGACCTTAATTAACACTGTGTTTCTTGCTTCGTAGTCGCAGCGACAACGTAGACATTTGCTTTCTTCCAATTGTATCAAGTTTACACAGGTGCTGTAACATAACAATTGGCTATGTTGACTTTGTAATTTGTAACAAATAACAAGAAAAATTTAACATTAATCATGACTACACATGTTTCGACTCAAACTAGGTGAAATAATGCTCTTACGTATTTCTAGATTACTTTAAAAACTTTAAATTGTTATCTACTCAAGGCATTTTAGGTTGTGATAAAGAATCATATCTTGTTTCGTAATCACAAGTTCAACACCACAAGTTGGAAAATACGTATCTTAAAGATTTGGTGAAATACAACATGTTTGAATATAAATATGCTTTGTTAAGTCACACTTGACATTTATGAAGAACTATTGTTCAATAACAGCACATGCAAGATGGAATAAAGCTTTATTTATAAATACAGTTACATACGTAGTAGACTAGTAGTTAACACAGCTGACTGGCAGCAGGTTTTAGTCCTGAGATATAAACTTTAAATTTCAGAACATCATAACTCATTTATAAACAAAGTTACATACGTAGTAGACTAGTAGTTAACACAGCTGACTGGCAGCAGGTTTTAGTCGTGAGATATAAACTTTAAATTTCAGAACATCATAACTCATTTATACACACAGTTACATACGTAGTAGACTAGTAGTTAACACAGCTGACTGGCAGCAGGTTTTACTCCTGAGATGTAAACTGTAAATTTCAGAACTCATTTCTTCAGCTCAGTTGTTCAATATAGACAACTCAGTTGTTATTTTCTTAATTGTTTACTACAAAACGACGAACATCGCATTTTTAATTTACTTTTACTAGTATTTAACTTTTATTGTATTTAATGCAATTTAGCGTTACATTCAATATTTCTACAAACATATAACTGATTTCTTCAGAAATTTATTGCTTTCACAGTAAGTCAACAGATAGAAATTCACAAAAAAAGGCTAAACAAACAGGATATCTACAATATTTAACGTACCAATTATGCACTGAGACAAACTTGATTACAACATTACGTTTCAAAACGTCTCTTGGACAAACACATTTGCATCGTACATCGCCATATTGTGCCTAAAATATTAAATTTTCATATGTTTACAATGCTGTTGTTGTTAAAATTACCACGAAGAAAAGTACGATAAATGGAATATAAAAATTTATAGTACATGAAGTTAGAATGTGAGGTTTGAATGGATTTAAATATACTTTATATCGCTAATAAACAGAAAGATGATTTAGCATACCTCTGTAACCTTGAGGAAAACAACAAAAGTTAATAAATAAAGATTCATCTTTGATAAAATAAGCACATATTTAACGATAAATAGCTAAAACATTTGACCTTCGATTACGATGTAAATAGTTTTGATAAAATTAACGACAGCAATCGTCGTCCAGCGGTACGTATAAACAAGTATCTACTTCATGCTATTATAACCAACAATATTGACAAATCAGTTGCCTTTTCTTAACTGTTTACTACAAAACGATAAACATCGCATTTTTAATTTAATTTTACTAGTATTTAACTTTTATTGTATTTAATTCAATTTAACGTTACATTCAATAACATTTTTAATGAAAAGTATAAAATTTGATGTTTGTAAAACTTGATCAATTACAAACCAGTGTACAACAGACGTCATATAAAAATGCAGAACAAAAATATTTTCTTATTATACACAAAGAAAAACAGGCGAATGAAATAGAAAGGTGAATAAATTTTATCACCAAAACCTCCATCAACAATATTTTTTTCTTTTTGAGTAAGAAACATTTATAAAATTCAAGAACACGAGTTTTCTATAGACTTTAGAGTTAAGATACAAATATGGAAATAATTATAGACGCGATGTTGCAATATTTTGATATCTTGTAAAGAACTAATATCCGAAGTAAAATTTTCTTACCATCATAAGTTTTAATCTCTTTCTTTTCCACGTTGCTCTGCTTTCAAGAAAAGCAACGATTTCTTCACTATCAATAAGACCTCGCAAACAAAATTAGTACAGCAGTACAATAAGAGGCGATTTACATGAATTTCACTCGTTTATGCAACAACTACGACAACAATTAAGGTAAAACGTTTTTCACAAAAACAAGTAACAATGTATCATATACTTTGGTTTTAATCAAAAAACATATTGTAAACACAATTAAACAATATAAAAATTACCTGTTTTACAGGTAATTACAATTTCTCAGTAAGTATAAAGTAAAAATTGCGCGTTTCTCTCAGTTAAATTCGCAGTGAAATAAAACAAAAATCACAAATATGTCCCAACAAAAATCTTGCTCTGTCTTTAACCTTACTTTGTATCACAAAGCAAGGCAACGCCACGTAAAATCCAGTGATCAGGATGTTGTAAAGTCTTCAAATTCAGACAGAATATGTATGTTAGATCGGTTCTTCGAGGTTTCTTGTAAACTGGACATTCATATAAACGTGGATCTTTTGCCGATGTGGTATTCACAGCGTAAACATGTACGACAGGAAGATTTGTAAATAGTACCTTTGCTTGAGGTTCAACGAGCCTGCAGTTACGACGATCCCAACCAGCGCCATCTAAGAACAATCCATAAACATACACACCTTCTACAGGTGCAGACGTAAGATCTTCTTTCATGTATTTCGTAACATCATTGCTCAAAACAACACAATCTAGAGCCCAACCTTTATGAGCACGTGTGATTTCTTGACGCATGGCAGTAAGAAAGCCCTAAGAAAGATAGAGGTCACTGATGAAAAACAATTTAACGAGTTAACTTATACGTCATGTTCAAATTTACTCATACGTCATGTTAATGTTCAGTCATACGTCATGTTCAAATTTATTCATACGTCATGTTCATGTTCAGTCATACGTCATGTTCATGTTCAGTCTTTCTACGTCATCTTCATTTTAGTCATGCATGGAACGTAACCTGAAGAAGCATATAATTGAAACCAAATCTTACATCCAGACACGCGTATGTAGTGTTTCGAGATTCTCTCGCGGGGTGAAAATTGACTGAACTACACACGTGTGTCTGGGTGTAAAATTTGGCTTCAAAAACTTATTAGAATTTTCGATTACAGGTAGCGTTCCTGTATTATAGTTCAATGGTTCAGTGATACGTCAATTTCATGTTTAGTCATACGTCATCTTCATGTTTAGTCATACGTCATCTTCATGTTTAGTCATACGTCATCTTCATGTTTTGTCATACGTCATCTTCATGTTTTGTCATACGTCGTCTTCATGTTTTGTCATACGTCATCTTCATGTTTTGTCATACGTCATCTTCATGTTTTGTCATACGTCATCTTCATGTTTTGTCATACGTCATCTTTATGTTATGTCATACGTCATCTTCATGTTTTGTCATACGTCATCTTCATGTTTTGTCATACGTCATCTTCATGTTTTGTCATACGTCATCTTCATGTTTTGTCATACGTCATCTTCATGTTTAGTCATATGTCATCTTCATGTTCAGTCATGCGTCATGTTTAGTCATACATCATCTTCAAGTTTACTGATGCCCAATGCTAATATTTACATATTTTTTCATTTTTACCTGAGGATTAAAAAAGCCAGTCATCCAAAAGCAAATAGGTCTTCCCTCAAAAAGCCAACTGTAGAATTGATTATTTCTTTCTATAAGATCAGTGAACCAAAATCCTAAAGTCGTCGACTCCCAAGAGATCTAAAACAGTGATATAGAATCAGTAATCCCCAAATAACACATAATGTTGAAGCAAAGCGTAAAGCACCTTTTTCCAAAGTCCTGGAACTCTTGCATCGTAAATATTATCCAGGGCATCTTTGAGATTTTCGCTCATTATAATAGTACCATCAATAGCCAGTTTTAGATCCACCAAAGTGTTTCGTACTGTTGAAATAACACGTTGCATACGGTCAACTTCTTGTCGAAGGAAAATATTCATTGATGTTAATGCCCCCATCTTTTGAAGACGAGCTTTTACCTTAAGATAAAAGAATCATTAAATTATTTTCGAGAACAACCAATCAATATAGCAAAAGTAAATGGTTTGAACCCGAGAGTAACGTTACATGTTTGTAGACGTAGATCGTCCAGGTTAGTAGAGTCCTGAGCAGGAATGTTGGTGTTGTTGTAGACTGACGTTTAAAAAACCTTGACGGTCGTTTTCCAAGCTTGTCGAAACATCAGTCACCGACAACATCAACAGTTCTTCTCAGGAGTCTAGTAACCTACCTAGTCAATATACATCTACAAACATATATCTATCAAAAAAGTCTTTGTAAACTTCCTTAGAAAGCAACACATTAATGCGACGCCGTTTCTATAGCAGTCCCTCGGCCTTAAAATTACGGCATCCTTCTGTAACGAATGTGAAAATCCGTGTATTAAAACAATATATTACTTCATGAGGTACGTAGTTTCCCGGGAGTTTATCGAGCATTTCCGACGCCTGTCTGAACACGACAGTTTCACGTGTCTCTCCACCACCTCCACCGCTGTCTTTAGGTTGAATATTAACAATTGTCTCCAAGACATCTGTCGTTGTTTTAGCTTGATATGTTATATCTGCGTTAGGATGAAGTCCGAACACCTGTGATATAAAACATTTTAATACACTTCATGTAAGTCATGTTGAACTGTATATTACAAGGCTACCACAACGATCCTTGATGCAAATTTGCTAAAAATCACCAGAGAAATAATTTTCGATTCAACACCTACTTCTGGTGTATCCGTTAGCGGCAACTCCTCAATAGCAGATCTGAAGTCGGCAATTTGAGCGCACCGTGGGATCTGGTAACCAGTGTAGAACTTAAATGATTCGTCAAAAAGAGCATCCGTAAACCACACATGCGCATATGTATTTAACAATCGTTTATCAAAATCATCGGTGACGCGTCCTCCATATTGTACTTCACCAATCATATAATGAACAGTAAGCCACGAAACACCCTGAAGTATCATGAAATATAGCAATGAGCTGGAGTGTAGAGTTGAAATAATTGCTTCGTGAGTAAAACACATGATAATTTAATAAAGTGAATGGTTTAAAGCAGGGAGTATCGTAACATGTTTATAGATGACTACCGCTAAGGTTGGCGAAACGTCAGTCAACATCAACAACAGCAGTATTTCTGAGGATTCTACTAACATGGACGATCTCCATGCACAAACATGATAATTTAATGCCACATCTGACCTTCTTCACATCCATATCGTCTAAATGATTCTGTATAAACTGCACCGTAGCACCAAGATCAGCAGAGTTAAATTCATAAGGAATGTTCCATCCAAGGGGACCGAATTTTCGTCTTTCTTGAACAACAGTATGAAGAAATGCGGCAGCGTAGAGCATGGGTTTCCATTGAGGCATGTTTGTTACATCGAGCTGATCCTGAATAATACACAAATAAAAATGATATCAATCATTGTAACCATATGCTTCATTTTATACATAAATATACATAAATACTACTGCTGTACCAGTGTTACCATATGCTTCATTTTATACATAAATATACATAAATACCACTGCTGTACCTGTGTTACACCAGCATATGTTCTCTTGAGTCCTGCCTTGATGCCTTCAGGTGGCTCATTCGTAAATTTGATGGAGGATTGGAGAAAGTTGATGGGAAATTTGGGATGTTCTTCAGTTGTGATCCACAACCGAAAGTTGGCATTCACAGTCTCAGTTGTCAACACCTCAAGAAAATAACACACATAAAATAAAGATTGAAAAAGACGACACTACATTTAACTGGACACATACTTCACGTCATAAAATCATTTCATCACATTAACAAGAGCGAACAATATTAATAACATACTGTATCAAGTAGTTCATCAAGAAAATTTAATCCTAAATGACAGTTCTGTAAGAGCACCCAGCCACCATCAGCCATAAATTGTTGTAAAAGTCTTCGAGCATGAACTTCCTGACCTTGACCCATAGAAATAGCACGACATTCTACATTATGTAATAAAACCACTTTAGCTTTCACGTAGCGTCTATTTTGTCAAAATTATAGACGTATTCCGCCTAACACCAATGATATTTGATCACATAAAAATAAACAGTTGATAGGAGATAATTTCTATGTTAATAAAACAAACCAAGTCTGTTCTTCTTCGAGAGCAGCTCAATGGAAGCGGTTGGATCGGAACCCATAGAAAGTAAACAAACCATTGGTATTCTAGGATCACTTTCTTCCCACATTCCTTCCAAATTTAGAATGACTCCCTCGGCAAACTATAACATACATGTATGTTAATGTAAAATATCACATGTCAATGTAAAATATCACATGTCAATGTAAAATATCACATGTCAATGTAAAATATCACATGTCAATGTAAAATATCACATGTCAATCTGCTAAAATAAAAATTTGGGTTAGACTATTGCAGTACCTGAGTACCAATGGAGTCGGCAATATAACGTCTAGCCTGACTCAAAGTTCGATCTGGACACCATGAACGTATTAACAGAAGCTTTCGAAATGTATCTAATGATTCTTCATAACCATCAGGTATTGGACTATCTTCGGGACTGTCTGAATCAAACCAATTTTTCCAACTCCGGTCATTTCGAGAGATCTAAAGCAGTTAAGCAACATACCGATATGAGATATCGATAAAATACTGTTTTCTAAATGGTATCAAGACGTCAATGAAAACGTGTTCCTTTAGATGTTAACTTCATAACATAATGTAAAGAAATGTAGAACTTTTATGATAATAATGACGATAACCTGGCCAATAATTTGAGAGAATTGTTGTAGTTTACTGAGTTGTACAAGATTCAACCAAGTCATGTCTGAAATCCATTTCTTCGGCTTTGGTTGGACAGCATTGAGATCCAATGCAGCTCCCCCTGAATAACAGATATAGACATATAATGTATATATGAATGAATGACTCTACAAAATAATCCATGCAATATGTAACCGAACATCCTGTATCCTAAGTACAAGAGTAACCAAGAGTAACCCATATATGAATACATTATATATATATGAATACATTATGTATATATGAACACATTATGTATATATGAATACATTATACAAAGTGTATAACAATGTGCCCTCCCGGCTATCACCACAGTAAAATGGTGACTCCTGCTCTTGGAACACAGGATGTACGGTATATGAATACATTATGTATATATGAATACATTATATGTAGTGATGTTGAAAAAAATCACGAAACCTACAAAATCATCCAGACAAGCCTGTTTCGTGATTGCTCACTCTTCAGGGGATTTAAAGGGGATTTAGGGGATTGTCAGGATGAATCTGTAGTTTTCGTCATTTTTCCAACATCACTACACATACTTACGCCCTGCTCTCGGGCATCGTGCACTGTTTTATACGAAGAAGCATCACATATAAACTTCTTATGAATACATTATGTACAAATATGAATACATTATGTACAAATATGAATACATTATGTACAAATATGAATACATTATGTACAAATATGAATACATTATGAATGCATCATCCTTATTAGTCGCCTTACAACTGTTTTTCCATACAAGTTGTTTCTCCAAAAGGAAAAAAGAAACATAAATACTCTACATAAAAGACGTTTCTCAACCTCAAAAGAATGAAAAGCGTATGTACAAACGTTAAATCGTTATGCTCTTTTGAAGAGCACATCAATTACCTTTGATGAGCACCTGAAACTCGTCTTGTTTAATTTTACGATCCTGTAGTTCAATTTTTAACGCCAATAACAACGTGAAGAGAAATTTATGACTTTCGTAAAGACCACGAGTAGTATATCTGAAAATATTAAAGTCTTTACAAACATCTCCAAAAGTATACCCCTCCCCTTCCACTCGATAGAAAAATCAACATGTCAATACGTATACACCTCTCCTGATGTCAACCAACCACCTCCTGATATAATCCACCCACCTCCTGATATAATCCACCCACCTACTGATATAATCCAACCACCTCCTGATATAATCCACCCACCTCCTGATATAATCCACCCACCTACTGATATAATCCACCCACCTACTGATATAATACACCCACCTCCTAATAATCCATCCACCTCCTGATATACCCCACCAACCTCCTGATATAATCCACCCACCTCCCCATATAATCCATCCACCTCCTCATATACCCCACCAACCTCCTCATATAATCCATCCACCTCCTCATATAATCCATCCACCTCCTCACATACCCCACCAACCTCCTGATATAATCCACCCACCTCCTCATATAATCCATCCACCTCCTCATATAATACATCCACCTCCTGATATAATCCACCCACCTCCTCATATAATCCATCCACCTCCTCATATAATCCATCCACCTCCTCATATAATCCACCCACCTCCTCATATAATCCATCCACCTCCTCATATAATACATCCACCTCCTGATATAATCCACCCACCTCCTTATATTTCAACCAGTAAATAAGATACAAAAGCAAAGATAAAACAAAGGTTTTCTTACCTAAAGACTTCAAAAGTGAGATAGTCAATGATATTCTGAATTCTTTTGGCAGGAATTGGAGACTTTTGAGATCGCGCCATTGAGATATCAAATAAACCAAGAAATTGCTTCAGTGATGTTTGATACATGATGTTAACATAGGACATTTCAACGATCAAGAAATACAATATACTGCCACGTGATGCAACTATAATAAACATAAATAAATACAATATACTGCCACGTGATGCAGCTATAATAAACATAAATAAATAAAATATACTGCCACGTGATGCAATTATAATGAACATAAATAAATACAATATACTGCCACGTGATGCAACTATAATAAACATGCATAAATACAATATACTGCCACGTGATGCAACTATAATAAACATGCATAAATACAACATACTGCCACGTGATGCAACTATAATAAACATGCATAAATACAATATACTGCCACGTGATGCCACTATAATAAACATGCATAAATACAATATTGCTTTTACGCATAGCGGAAGCACGCCAGGCCAGTAACGGCCAACGACGTAAGGGGTTTAAAAAAACTGCATATGTTGAAAAACAGAATGAAGAATACAGACAAAATGCCAATAGTATTATGACTGAAAATTTGCGTACTCCTCTCCACAAACTAATAAAGTTCATACGAATCAACTGGACCACCTTGCACTGATGTGAGACTATACATACTATTGCGTACAAATGAGAACTAGAACTAAGCACAGTTGATGGCAAAATCCATAGAAAACTCTCATCTCAAGCATGTTGTGAAAAAGCGTTACTTCATTAAGAAGAAAAAGTACTTCAACTTCTAAAAAAAAAAGTATTTACCAGGTCTGTATTCCTCTCTTGCTGTATTGATCTTAACTTCAGTTTCAGCAGCAACAATAAGTTTCTCACTCACTTCCTCCGACGTCGTCTTTGTAATACCCAGTACACTTATGAGAGAGTCATCGTCAACAAGTGATCCTTGAGTGCTCGTCAAACGATACAATAAATTATCTTCAAGATCTTTCATTTTACGTTTGTTTGATGTTACTTCCTCCATTAATTTCGTACGTTCTGCCTCGAGTTCCTAAAACAACAAAAAATAGATTTAATGAGATGTACACCCAGTGTCCATCATAGTCCCAGCTTTGGCTATAGGAGATGTACACCCAGTGTCCATCTTAGTCCCAGCTTTCGCTATAGGATATGTACACCCAGTGTCCATCTTAGTCCCAGCTTTCGCTATAGGAGATGTACACCCAGTGTCCATCTTAGTCCCAGCTTTCGCTATAGGAGATGTACACCCAGTGTCCATCTTAGTCCCAGCTTTCGCTATAGGAGATGTATACCCAGTGTCCATCTTAGTCCCAGCTTTCGCTATAGGAGATGTACACCCAGTGTCCATCTTAGTCCCAGCTTTCGCTATAGGAGATGTTCACCCAGTGTACATCTAAGTCCCAGCTTTGCCTATAGGAGATGTAGAGAGAATTTAACAAACACGGGTGAAATTGCACGGGTACACGTACAAAGTAGCCACCAAAATAGCTGCAGCAAACCCCTCCTGGATCCATTTATGAAAACAACAATCAACAAATTCCGTCTAAATTCTCGCCATTCCCCCCGTTTTATAAGTGAAGAATGAATGCAAAAAAAGAACATGACATTTCAACCTGTTTTTCAGTAAGAATCACACGACCCAGCAACTGATCTTCTAAACCTTTCATAGTCACGGTAAAGTCAATAATTGAGGTTTTTGCACTGATCTCTGGCGTGTAAGCTGGATTGCCAAGTTTGGTCGTTATATAAAGAACAAAACCCTCCATTACATCAACTTCTTTATCCCCAACTTTAACCTACAATACAAGAATAATCGAGAAAGACATTAAGAAACAGCAGAAAGACTAACGCAATAAATTGATTCTTTAGATTAGGATGAAATACAACGCAGCTGACCAGATTTGGATGTATTGATGGGTACTTTACCTTAAATGTACGGATGTATACAGATGTATATCTTAAGTGTATGGATGTGTACCTTTCGTGTATGGATGTGTACCTTTCGTGTATGGATGTGTACCTTTCGTGTATGGATGTGTACCTTTCGTGTACGCATGTGTACCTTTCGTGTATGGATGTGTAACTTTCGTGTATGGATGTGTACCTTTCGTGTATGGATGTGTACCTTTCGTGTATGCATGTGGACCTTTAGTGTATGCATGTGGACCTTTCGTGTATGCATGTGGACCTTTCGTGTATGGATGTGTACCTTTCGTGTATGCATGTGGACCTTTCGTGTATGGATGTGTACCTTTAGTGTATGCATGTGGACCTTTCGTGTATGGATGAGTACCTTTCGTGTATGGATGTGTAACTTTCGTGTATGGATGTGTACCTTTCGTGTATGGATGTGGACCTTTCGTGTATGCATGTGTACCTTTCGTGTATGTATGTGTACCTTTCGTGAATGCATGTGTACTTTTCGTGTATGCACGTGTACCTTTCGTGTATGCATGTGTACCTTTCGTGTATGCATGTGTACCTTTCGTGTATGCATGTGTACCTTTCGTGTATGCATGTGTACCTTTCGTGTATGGATGTGTACTTTTCGTGTATGGATGTGTACCTTTCGTGTATGCATGTGTACCTTAAGTGTAGATCCACTTTTCATAAAGTTCTTTTCGAGGATGTTATCCAGGACAGGATCAAGCTCTTCACCAACATCTTGAAGTAATAAAGGTTTCCCAAGTGACAATGCATCATCAAGATGATTTCTGAAGTATTTGTTGTTTAAGGATGTCACCTACATGTAACATGATAAAATATCAATGAAATCAATGAAATAAAAATATTGAACAAAAAAAAAACAAGAGTAAAGAAACTCCATTTAAATATTTGTAGATGTAGATCATCAAGGTCGGGTGAAGTCCTGAGGAAGACTGCAGGTGTTGATGTTAACTGACGTTATACGACAACCTTAGTCAAAGTTCTTTAAATCAAACAAACTTAACAGAAGATAAACTTTTATATGATCAATAGCCGTATGCAATGCAGTGTTCTTTAAGTCACAGTAAGTAGATAAAACCACAGTATGCAATGCAGTGTTCTTTAAGTCACAGTAAGTAGATAAAACCACAGTATGTAATGCAGTGTTCTTTAAGTCACAGTAAGTAGATAAAATCACAGTATGTAATGCAATGTTCTTTAAGTCACAGTAAGTAGATAAAACCACAGTATGTAATGCAGTGTTCTTTAAGTCACAGTAAGTAGATAAAACCACAGTATGTAATGCAGTGTACTTTAAGTCACAGTAAGTAGATAAAACCACAGTATGTAATGCAGTGTTCTTTAAGTCACAGTAAGTAGATAAAACCACAGTATGTAATGCAGTGTTCTTTAAGTCACAGTAAGTAGATAAAACCACAGTATGCAATGCAGTGTTCTTTAAGTCACAGTAAGTAGATAAAACCACAGTATGCAATGCAGTGTTCTTTAAGTCACAGTAAGTAGATAAAACCACAGTATGTAATGCAGTGTTCTTTAAGTCACAGTAAGTAGATAAAATCACAGTATGTAATGCAATGTTCTTTAAGTCACAGTAAGTAGATAAAACCACAGTATGTAATGCAGTGTTCTTTAAGTCACAGTAAGTAGATAAAACCACAGTATGTAATGCAGTGTACTTTAAGTCACAGTAAGTAGATAAAACCACAGTATGTAATGCAGTGTTCTTTAAGTCACAGTAAGTAGATAAAATCACAGTATGTAATGCAATGTTCTTTAAGTCACAGTAAGTAGATAAAACCACAGTATGTAATGCAGTGTTCTTTCAGTCACAGTAACTAGATAAAACCACAGTATGTAATGCAGTGTTCTTTAAGTCACAGTAAGTAGATAAAACCACAGTATGCAATGCAGTGTTCTTTAAGTCACAGTATGTAGATAAAACCACAGTATGTAATGCAGTGTTCTTTAAGTCACAGTAAGTAGATAAAACCACAGTATGTAATGCAGTGTTCTTTAAGTCACAGTAAGTAGATAAAACCACAGTATGCAATGCAGTGTTCTTTAAGTCACAGTAAGTAGATAAAACCACAGTATGCAATGCAGTGTTCTTTAAGTCACAGTAAGTAGATAAAACCACAGTATGTAATGCAGTGTTCTTTAAGTCACAGTAAGTAGATAAAACCATAGTATGTAATGCAGTGTTCTTTAAGTCACAGTAAGTAGATAAAACCACAGTATGTAATGCAGTGTTCTTTAAGTCACAGTAAGTAGATAAAACCATAGTATGCAATGCAGTGTTCTTTAAGTCACAGTAAGTAGATAAAACCACAGTATGTAATGCAGAGTTCTTTAAGTCACAGTAAGTAGATAAAACCACAGTATGTAATGCAGTGTTCTTTAAGTCACAGTAAGTAGATAAAACCACAGTATGCAATGCAGTGTTCTTTAAGTCACAGTAAGTAGATAAAACCACAGTATACAATGCAGTGTTCTTTAAGTCACAGTAAGTAGATAAAACCACAGTATGTAATGCAGTGTTCTTTAAGTCACAGTAAGTAGATAAAACCACAGTATGTAATGCAGTGTTCTTTAAGTCACAGTAAGTAGATAAAACCACAGTATGTAATACAGTGTTCTTTAAGTCACAGTAAGTAGATAAAACCACAGTATGTAATGCAGTGTTCTTTAAGTCACAGTAAGTAGATAAAACCATAGTATGCAATGCAGTGTTCTTTAAGTCACAGTAAGTAGATAAAACCACAGTATGTAATGCAGTGTTCTTTAAGTCACAGTAAGTAGATAAAATCACAGTATGCAATGCAGTGTTCTTTAAGTCACAGTAACTAGATAAAACCACAGTATGTAATGCAGTGTTCTTTAAGTCACAGTAACTAGATAAAACCACAGTATGTAATGCAGTGTTCTTTAAGTCACAGTAACTAGATAAAACCACAGTATGTAATGCAGTGTTCTTTAAGTCACAGTAAGTAGATAAAACCACAGTATGTAATGCAGTGCTCAAGTCACAGTAAGTAGATAAAACCACAGTATGTAATGCAGTGTTCTTTAAGTCACAGTAAGTAGATAAAACCACAGTATGCAATGCAGTGTTCTTTAAATCACAGTAAGTAGATAAAACCACAGTATGTAATGCAGTGTTCTTTAAGTCACAGTAAGTAGATAAAACCACAGTATGTAATGCAGTGTTCTTTAAGTCACAGTAAGTAGATAAAACCACAGTATGTAATGCAGTGTTCTTTAAGTCACAGTAAGTAGATAAAACCACAGTATGTAACGCAGTGTTCTTTAAGTCACAGTAAGTAGATAAAACCACAGTATGCAATGCAGCGTTCTTTAAGTCACAGTAAGTAGATAAAACCACAGTATGTAATTTCACTAAAAAAACAACCCACGATCGATACAACGATCTTTCCAACCTGTAAGTCTTGAGCAGCTTCTTTGTTCTTTATCCAAGCTTTACCTTGACCCTAAACAGAAAAAAATCCAACATACATCATTGACAAGAACTTTACGAACATTTCCACTGCTGCATCTATCAAACCTGCGGATCAATGAGCAAAGGATATCTTGTCGCCTTGGTAACAATGATACCGTTTTGTATGGAGAGTTCGTCGTTAGGAAGACCTTGGAGATTCCATTCACCAATCGTCGCAGAATCTGTCAGCATTTCAGTTAAATTGAGATCTTCGGAAAAAGGAATTTTATTCCTCTTCATCATGTTTTTCCAGTTGGAGAGAAGGAGATTTCTAAACTCTTGATTGAAAGGTCCGGAGTAAGAGAGAAAGCCAGTAGCCAGTAAAACATCACCAACCAAGCTGAAATTATACATTATATTATACACTTCCTCATTTGTCATGGAGAAAGGAATGAAGACGACATTTCAAGAACGTTAATTGTCATAGAAATGCCATAAAAAGATGCGTAATAAATACCGTCGTATCTGTTCTGCAAATCTCCTGCTTTGCTCCGTCCATCTGACCTTTTCTCCACCAAGACCTTCAATAAGTGCTGTTGCATTAGACATTTTACGACGACATGCTTCGGCATCGTCAATCAACATCTGTTTTTCTCTCATTGCTTCGTCAAATTTCGCTTGTACAGCGTCTAATTCACGTTGCTTATCGTCGAGTTGTTCCTGAGCAGCATTCAGTTCAGATGTCGCCTTTTGTAGTCTTGCTTCTTGTACGACAAGGTTTGCCTACAGTCAGGTAAGTACATGTTACACATTCATACATACATCATATTAAAAAGGGAAAGGTTAATGACTGTGTTCTTTCATATTAAATTTTCATCAAACGACTATAGTAACACTGTGTTTTCCCTTCATGTACTATAGCAATCCACAAATATCATCAAACGACTATAGTAACACTGTGTTTTCCCTTCATGTACTATAGCAATCCACAAATATCATCAAACGACTATAGTAACACTGTGTTTTCTCTTCATGTACTATAGCAATCCACAAATATCATTAAACGACTATGGTAACACTGCGTTCTCCCGTCATGTACTATAGCAATCCACAAATATCAACAGACGTAATAGTAACAGTGCGTTCTCCCGCCATGTACTATATTAATCGGCAAATATCAACAGACTCAAAAACAACCTTGTACCTTTAAAGGTAAAACTTCCTTATTGACTCCATAGAAGAAAGCCATGGCCTTTGTCCATGATGCAAGACCAGCAACATCACCACAGACTTTCTTTGCACTCTCTAAGGTATAATCTTCCATTTCAAGATATGGTGAAAGCAATTCAACAGTCTCCTCATTGATCATATCCTAAAATGTATAAAATATTTTCCTATAAAGTAAATGGTTTGAACCCGGGAGTATCGTTATATGTTTGTAAATGATGATCGTCCAGGTTAATAAAGTCCTGAGAAGGACTGTTTTTGATGTTGTTGACTGACGTTTCGACAACCTTAGCGGTAGTCATCTTCAGAGTCAAAAGATGACTACCGCTAAGGTCAATCAATCTCTGTAGTCATCTTTTGACTCTGAAGATGACTACCGCTAAGGTTGTCGAAACGTCAGTCAACAACATCAAAAACAGTCCTTCTCAGGACTTTATTAACCTGGACGATCATCATTTACAAACATATATTTTCCTATATTGAAAAGATCTACGGTATGGTAAACCAACCATGTGTATCCTAAATGTTAACATACGTACCTTAGGAAAAGTCAGCAATGTTTGTAAAAATCCACCTTGACTCATTAACTTCAATGACTCTCCCCATGAAGGTTTTACACAAGGTCTCTCAGGATCTGCACTCACGGTATCCACACGTTTACCAAAGAGAATCAATACGCAGTCCATAATGCGCATGATCAGATGCGGAGGTTTCGCCAGTTTACGGACAGTCGAAATATGAGCAGGTTTGATCGTCTGAAGAGCTGCCTCGGCTTCAGCTAGTGCAGGCTTGGCTGCTTCAAGTTTCTTTTGGGCAAATGCTTTGTCTACCTAAATAAAACGTGAAAGACGCAAGGATTTAGTCATGATTTCAATCCACCTTTCTGAAAGATAAACACACGTGTCAAAATTACGAGATCAAATAACAAAATTCTGCCATCAAATGGTCAGACATAGTATTTTTTATGTAGAATAGTGCAATATAATAGAAAGAAGATGCTCTTTGGTGCATTTGTAAATCTTATTTTAGAAATGCAGAACAACTAATTATAAAGGCAGAAGATGTAAGAGTAAATAAAAACAATTTTCCGCCAGATCAAAGGAAAGCTTGGATATGACATGCAATATGAAGATACAAAGTTATAGAGAAAAATAAAAACATCTCTAACATTGACACGGATATTACGAGTGGCGTAACAAAGTGTTGATGAATTTGATATGCATTTGTCAACGCAAGCTTAAGAAGACCAAGAGCATGCCAAAAATAATATGATTGAAAATTTGCTAAGCGCGTATACGAGCACCGATTTCAGAGCTCGCTCCGTCACAAATTGAGAACGACCAACTGTACGTACTGGTACTGATTATAAAATAATAAGTTTGCTCAGTAACAAATATATAAATCATCTGCGCATGCGCAGTCGGCTTAAGCATGCGCACTTGACTTGACCGGCTGCCTAAGTTCATGCTCATGGCAACGATCAACTTCATCTACTAGCACCGACTTTGACGTAAATAGCATGCCTAGGAACAATTTAAGAGAGAAATCATCTGTACATGCGCTCGAGCATGCGCAGTCCACTCGACTAATTGCTTATAGTCATGGTAACGACTAATTATATGTACTTGCACTACATTTGGGGCAATTAGCTCACTTAGTCGCAAATTATCAAAGAAATCATCTGGGCATGCGCAGTAATGACTTTAACAATACCGCAACTTTCGTAAGCCTTCAAAATTATGTGTGTATATATATAGCTAAAACTTCATATAGTAGATGTCAACTAGCAGTAGAAGCTGGGTGCGATATAGTATGCAGTGGCTTAGGGGCCCACACTTCGGTGGCGACCGCACTCTCCCTGCGTACCCCGAGCAAAGCCTATCGCAGGTGATCTCGGGGTCTGATGGGCGGAAGCTTGCTATTGCATCTCCCAAGTAGGATAGCGTGGAGGGGCCAAAATCTCCTACCGAAACGTTAACATGCGGCGTTCTAGCGCCTTACGCTTAAGAAGGTATCGGGAAGCATGGACCGAAAACGGGGTTTTTGCTTTCGAATTTTCTTTTTGTTTACAAGAGCTCTTCTCATAAAAGAAACTAGAACAGCAAAGGATATTGCAAAGGTTCAAATAACTTCTACCTTTTTGACTTATAATTTAGACCAACTCTAAACATGTTTATACGTTTTTTACTTGTTACCTTTTAAAATGTAACTTTCTCATAACTTTCTCGTTATGAAAGAGCGAAAGCATCGATGGGCTTCATGGAAAAAAGGGGTTATCTACTTTTTAAAATAGTCCTTAAGAAGATAACATTAAAGCCAAGCCATTTGTATCGTCTAAATTGAACCCTCATGTCATAAAATTTTAATTCACTTTGGAGCGTAAATTTCTTTTTACTTTACAATATTATCTTATAAATAATTGTTCAGAATAACTAGAATCAGATTCACAAATGCCCCAAAACTCAAAAGCATCTCTTGACCATTTTATTGCCACTATTCTACATAAACAAAACTATGACCATTTGACAGTCCGAATTTTGTAATTTGATCTCGTATTTTGACACGTGTGTCTAACACGGTAAAGGTGGATTGAATTAGTAAACAAAAACACTCTTACACACTGTGAAAGAAAAAACCAAACACAATTTCTAAGAAACCAGAAATATTTCCCGTAATAGCATCACATATTCAATATTTTCTACCTAGCAGTTAACAAACAAGCAAAAAGGTCAACTTACTTCAATTTCATCGACAATCGCCTGAGCTTTATCTTTGACTTTTTGAACTTGTGATTTGACTTTCTCGGCGGCTTGAGCACTAACTGTAACTTCCTGTAACACTTTATCCGCTTTAACAGAAGCTACAGCCAACTCCTTCTCTTTTACTACAAGTTCCTCCGACAGTTTGGCAACAGATTCGGTCGCTTCAACCAACTTATTCAATCCAGTGTTCATACGGTCAGCGAGAATACCTATTGCACTGTATTTTTCTTTATAGATCTCTTTGTAACCGGCGATGAAAGACAGGTATGATTTGGGTGTTACATGCATTTGACGACGAAATCGTTCAAAATATTCGATGCAAGTTGCAGCTACTTTATCCTAAGAAAAAAATGTTAAAACTGGAATTAGGTTTGGAGTTTTGGTCATCAGTAATGCATTGAATTATTCCAAGGTAAATTTTTCGTTTCTTTAAAAGTAACATCGAGTGGCACATTCTGAATATTACGGGTAGTAAAGATTTATTAAGGTGAATAAAGATTATCATTTTCATAAAAAAAAAGACAAAAAGTAATTTCTTACTTTATCAAACTTCATCATAGTTCAATAAAATTTCAAACCTGGAACATTCCCATGGTGTTGACGACGGCTTGTTTGATTTCTGCCGAACAAGAAATTTCAAAAGAAGATAGGAAATAATCTGCGACTGCAATCAAGGCATCTTTTGGCCAGCTGCTGAACCAGTCCATTGTACAGCCACTGAATAAACCAGGAAATTTAAGAGAACGATTACGAAACTTTTCACCGACCTTGAAAGAAAACATAAACGTACGGTAAACATGGTGGTAAACGATGTTAGAAAAAAGAGACAAAGTCCTGGTCATACCGGAGAAAAACACAATACAATATGTAGATTATTTCTCACGCGAGTTATGAAATAATCATAAAGATTCTCATTGGTTGGTGGTCGTCTTGGAAACTCTTTTTTCATTGGTGAAATTAATTCTTGCGTGATTTCATCAATCTCGTCACGTGCAAAGAGATTTGATACCTGAAATGACGTGATGATAAGAAAACCTTCGTAGATAAGATACAAATATCGCATACAGGAGAAAAATACCTCCCGGAAGCGATGACGTTGTTCATATATTCAAGAAAAGCCTCGTCCTTAATTTCGTTGTCGGTAAAGATGAAGGTGATACCGCAACCCTGTTGTCCAGCGGTACGATAGAGAACTTTCAAATCATCCATGAGATTAGTCGTGTTGTATGATCTACGAAGAAAGGATCAGTTAACACATGTAATGTTATAAATTACACTCAACAGTCTTTATTCCGTTGTTATGAAGTATTAAATACGTTTATGGTTACATCGTGGGCGCATGTGTACGTTCGCACAACGTTCGTTGTTCTTTCCTTTTTCATCGTAATAAAACCTACTTTTATGTTTAAAGTGTTTAATCTGTTGAAATATTTCGTAATACGAACATGTAGAAGTTCAATACTACAGTAAGAAAATGGAGATGAGTACATACATACCTTGATAATGTTATCTGAAAAGTTTTGTAACCAGCAATAAATGATGCCAATCTTGTTAAACTCTGTTTACCAGAACCACCAACACCAACCAACAAAGCGTTACCACGTGGTGTTCGTATGATACGAGAGATTTTCACCAAATGAATCATCGCGTCCTTTGAAGAGGCAATATAAAAGGTGGTTATAGATGATACAAATGGATAATGGGGAATACAAACGTACTCGAAAGAAGACAAGATCCAAATGGCCTCCACGGATTGCTTCATTATAACTTGCCATAAACATCTTAAGTCGGTCATTAAGATTTTCAAAGGTTCCAATAGATTCATACACTTTAGGTGCATCGAAATCAGCATCATCGGGTTCATCACCTACGTCAATATATAAAGCACATTAAATAAAACAATTAATAAGTAAAAGATATAATTTACGTACATTGCATGTTTAAATGATATAATTTACATACATTGCATGTTTAAATGATATAATTTACATACATTGCATGTTTAAATGATATAATTTACGTACATTGCATGTTTAAATGTATAATGTAACATAACAACATTGTTTTTTAGTGTAAAGAGTAAAGTTAAACTGTACTAACGGAACTAGTAAAGAGATCTTAAAATACGATTCAGTTCATTATCATAAAGCATAATCGATCAATGTCTTAACAAGTACAGTACAATACAGTACAGACTGCAGTTGCTATCTGCTCAAAACTAGCAGTAAAACTTGCGTTTTGTTTTGTTATATTTTGTTGGAATAACAACGCAAGGAAAACAATTTTATTATAGAAATGTCCTGCCTACTGACCTGTGATTTCTGGAGCGTCTCGCAAGAAATCTACAAAATAATCATCAACTTGAATGATCTCGACCATTTCCGGACCAAGTTCTTCTTCTACAAGAGTACGGATGGCTTTCTCGAACCAATCTTTGTCTGTTTGATTGGTAAATCGATCTGCTATCACTCGTTGACATTCATGTTTCCACAAATGAAGTAAGATGTTGTTGTCTACAAGAACTTCTGATTTGACGTTCAGTATACCCTAGGGAAGATTTGACCAATGAAATTAGAAAATGACTGTCTATACAATAGTTTAGTAAACCCTAGCAATTAGAAAATGACTGTCTACACAATAGTTTAGTAAACCCTAGCAATTAGAAAATGACTGTCTACACAATAGTTTAGTAAACCCGAGTGAAGATATGACTGATGGAAGAAAACAAATGTATGAGATGATTTTAGTAACTAATGTTCTAGAGTGTTAGCAAATATATATAAACACATATGAAGAACAGACCTGCCAAATACGACTGAGATCTCTAAGATTGAAAATGTAATGAAACTTTGCAGGTGTGGGTAACATTTTGACTTTGGTTCTCTGCCAGAGTTTTCTTGTTAAAGATACAAGTTGTTTAACGCTGTTGCGTAGCTCAGAATCAAATCCTCGTTCCTAGGAAAATATTTACAAAAAAAAATGTTTCTTAAAAAGGAGTGAAACTAGCTGCACTGAGAAATCCACTTCTTCATTGAAACATCGTAATATTTTCTTAAATATATTTCATTTCGGTGGAAAATCTATTTTCGACGTGTGGCTCTGATAACTGAATATTAATTACAAAAATTTTGACCCGTTTCATAAAGAATAAGGAATAATATAATTGATTGAATTCGGAGAAAATTGAACACCAGGATAACTTCAATGCTCGCAAATTATTTTTAATTGATCAACAACATGAGACAAATTTAAAATTACCTCACAGAAATATCCTTCTCCAATGGTCATGAAGATTTTATCAATGGATGCATCAGAAGGCAGTGTACAGTTAAATACGGTAAATTGTCTTTTTAATCGACTAGGAATATCGTTACGTCCACCACCAGGTTGGATCATTGCAGCAATATATTGTATATCGACAATGTTGGTAAAATCGCCAGGTTTATCAAGATTATAAAAACCATTCATCTCCATTAGTTGACGAACTATTTCATTAGTTATCTAAACAAATATCAAAAAGATAAGAAGGCGCGTATTACAATGAGGATACTAAAATTTTACACCAGGAGCCTGTTGTTCAATATTGAGTTTGTCTAACATATGCGGGGTTGAAAAAGCAATAGAAAATTCAACCTCGAGGATTCAAACAATCGTTTCTCAGAGTTCAACAGTGTGTTAACATTGTTGATATAACACTTGTGATTTTGAATAAACAATATTAACTTTAACCTAGAGGGTTTTCAACGATTTTACATGGATAGCTCTCATTCTAGTAACATTAATTAATGCTATAACAAAAGAAAAACACATGGAAATACAAGAATTATACGAAAATAGAAATATATACAATGCAAACGTTTGAGTTTGAAGTTTCATCATATAAAATACGAAAGAGGATGTACGTAAAATCTTTGATAGAAACTAAATAATGTCAAAAAGCTTCAAAATTAAACGTAAAATTCTTGATTTGAATGAAGAAGATATTTTATGTAGCCAACCTGATCTCCCCACTCGTTGATGATAGGCATGTTAACATCGTCAATAAAAACAGTCATTTTCTTTCCGGCAGGAGGACCGTAAGTCGTTCCCATTCTCTTGTCGACATAGCTCTCTATAGTTCTCTAAATGTTTCATATAAAAATAAATACAAAGTTCACAAACATTGATGGTGTATTGAGAAGAACATGGTGAAAGTATAGAGGGAGAATACCTGAAACATGTTAGGTGTTGTTGCCGAAGAAAAGTTCATTGATTTTGAAAGATGAACTTCTGGATCATATTTACCACAGTTTCCTTGAATCATTACGGTCTTAGCTGTACCTTGTTCACCAATCAATAACACAGCCTGTAACAATCACAAAACATTTAATTAACTTATTCCTGTTAAAAGAATCCGTGAATGTCAATAATGCCATAGATGTTGATTCAACTGACCTTCCCTTGTTTTGCAATGGTATGAATAAGAAAGTCAGTTCGTACATTATCGACGTTAGGAACCAAAATGGATGCATATTCAGGCACAGAATCCGTTGGATACTGGTATACTTCCACCTAAAACATGTTTGAACATAACTGAGTTTCGTTCCCAAGCTCTAAACAAAATTATTTCGATAGGACATACCCTGTTGTGCCAATGTTCCCATTGTCCTTGTTCATTTACCAAATATTCAAAGATCGTCTCTTCATTTTTTACAGGAGGTAGATTTAAATCTTTAGCATTCTCCAGCAACCATTCTTCCATCTTTATAAATAAACATCAAGTTAAAATCAAAGCTAATGGTACTTGAGAGCGTGTATACAAAAATCAACATACTTTCTTCCTATCAGCAAGCTCAAGTATCGCTCCAATACTCCACATCAATGAGAACACAAATAGTTTCTCTAAATATGCAGCATCAGCTTGTTTTGGGGCATCCTCACCGGGAATAAGACCTTGCAGGAGATTGATCGCTTGTGTCACGTGATTACATTCTAATAACTAATTCAAAAACAACATTAAAAGCGAACTTGCCAACGATTGATTTTACCTAAAATATCTCGCTATGGACAAAATCCTCAAACGCTTGTTTATAGGCCCAGAACAGGTCAACTCGCATAAATATATACTTTGAAAAGCAAACTTCGAAAATAGACATCTTGGTTTCTTAGTATTCAAAATAAAAAAAACAAGAGTTTAGAGATAGAGTAAGTACCGCTCAGAAGAAACTTAACATTGAACACGATGTTGAACACTTGTATAGTGAGTATAAATGATGATTACGAAACAATGATCGGATGCGGTCAACAACGCGTTTTGACACACGTTCCACTTAAGCCGAACGCAACTGAAACGCAACTGGAACGCAACTGAAACGCAACTGAAACGCAACTGAAACGCAACTGGAACGCAACTGGAACGCAACTGAAACGCAACTGAAACGCAACTGGAACGAATTTGGAAAGCATTTTGGAACGCATTCGGAACGCGTTCCGTACGCGTTTTCGTTAAACTTACTTCTGAGCAGTACCTTCATTCTAAGAGATTGTTAGACCCATAAAAAAAATAAAACGTGATGTCCTTTTTCAGGAACTAGTTTTATCATTGTATACATAAGGAAGTGCGAGCAGGTGATATGAAAACGTGAATTGGATTGCAACAAATGTAAATATATGTAAGCTGATGCTTTTCAAAGTAAATGGTTTGAGCCCGGGAGTATGGTTACATGTTTGTAAATGTAGATCGTCCAGGTTGGTATAGTCCTGAGAAGGACTGTTTTTGTTGTTGTTGACTGATGTTTCGGCAACCTTAGCGGTAGTCATCTTCAGAGTCAAATGAGGAGTAAACGTCAGGTTAGCCGTATTTGTTATCTGGTTCTTACGTCATTGTATTACGTCCTGTACACACAATACAATGACGTAAGAACCAGATAACAAATACGGCTAACCTGACGTTTACTCCTCATTTGACTCTGAAGATGACTACTGCTAAGGTTGTCGAAACGTCAGTCAACAACAACAAAAACAGTCCTTGTCAGGACTATACCAACCTGGACGATCGAGATTTACAAACCTGATGCTTTTCATAGTTTAACAACTGGTGTAATAAGTAATAATATGTTTGATACTGTACTTACATCCATTTTAGGTACGAGATTCTGTTGTACATAACGTCTAAGGTCAGAAAAAACTCTTTCAAACAGAGGCATGAGAACATCACCTTCAATGATCGAGCGAGTATTAAGCCAACCCTGAAAAGATAAACACCATAACAGATATCATGAAATTGAAAGTCAAAATAGAACAGAGGGACAGTGAGGGATAATGAGTGATGCAAGCAAACTTGTAATATCGAACAAAAGGAAGGTAAGGGGTAATGCATGATGTAAACATACTTGTCATATGGAACAGAGGGATGGTAAGGGATAATGCATGACATAAACATACTTGTAATATTAAACAGAGGGATGGTAAGGGGGTAATGCATGATATAAACATACTTGTAATATAGGTTTCCAATCAAGTATCGATGAACTCATGTACACCATACCGTTCCTAATGAAGATGAGACAGAATGAACAATTTAGACATTTTTTTTTATTTGTAACTTTGCATTTGTAGAAATGATAAAACATGAAACATTCAAGCAAAGCATTTCCATCATCAACAATAAACAAAATATATAAACCACATAAGAATAATGACAAACCTAGAGACCGTTGCTGGAGAAGCATTGTCGATATTATGAGGTTCAAAAATAATCTTACAGTTTGGAGCCATTGGTATACGATCACCATTTGCTAATGTCAAGGTTTTGTTATCATCCAATACACTGTTTAAATTCTCAATCCATATGGCATCAACGGGGCCATCAAGAACAAGCCATATATGATCGCTCTGTTCATTAAAGAAGAAGATATGTATGTAGTTTCGACAGTTACATATGATCAAATTTAACGAAATCCTTTCTTGTGTGTTGCTTTTTTTTACATACCTTTTTTGCCCGAAGTGTTTTTCTCCATAGTGTTGAGAATATTCCATCAGTCCAGTCGTTAGTCGACACATCTAAACGTCCAAACATCTGTGGAGCTGTTATGGCCTACATATAAATAACAACAAAGTTAAAAATGGTGACCATTTCATATCTTCTCCCCATGTTATTCAACATTTGCTGGCGACCCATTCATGAACACCCAGCCCTTCATTACAGATCAGTTTTACTGCCTTGTATCATATACAATTCAATTGCATGTTCAAAATGACAAATTAAGGGAACCAATATCGCTATAATTGGTAACAGTAAGCATGTTGCCTCGTTAACTAAAATTACGCTCTCAAATAATTTCACCCTTTAAGTGACAATGTAGCAGATATGTAACAATCACCGAACGAAATGAAAAACAACTTATTGAAAACATTCGCCAAGTAAAGGGTTTAGATGGTTTTTAAAGGCACAAATTGCACAAAGCACTTCTTTCAATGCAATAAAATTTTCTCGTACGTACAAGCGCGACATGTAGCTAAAAAGTATCAATTAGTTCAATGAGAATAAAACAAAACTACACCAACTACAAACAAAGGACATACATACTTTAGGATTCATTCGAAATTCTTTATGAGGTGCTCCACATTGAGTCATCGCCTTCATTAACATATTGATGCACTTGGTTTTGCCGGCACCACTCGGTCCCAGGGTCATCATACCGTGACGTACGCGTTGAGTTTCGTATAACTAAAAAGCAAAGAGATTAAGGTTTAGTTTGGAATCGGAGGTAAACAAAAAATCATATCCTAACCCTAGCCTAAGCAACCTTTGAAGAATATCACAGCACGTTAAAGGTAAATCATCACGAGAGACAGAAGCTGTCGAGAATTAATGTCATTTAATGTAACATAAAAAATACCTGTATAAGTTTCAATACCCAAGGTGCGTGGTTGACGAGTTTCGCTTCCTCTACAGCCTCGGCTATGGCTTGTTCAATGTCAGGATATCCAGCCTTTAGAAGAGTAAGACCAGGAAAGAGATCGTCGATTAAACTTAAGAATAAAGGTTCATCTTCGTCCACAAGTTTACTTAGATTCATATCACGAAGAACTCTCATTACGATCTTGTCTTCACCGTCCTTAAATGGACAGAGAAAAGGAAATAGAACAATATATATAAAGATGATAAAATTTACATACTGAAAAAACCCACGGATGATGTTTATCCTAGATATCATTATCAGTCGTTACGACGTTCATTCAACTTTGGAAATAAATGAAACGCGTAGAGAGAACTGAGAAAGACGACCAAAAATCCGTTTAAAGTCTTCCGTTCAACGTTTGATTGAGAAAATTGCCTTGCACGAGAGTACGGTATGATGTCATCGATCAGACCGATGGGATTATTATTTTTATAGAAACTCACCTCGGGATTGGCTCGTTTTGAGGCGCCAAGAGTTCTTAATACCGAAAGAATGTTTCTTAAACCAAAATCATAATGAACCTATGAAAATTCAAAAAGAGCTGATACATACAGTAGATCTGTTTAAAGGCCCGTTCACTCGATCCGATTTTTCGGATCCGATTTGTCAGATCCCAAAATCCGGATCGTGTGAACACGTTTAAAGTGAGCATCCGACAGTCAGATCCGTCAATCTCAAAAATCGGATGGAAATAGGATTTGCTCTATTTTCATCTGACAACATCAAAAGAAGCCGACTATGCTTAAGCTCTTTACTCTCTATACTTCCCAAATTTGAGTTAACGCGAGAAATTAGATTTGAAAAAGACTTGAAAACAAATAGAAAAATAAGCAAATATATCGATAAATGTACTGGATAACACAAATGGCTTCTTTCAAGGCAGTGCTGTAGAACTAAATTTATCAGATGGGGGGCTCTCTCGACGTATTTATCAATAATGCCCTTTTAAAATTTACCCATTTCAAAGGTAGAAGGGGGGCTTCTCCCCCAAGCGCCCCCCCTCACTTCTACAGCACTGTTTCAAGACTATAAATTAGACATCGAAACAAATATAAATATCAACAAAACTATTGGACCGTCTGAACAAGTAACCAAAAGTCAGAACCGAAACAGTCGGATCCGAAAAATCGGATCGTGTGAAAAGGCCTTAATGAAAACATCTCATGTTATATATAGATACCTGTTTAGTAAGTTGTTCCTCGCACAGTTTATATAAAGTATAAAATTTCCTGGCAAGAACAACATTCTGTTGGAAACCACATGATGCAAGTTTAACACGCATGATAATCTGTCTATCCGGCACCATCATCGCAACCGTTCGAAATTGAATTTTAAGATTTTCGGGAAGTTCTTGTCTACCAGCGTAACCAGGATTCTATAAAGTACATAACATGAAGTACATTACATGAAGTACATAACATGAAGTACATAACATGAAGTACATAACATGAAGTACATAACATGAAGTACATGACATGAAGTACATAACATGAAGTACATAACATGAAGTACATGACATGAAGTACATAACATGAAGTACATGACATGAAGTACATAACATGAAGTACATGACATGAAGTACATGACATGAAGTACATGACATGAAGTACATGACATGAAGTACATGACATGAAGTACATAACATGAAGTACATAACATGAAGTACATGACATGAAGTACATGTCATGAAGTACATGACATGAAGTACATAACATGAAGTACATGTCATGAAGTACATGACATGAAGTACATGACATGAAGTACATAACATGAAGTACATAGTTAAGGCAGCGGCGAAGCTACTCGCAGTAGAGTTTCGCCTGAATATCTAATGAATGAACACAAAAAATAATAGTTAAAAGTTCAGGCTGGCTTCTCCACGATGTAAAAACAAAAGTAGGTTTTACTCAAACTTAAGGCTTAGGAAAAACAATCCCTTGAAAACTATCGCTGAATAAGAGAAATGTTTTAAGTGAGTTATGCGTACCATGGTAAGAAATATACCAAACTCTGGATCTAGATCGACGACATCACCATCAGTGAAGATGAACTGCGACTTTCTTTCTTTCTTTGCCGTTAATACAATATAAATTTGTTGAGCAGCTACTGATAATACAGGCAACTCAATACGATTGAATTCATCAAAACATCCCCAGCTACCCGACTGAGCTAGACCTACAGGAGAAAAAATAAAATATGCATGAGAAAAATTCAAGGAAAGATTGAAAATACAAAGAAATTTGTAGAGAATACATTCCTATCTAGTACGTTTTATGTAAAAATTATAAATGTTTGAAAGAAATGCCTTTTTCAGTATTGAGATCAAGAACAGAACTATGTATAAGAAAAAAAACTGACATGCTATAACCATGCAAGCTCATCAACCGACCTTTGTAAATTCTCCCCAGACCTCTGTAATCCATTTGATCAGAACAGTTAAATACAACGACATACTTTCCCAAGGCTTTTCCCATATCCTAGAAAAAGTCAAAGATCCATCTGTAGGTTTCTCACACAGTACATGACCATTTAACACATAGCCAAGACATGTACTACTTACTTTTGTCGTTTCCGTTTTCCCTGTACCAGCAGGTCCTGCAGGCGCACCACCCATGGACATACCAAGAGCCTGCGATAGCGTAATGTAACATCGATCGGTCAGCGGTGTGATGACGAGTCGATCAGTACAACCAAGGAATTCGTTTTGATAAATGAAGTCGACATCGGTAATGGAAACAATACATTGATCTGTATCTTCTTTGAAATAAAATCTTGATTGTTTTAACCATTCAAAGTCTGATGGTGACTTGATGTTTTTCTTTACCTGTGAAAAAAATAAGTGCCAGTTACTCTTGGTAGCCGTAGTACATAGAAAATAACATCATTACATCTTTTATGGAAAATAAACCTAGATTTTCTGTTCAACCTTCATGTCATAAACTAAATCACGTTAAGCCTGACCGTTTCATACCTTTAAAAATCACACAATCTACGCTACAAAGTACAGTTCTACAATTAATAAAATAGAGATGTAAAAATTGTCTAGAAAATCGCAAATACCATGGTGAATGGTTAAACTGAATAATCTAATGTTTCTCAAAAGAAATACTTAAAACCAGAGCACTAACCCAAAAGTTCTTAAAGAACTGTTGTAAAGCTAAACAGGTCTTTTAAAAAGTAATATCATGTAAATGGTTTGAACCCGGGAGTATGGTTGCATGTTTGTAAATGTAGATCGTCCAGGTTGGTATAGTCCTGAGAAGGACTGTTTTCGTTGTTGTTAACTGACGTTTCGACAACCTTAGCGGTAGTCATCTTCAGAGTAAAAAAAAATCATCTTCATTTCCATTTTTCTTCTTTAGCGGTAGTCATCTTCATTTTACTCCTTTTATTATGTTTTATGTCATTGTTATTTTTAAAAATACACCATGGTATTAGTGATTTTCAAGACAAGTTCTGCAATACCTAAGTATTCAGTAAAACATACAAAGAAAAACATCGAAACTAAAATTTCTCTACACTTACCAACTCATCAAAGATATCTCGTTGATGAACGTGAATGGTAACAAGTGTCTCGTATCTAGTTCGTTCCATCTTCGTAAGTTCTCGTGTCGTTACGTCAATAAGTTCGTTCAGCATGTCCAAGAAATATTGATTTCTTTGAACCATAATCTGAAAAGAGAACGTAAAAAAAGTGATTATTGTTTATATAAAGAACAAAATAAATATCTTAGAAAACATTTGCTATAGTTATGCTATTTAGCAAACAGGAACTATGACATCACGCATATCAACCGTAAGTACATTTCACCATTCATTGTTCTCGACTCAGTACTTTTAATTCAATTATGCCGTACGCATCAAATCATTTCGATTGCTAGAAAACCATTTTCGTTCACCCCCCCCTCCCTATCGACGGACGACCAAGTGCTTCTAACGACAAACCTTTTTATCTGATTTAGCATTTGCAAGTGCATCTTCTGAGTCACGTGTCCATATCATTTGAATACCCAGAAGTCCAACCTATAGATATATATTATAATAAACATTTTAGATAAACGACAAAAATTTTTCAATTTTATGTTTTTAATTACAAACATGTTTCGACTTAACTGTAAGTCATCTTCAGTATGAATACTTATGTTTATTACAATGTGTGAAATATATAATAGAAATACGATACAGTATGTTGATACTCAGTGAATACAATAAGTATTTACAAGACGTTGAGGTTTATAAACAGGATGTATTATAGTAAGGATAATAAAAATAATTAGAAAGTTAAAGTTTGAAAATGGTGTTAAAATGTTGGACCTGTTTATTCAGGTCATGTTTATGTTTGTGGGTGTATAGTGCTTTTTTAAGTTTGAGGGTGAATGGAGAGTTGGCAGTGTCTATGTTGGTAAAACAGGATGTGATGTATTTAGATTTGCATTCCGGATTTTGTAGATGTTTATAAACGTGAGAGGTTTTGTCGGAGGTGGTGTGTTCTTTGATCCTTGTGGCAAAATGTCGGGTGGTCTCCCCAACATTGTAAAGCTTTAAGATCAGTCATCATAAAGACATATTATGAAATGTTCAGTTTCATTATACACAGATACTGTACCTGAGCAGGAAACGTGTCCATAAACTCGAGCAATTTAAACACAGGATCTTTAATAGCGACAGACGCCATTCTAATAACTGCATGTAATGCTCCTTGGGCTGCATTTAATAATGCCAACAACCATTGTTCAACGTTACCCTAGAAAATAACAGCAGATTGTTTTAAACGTAATCTTAAGATCAGTGAAACTTTTTACTTAAAACAAACCCTTTAAAAAGCTTTTGAAGCAGCAGTTCTACTTCTGAAATTTCACTTTGGAAAAATATATTTGCTTTTATTTATTAAAATAAGTGAATTGAATACGCTCAACAGAAAATGCATGTAAAATACATGTAAAAAGGTGGGAAGAGGGTAAAAATTCGAAACATAAAACGATAAAGTAAATGGTTTGAACCCGGGAGTATCGTTACATGTTTGTAAATGTAGATCGTCCAGGGTAGTGGAGTCCTGAGAAGGATTGTTGTTGTCAAAACGGCAGTCTACAACAACAAAAACAGTACTTCTCAGGACTCTACTAACCTGGACGATCTACATTTACAAACATGTAACATAAAACGAAGTTGGAGAAAATGATATCAAGACTTTCATAGTTCAACATGATTCCAACATTGAATTAAAAAAACTCTCTTTATACCTGAGCCATAATTGGTTTCTCCAGCGGGATTTGCTCTCCTTCAGATGAATTGATGGCGAGAATTTTATCATAATCTTTCTCATCAAAGCTGACGGTCTTGAGATTATCAAAAACACTTAAAAGATGAGCCTGTATGGTGTGCGAGTCACTAGCTTGGCCAAGAATTTCAAGTAATGCTGGATCGGATACGAAGAAGAATCGAGGAAACAGCAGACGTTTCTTCTCAAGATATCTGATATTGAAAATAAAATGAAGTAAGTGTAGTTTCTTCTCAAGATATCTGATATTGAAAATAAAATGAAGTAAGTGTAGTTTTTTCTCAAGATATCTGATATTGAAAATAAAATGAAGTATTTGTAGTTTCTTCTCAAGATATCTGATATTGAAAATAAAATGAAGTATTTGTAGTTTCTTCTCAAGATATCTGACATTGAAAATAAAATGAAGTATTTGTGGTTTCTTCTCAAGATATCTGATATTAAAAATAAAATGAAGTAATTGTAAACACTAGGAGGTCCTACGTTTCTTCTAAAAACAATCCATGATAGTCTTCCCGCAGTGCTGTAGAAGTGGGGGTGGGGGTGCTTGAGGGAGTAGCCCCCCTTCTACCTTAGAAATGGATAATTCTCCATAATTTCATGGCTTCAGCTTTGTCATAAGAGCCCCCCATCTGATAAATTTAGTTCTACAGCACTGTCTTCCCGGTCGTTTTAAAGTAAAAGAAAAACCGTTAAAACAGCAAGTAACTTACCCACTTAAAGATTTCTGACACATCTCTAATTGTTCCAATAAATGTGGCAATAATTGTCCTAAAGTATCATCACCAACACAACATTGTACAACATTTGGTGTTTCGTGAGCACGTTGCATTATCTTTACCCACGATTTATCGATCTGAGAAAAACGTTTTGCTTCCTACGTAGAAATAGAAGATGAGGACAAGTTATCATTTCACATCGTCGGAAAGTTTACAATGTTTTATAAAGCCTGGTTCTCATATAGTCGTCCGAGTCGTTTAAGTCGTGCCAAAATTTCACAGACGACCCGTGCGACTGTATGAGAACATTTCAAAGGCGACCGGGATGACCTCAAGTGACTCACACGACTGAAACGACTAAGGTCGCTTGGATAGAACGTTCCTCTATCCGAACGACCGTTGAGAAACGCAAGCGACCTTTTTATGACGCAATACGATTTTAAGAAGCAAATAACTAGCCAAAAGACTTTGTATTATTCACTATGTAAACAATGTTGACTGTGGTATGTCAACTACATGAAAATAATTTTTGACATCTGTAGGTATGACGTCATATCTATAAATACTGATTATTGACGCCATCAAATGCCGGTTTTGAAAAAAAATCAAATGACAGCGATGTTTGTAATTAACATATGGAAGTTGGACGATACATTAAACGGAAGAAAAATTAACAGAAAAAATATTGATAAACTAAAAATGGTATTAACGTGGTAAACTTGTTTATTGAGATCGGGTTTAAGTTTGTTAATGTGTAAGGCTTCTTTAATTTTGAAGTGGAAGAAAAATTGGCAGTGTCGATAATTTTGAAGCAGTTGTTGGTGTATTGTGATTTGCAGTTATGTGAGGAGAAAAGGTGTTTGAAGGTGTTTGAAGGTGTTTAAAATAATGGATTCTCCATGATGTTTGACGGTGTTTCACATAACTGCAAATCACAACACACCAACAACTGCTTCAAAATTATCGACATTGCCAATTTTTCTTCCAACTTCAAAATTAAAGAAGCCTTACACATTAACAAACTTAAACCCGATCTCAATAAGCAAGTAAACAACGTAAATACCATTTTTAGTTTATAAATAATTTTTTTGTTAGTTTTTCTTCCGTTTAATGTATCGTCTAACTTCCATATAAAGTAAATGGTTTGAACCCGGGAGTATCATTACATGTTTGTAAATGTAGATCGTCCAGGTTGGTATAGTCCTGAGAAGGACTGTTTTTGTTGTTGTTGACTGACTTTTCGACAACCTTAGCGGTAGTCATCTCTAGCGGTAGTTGTCGAAACATTATTCTACAACAACAACAACAGTCCTTCTCAGGATTTTACTAACCTGGAAAATGCATCTACATCTACAAACAACAATCTATCTCTATTTATACATTTAAGTATCACATTTTGTTATATTCATTCAAGCTGATGATGGCATAAGTTTGCCAAAACATGTCAATATTAAAAAAGTTTGTTCTCTATAGTCAATTTATAACTGATATAAATTGAACAGCTTTTGCACAAGTTTGCCGGCGAACGAAAAGACTGCAAATATCGATGTTGAGCACATTTTTGTACGGCATTACGAGGAGTATAACAATTTTAAATCAAGAAAGAACACATCCTCTGAAAGCTTATCTTCAGTCGTCGATTAAACTTTCAATAGAAGCACTAATGGCGCAAGTGTACCGTTGAAGCTTGTGAAAACACATTTCACGATTTTAAAACTAAACAACCTTACATCAGGCTTGTTGTAAACGTCGAAGTTTACATGAGCCGTATGAAGTAAAAACAATAAAAAATGTGATAAACGTCGAAGTTTACATGAGCCGAATGAAGTAAAAACAATAAAAAATGTTATAAACGTCGAAGTTTACATGAGCCGTATGAAGTAAAAACAATAAAAATGTTATAAACGTCGAAGTTTACATGAGCCGTATGAAGTAAAAACAATAAAAAATGTGATAAACGTCAAAGTTTACATGAGCCGTATGAAGTAAAACAAAAAAATGTGATAAACGTCAAAGTTTACATGAGCCATATGAAGTAAAACAATAAAAATGTTATAAACGTCGAAGTTTACATGAGCCGTATGAAGTAAAAACAATAAAAAATGTTATAAACGTCGAAGTTTACATGAGCCGTATGAAGTAAAAACAATAAAAAATGTTATAAACGTCGAAGTTTACATGAGCCGTATGAAGTAAAACAATAAAAATGTTATAAACGTCGAAGTTTACATGAGCCGTATGAAGTAAAAACAATAAAAAATGTTATAAACGTCGAAGTTTACATGAGCCGTATGAAGTAAAACAATAAAAATGTGATAAACGTCAAAGTTTACATAAGCCGTATGAAGTAAAAACAATAAAAAATGTTATAAACGTCGAAGTTTACATGAGCCGTATAAAGTAAAAACAATAAAAAATGTGATGAACGTCGAAGTTTACATGAGCCGTATGAAGTAAAAACAATAAAAAATGTTATAAACGTCGAAGTTTACATGAGCCGTATGAAGTAAAAACAATAAAAAATGTTATAAACGTCAAAGTTTACATGAACCGTATGAAGTAAAACAATAAAAATGTGATGAACGTCGAAGTTTACATGAGCCGTATGAAGTAAAAACAATAAAAAATGTGATAAACGTCGAAGTTTACATGAACCGTATGAAGTAAAAACAATAAAAAATGTGATAAACGTCAAAGTTTACATGAGCCGTATGAAGTAAAACAATAAAAATGTGATAAACGTCAAAGTTTACATGAGCCGTATGAAGTAAAACAATAAAAATGTGATAAACGTCAAAGTTTACATGAGCCGTATGAAGTAAAACAATAAAAATGTGATAAACGTCGAAGTTTACATGAGCCGTATGAAGTAAAACAATAAAAATGTTATAAACGTCGAAGTTTACATGAGCCGTATGAAGTAAAACAATAAAAATGTTATAAACGTCGAAGTTTACATGAGCCGTATGAAGTAAAAACAATAAAAAATGTTATAAACGTCGAAGTTTACATGAACCGTATGAAGTAAAAACAATAAAAAATGTTATAAACGTCAAAGTTTACATGAGCCGTATGAAGTAAAAACAATAAAAAATGTGATAAACGTCAAAGTTTACATGAGCCGTATGAAGTAAAAACAATAAAAAATGTGATAAACGTCGAAGTTTACATGAGCCGTATGAAGTAAAAACAATAAAAAATGTGATAAACGTCGAAGTTTACATGAGCCGTATGAAGTAAAACAATAAAAAATGTGATAAACGTCGAAGTTTACATGAGCCGTATGAAGTAAAAACAATAAAAAATGTGATGAACGTCGAAGTTTACATGAGCCGTATGAAGTAAAACAATAAAAATGTTATGAACGTCGAAGTTTACATGAGCCGTATGAAGTAAAAACAATAAAAAATGTGATGAACGTCGAAGTTTACATGAGCCGTATGAAGTAAAAACAATAAAAAATGTTATAAACGTCGAAGTTTACATGAGCCGTATGAAGTAAAACAATAAAAAATGTGATAAACGTCGAAGTTTACATGAGCCGTATGAAGTAAAAACAATAAAAAATGTTATAAACGTCAAAGTTTACATGAGCCGTATGAAGTAAAAACAATAAAAAATGTTATAAACGTCGAAGTTTACATGAGCCGTATGAAGTAAAACAATAAAAATGTTATAAACGTCGAAGTTTACATGAGCCGTATGAAGTAAAACAATAAAAATGTGATAAACGTCGAAGTTTACATGAGCCGTATGAAGTAAAACAATAAAAAATGTTATAAACGTCAAAGTTTACATGAGCCGTATGAAGTAAAAACAATAAAAAATGTTATAAACGTCGAAGTTTACATGAGCCGTATGAAGTAAAAACAATAAAAAATGTTATAAACGTCGAAGTTTACATGAGCCGTATGAAGTAAAAACAATAAAAAATGTTATAAACGTCAAAGTTTACATGAGCCATATGAAGTAAAAACAATAAAAAATGTTATAAACGTCAAAGTTTACATGAGCCATATGAAGTAAAAACAATAAAAAATGTGATAAACGTCGAAGTTTACATGAACCGTATGAAGTAAAAACAATAAAAAATGTGATAAACGTCGAAGTTTACATGAGCCGTATGAAGTAAAACAATAAAAATGTTATAAACGTCGAAGTTTACATAAGCCGTATGAAGTAAAAACAATAAAAAATGTTATAAACGTCGAAGTTTACATGAGCCGTATGAAGTAAAAACAATAAAAAATGTGATAAACGTCGAAGTTTACATGAGCCGTATGAAGTAAAAACAATAAAAAATGTTATAAACGTCGAAGTTTACATGAGCCGTATGAAGTAAAAACAATAAAAAATGTGATAAACGTCGAAGTTTACATGAGCCGTATGAAGTAAAAACAATAAAAAATGTTATAAACGTCGAAGTTTACATGAGCCATATGAAGTAAAAACAATAAAAAATGTGATAAACGTCGAAGTTTACATGAACCGTATGAAGTAAAAACAATAAAAAATGTTATAAACGTCGAAGTTTACATGAACCGTATGAAGTAAAAACAATAAAAAATGTGATAAACGTCGAAGTTTACATGAGCCGTATGAAGTAAAAACAATAAAAAATGTTATAAACGTCGAAGTTTACATGAGCCGTATGAAGTAAAAACAATAAAAAATGTGATAAACGTCGAAGTTTACATGAGCCGTATGAAGTAAAAACAATAAAAAATGTTATAAACGTCGAAGTTTACATGAGCCATATGAAGTAAAAACAATAAAAAATGTTATAAACGTCGAAGTTTACATGAGCCGTATGAAGTAAAAACAATAAAAAATGTGATAAACGTCGAAGTTTACATGAGCCGTATGAAGTAAAACAATAAAAATGTTATAAACGTCGAAGTTTACATGAGCCATATGAAGTAAAACAATAAAAATGTTATAAACGTCGAAGTTTACATGAGCCATATGAAGTAAAAACAATAAAAAATGTGATAAACGTCGAAGTTTACATGAGCCGTATGAAGTAAAACAATAAAAATGTGATAAACGTCGAAGTTTACATGAGCCGTATGAAGTAAAACAATAAAAATGTTATAAACGTCGAAGTTTACATGAGCCGTATGAAGTAAAACAATAAAAATGTTATAAACGTCGAAGTTTACATGAGCCATATGAAGTAAAAACAATAAAAAATGTTATAAACGTCGAAGTTTACATGAGCCGTATGAAGTAAAAACAATAAAAAATGTGATAAACGTCGAAGTTTACATGAGCCGTATGAAGTAAAACAATAAAAATGTTATAAACGTCGAAGTTTACATGAGCCATATGAAGTAAAAACAATAAAAAATGTTATAAACGTCGAAGTTTACATGAGCCATATGAAGTAAAACAATAAAAATGTGATAAACGTCGAAGTTTACATGAGCCGTATGAAGTAAAACAATAAAAATGTGATAAACGTCGAAGTTTACATGAGCCGTATGAAGTAAAACAATAAAAAATGTTATAAACGTCAAAGTTTACATGAGCCATATGAAGTAAAAACAATAAAAAATGTGATAAACGTCGAAGTTTACATGAACCGTATGAAGTAAAAACAATAAAAAATGTTATAAACGTCGAAGTTTACATGAGCCGAATGAAGTAAAAACAATAAAAAATGTTATAAACGTCGAAGTTTACATGAGCCGTATGAAGTAAAACAATAAAAATGTTATAAACGTCGAAGTTTACATGAGCCGTATGAAGTAAAAACAATAAAAAATGTTATAAACGTCAAAGTTTACATAAGCCATATGAAGTAAAAACAATAAAAAATGTTATAAACGTCGAAGTTTACATGAACCGTATGAAGTAAAAACAATAAAAAATGTTATAAACGTCGAAGTTTACATGAGCCGTATGAAGTAAAAACAATAAAAAATGTTATAAACGTCAAAGTTTACATGAACCGTATGAAGTAAAAACAATAAAAAATGTGATAAACGTCAAAGTTTACATGAGCCATATGAAGTAAAAACAATAAAAAATGTTATAAACGTCGAAGTTTACATGAGCCGTATGAAGTAAAAACAATAAAAAATGTTATAAACGTCGAAGTTTACATGAACCGTATGAAGTAAAACAATAAAAATGTTATAAACGTCGAAGTTTACATGAACCGTATGAAGTAAAACAATAAAAATGTTATAAACGTCAAAGTTTACATGAGCCGTATGAAGTAAAACAATAAAAATGTGATAAACGTCGAAGTTTACATGAGCCGTATGAAGTAAAAACAATAAAAAATGTTATAAACGTCGAAGTTTACATGAGCCGTATGAAGTAAAACAATAAAAATGTTATAAACGTCGAAGTTTACATGAACCGTATGAAGTAAAAACAATAAAAATGTGATAAACGTCGAAGTTTACATGAGCCGTATGAAGTAAAACAATAAAAATGTTATAAACGTCGAAGTTTACATGAGCCGTATGAAGTAAAACAATAAAAAATGTGATAAACGTCAAAGTTTACATGAGCCGTATGAAGTAAAAACAATAAAAAATGTGATAAACGTCGAAGTTTACATGAGCCGTATGAAGTAAAAACAATAAAAAATGTTATAAACGTCGAAGTTTACATGAACCGTATGAAGTAAAAACAATAAAAAATGTGATAAACGTCGAAGTTTACATGAGCCGTATGAAGTAAAAACAATAAAAAATGTGATAAACGTCGAAGTTTACATAAGCCGTATGAAGTAAAAACAATAAAAAATGTGATAAACGTCGAAGTTTACATGAGCCAAATGAAGTAAAAACAATAAAAAATGTTATAAACGTCGAAGTTTACATGAGCCGTATGAAGTAAAAACAATAAAAAATGTGATAAACGTCGAAGTTTACATAAGCCGAATGAAGTAAAACAATAAAAATGTTATAAACGTCGAAGTTTACATGAGCCGAATGAAGTAAAAACAATAAAAAATGTGATAAACGTCGAAGTTTACATAAGCCGAATGAAGTAAAAACAATAAAAAATGTGATGAACGTCGAAGTTTACATAAGCCGAATAAAGTAAAAACAATAAAAAATGTGATAAAATTCATCGTTATCTTTTGTTTTGCATTCCGTTTTATAGTTCGACGTTGGAATTATGAAACCGGCCTCGTTCACAAAGAAATCGTCTGCACATGCGTGGCACAAGTTCAATCACACCACAATCGTAGAGCAGCCTTATATTAATGCGGTATAAATAAAAAGAAAAACATGTTTACGATGGGTCAGCTTGCAGTGAGATATGAGCACGTGCAAGAAAACGTCACCACAAAACATGAGATTGACGTCAGCTAGCGACCTGCCCAATCGTGCTGCAACTACTGCGCCACACGAAAGATGCGAGTGAAAAAATCGCAGGGTAAGAGGGCGGGCGTGTGAGATTGGGATTTTTTTCATTTTAAAAATTTTTAATTTTCTATTGTGCACACAATTTCTGACTTGTCTACGTAATAATTTCAGGCACCTATACACATATTTAACACTTTTCAGACTACAAAACCTACATCTACCACATTTATATTTCGCCATTCATAACGACAGTGAAAAGTTTCTTATGAAAGTTTCTCACTACTCAAAACAACGAAAAAATTCTTATGCTGTATGATTTTTACGATAGAAGAAATACGGTAATAAATATATGTTATTTACTGGATGTGCGATCCCGTACGGAAAAATATTTTCACGAGGTTTCAAAAGCGCTTTTGAGGCCATATTTAAGTATTTTTTAAGTACGGACCGACCTAAACGATATATATTTTTTATTTTTAATATGAAGAAATTCGCGCGAATACACTTTTCTTACTTGTTGAACAATTTACATCGCTTTTAAATCACATTTTAAAATTTACATTTCACTTCGTAAACAAAGACATTGCGAAAAAAATAGCGCTTCTGCTCACGTGCAGATATCGTAAAAAGCTGCCCGCTCAGGCAGCCAATCAAATTGCTGGAAATCAAATAAATATCGCTTTGGAGCGCTAAATAAAAAAGAAAGGGTAATATATGATGATACGTACATGTGATGACTTAATAAATAAACGTATATCAGTAATTCTAACCTGTGGTAGTTGTTTTGCAATATCTCCCCCAACAAATACAGCTTCGAGATATACCCAGAGATTCTGTACAACCAACCAATTCTCTATGATCTCCGTAGAACCAGTGAGTTTTGCAACCCATTTTTGAATTTCAGCTTTAAATGGTGCATTATACCTGACGGGAGTACAGGACAATCATAATGAGCTTTTCCACAAAAAAACGAATCCCTCAGTGATCACAAGATATACCTATTGCTCATCAAAGATCCCAATACCATCAAGCTATCCTCCATCAGGGATACAATTTCTGAAGTTTCACCACCCTTCAATAAAAACTCTCCGCGACTTTTAAATGAACCAAAGCTGAAAATCTGAGTATTCCAGTCGGCGACAACTCCTTTTAACTTTGCCTCGATGTCTTTCTCTTTTACGGCGGCTATACATATATCCTAACATACATCAACAAAGAATGTTATATGCAGGCGGAGTTTGGAATTAAATCTAGATATGATCTTCGCACTTTGTTGGACAATTTATGCAATTGTCTCATGAACCTGAAAAATTCAGGTGACTCAACGGGATTCGAACCCATGACATCTGCGGTGCCGGTGCAGTGCTCTGACCAACTCAGCTATGAAGTCACACAGTGGTGAGCAGGTCAATTTTGTTGGGCTGATGTTTTCTCGTGAAAGGAATGTCATACGAAAGAATGTTTTACATGAAAACATGAACCCAACAAAATTGACCTGCTCACCACTGTGTGACTTCATAGCTCAGTTGGTCAGAGCCCTGCACCGGCACCGCAGAGGTCATGGGTTCGTATCCCGTTGAGTCACCTGAATTTTTCAGGTTCACGAGACAATTGCTTAAATTGTCCAACAAAAAGCGAAGATCATATCTACATTTAATACATCAACAAAATGAATTAGAAATACGCACTTGATCAAAGCTCGCAACTATTAAAGCGAGAGTTATCTAAATCACTATCATGTAACATGTGTTGAAATGACAGAATAGGACAGCAACATTTGAGATTATACCAGTAGAAGTTTTAAATTGACAAATAAACAAGTATACCTCAATATCTTCTTTGTTCTCTAGAAGAGGTGCACTCATTAGATTTCTTAACGAAAATGTCTCGGACTCGACTTCAAGTGATGTCTTTGTGACGTTAGATATTCTCTCCCAATGACGCGCTTTCATCGCCTTGTGTGCCATCATTTCCAATAATGGACATGATTCACTGAAATCATCGATCGTCTTCTTCAAATCAAGGAACGCTTGCCATTCTTTTAGAGCTTTGGGTAGCTTACGAATCCTGATGATCAGAAATAATGTTTGAGGTGTCGAGATTGAACAAAATTCCAAATTACAATATTCAACGTTTGTAAACATATCTAATTGTACGAACATTTAGATGTTGAAAGTATGAAGAGCAACTACGAAGCTTTGATATTTATAGCATACATACATTCTTGTACTTTACTCTTTAACTTTAGTGTGCACTTTAATGTTGTTTTATGAGTACTTTTATTGTACTTCAGTGAATACATTAATGAACTTTGTGTATACTATAATGTACTTTAATGTGCACTTTAATGTTGTTTTATGAGTACTTTTATTGTACTTCAGTGAATACATTAATCAACTTTGTGTATACTATAATGTACTTTAATGTGCACTTTAATGTTGTTTTATGAGTACTTTTATTGTACTTCAGTGAATACATTAATGAACTTTGTGTATACTATAATGTACTTTAATGTGCACTTTAATGTTGTTTTATGAGTACTTTTATTGTACTTCAGTGAATACATTAATGAACTTTGTGTATACTATAATGTACTTTAATGTGCACTTTAATGTTGTTTTATGAGTACTTTTATTGTACTTCAGTGAATACATTAATGAACTTTGTGTATACTATAATGTACTTTAATGTGCACTTTAATGTTGTTTTATGAGTACTTTTATTGTACTTCAGTGAATACATTAATGAACTTTGTGTATACTATAATGTACTTTAATGTGCACTTTAATGTTGTTTTATGAGTACTTTTATTGTACTTCAGTGAATACATTAATGAACTATTGTGTGTACTATAATGTACTTTAATGTGCACTTTAATGTTGTTTTATGAGTACTTTTACTGTACTTCAGTGAATACATTAATGAACTATTGTGTGTACTATAATTTACCTTAGCGTGCACTTTAACATACTACAATAATTACATGCAGGAAATTTAAAAAAAAACACTGCCATTAATAATAATGCTCATACCTAGTTTGATACTCTAATAGTTCTCCATTGATTTTCTCAACATCAATATCTGACCAAAGGATATCTTGATATCCATTCACATTCTCGATGACGGAGTTATAAAGACTGTAAAGTTTCTGTAAAAGACCCAGTTCCCGTTTAATTCTTTGCAATTCTTCATACTCGGTAACTGGCAATCCGAAAAGTTCTTCGCCACCTTTGATGAAAGAAATATTTCACATTGGTTGTAATAATTTTATTCGGCAAGGAGACATCTTAAGAAAAAGATCGATTTGAAGACATCATATGATGAATAAGATAGTACCAGAATATGTTTGATATTTCCTCCATAATTCATCAAATCTCGCCTGGAATATTTGCAAGCGATCGCTCGCTTCACTCGGTGGAATTCCAAGTACCATTGGACCCCTGTAAAAACGTTTTACATAAAGTAGTACACACAATCATCCTGTATCATTTCCTTGCCTTATACAGTAACGAACCGTCGGTAGCTGGATGCTACCCTAGCTCCCAAAAATTCCGTAATTTTCAGGAACGCAAGCCGCATAAGGTGGAATGTCGACATAACTATCAATGGCTATTATCCTGAACATATTTCACATACTTATCATCGTAATCATCAACAAATGTGACCATTGTTTCTTTATATGTTTCAACAGCATTCAATAAGTTCATCTTATATTCAGGTTCAATCTCAAGTAAATGTGTCTGAACAGCTGATGCCTACAGATAACGTAGATCATCAAACATGGAAATAGTTGAGTTTACATCAATAAACATAATCATTACTACCTGTGTGTTGACTTTTTTCCATGAATATGTGAGACTGTCCACTCTTTCTGAATCATGACTGGAGTAATGAAGGCCGTACTTGTTTAGTAATGCGAACGATTCTTCAATAGGTCCAATGGTCATATCAATCCTGTCATTAACAAAGGCAATCTTGTGATCGAATAATACAAAATGTACCTAATGGTCATATCAATCCTGTTATTAACAAAGGCAATCTTGTGATCGAGTAATACAAAATGTACCTAATGGTCATATCAATCCTGTTATTAAAAAAGGCAATCTTGTGATCGAGTAATTCAAAATGTACCTAATGGTCATATCAATCCTGTCATTAACAAAGGCAATCTTATGATCGAGTAATGCAAAATGTACCTAATGGTCATATCAATCCTGTCATTAACAAAGGCAATCTTATGATCGAGTAATGCAAAATGTACCTAATGGTCATATCAATCCTGTCATTAACAAAGGCAATCTTATGATCGAGTAATTCAAAATGTACCTAATGGTCATATCAATCCTGTCATTAACAAAGGCAATCTTATGATCGAGTAATGCAAAATGTACCTAATGGTCATATCAATCCTGTCATTAACAAAGGCAATCTTATGATCGAGTAATACAAAATGTACCTAATGGTCATATCAATCCTGTCATTAACAAAGGCAATCTTATGATCGAGTAATGCAAAATGTACCAATGGTCATATCAATCCTGTCATTAACAAAGGCAATCTTATGATCGAGTAATACAAAATGTACCTAATGGTCATATCAATCCTGTCATTAACAAAGGCAATCTTATGATCGAGTAATACAAAATGTACCCAATGGTCATATCAAATCCTGTCATTAACAAAGCAACGTACAACAAGACATGAGTATACAAGTTTTACGTTAAAATTTCTTATTGAAGATAGGTTTGTTGAACATCCTGTTGTACGAAAGTTATGATTTATAAAAAATTACAAAGGACGAAAAGGAAAATTTTAACATTCTTTAATACTAAATAAGAATTTTGGTAGGAATGAAGGAACAAAAGTCCTAATACGCGAGAAAAAAATCTTGTTGTTGCTTTTTGACAGATAAATTTATAAAGTAAATGGTTTGAGCCCGGGAGTATCGTTACATGTTTGTAAATGTAGATCGTCCAGGTTGGTATAGATCGTCCAGTTTGACTCTGAAGATGACTACCGCTAAGGTTGTCGAAACGTCAGTCAACAACAACAAAAATAGTCCTTCTCAGGACTATACTAACCTGGACGATCTACATTTACAAACATGTAATGATAAATTTATGTTGAACTACTGACTCCTTAAAATCCCGCATCTTTCAGCCATTTAATTACGACCCTATGTCGCAGTTCGAAGACATGACGACAATAACTGCACTATACATATTTTATAAAAAGAATCCATTAAACAGCCAAGTGTATTTATGTTTCACAAGTATACTTACTTGATTTCGGACTCTCGGACCTCCCGTAAGGCAGCCATTGTGTTACGGACATCATCAAGATCTTTGATTGGTCGCGATAAGCGTTTACACATATTATCAAAGAAGGTAAATATACCCTCCATATCAGCACTTGCTTTGTCTGCAAGAGCTTTACCAAATGCTTGTTTCCAGGCCTTCGTCTCTGTAACTAGAGCTCGTTTAAGAGGTTCGGTTGAATAAATAATTGATCCAACTGTATAACTTGCTGGTAACTCTTCCACAGACATTTCTAGCTCCTGAGAATATAAATATGTAAACATAGTAGGGAACAAAGTAACATAAACCTGTATGGAATTAGTTGGGAAGCTTGAATTTTCATGAAAAGATATAAGGTTGTTAAATGTCGTTTTGAAACAGAGCATCATAAATGAACTGAGAAAGATGGCAAAGAATTGGGGTGAACTGGAAATGAAGTAGATGACTGAGAAATGAATCATTTGTATATGAATGAATGTTTGAAACTTTATTGACAAAATCTACCTGATAGTAACGTATTTGAGCTTCAAAGTCAGACAACAAAGGTTCCGCTGCAATAAATTCTTGAACTTTTGTATTAGGATCCTACGTGAGACAAAACAGTAAGTAGGAAAAATTTCACAAACATAGTACAAAATTCAGTCCATGATGGCTATTATTACCACGCAGATAATTTCATATATTATTTATATATTAATTATATATTTATAACAATACATGTTCACATAATCACAGACAGGAAACATGTAGTGAAAAACATCGTCACATAAAAACTCTCGTCAAATGTAAAAACGGTGTGACTTGTCCAGAGTAGTACAAATAGGACAGAGGGGGATGGTGCGGGATGATCGAGGAACTTACTTCATTCCACAATTCTTCAAATTGTCCCATGCCAGTAAGGACTTGTTTGGCGTCCATTTTGAATGAGCTGATGATGGAGTTAAGAACAATGACGACCTTTACGACATCTTTATGTTCAGAGACAAGTCTATACAATGACTTGATGACAACAGGAGGTATTGGTTTTCCTTCTTCGACAACAGGAGCTGGCGGTTGATGAATAATATCATGTTTCTCCCATTGATACACTTGCTACAGTAAAAATAATGTTAGTACTTACAACAAGAGAAATATCGCTGAAGTCACTTTTGAACAATATAATAGAAACTATCTTAACGATGTATTGGACGACAAAAACAGCGTCAAAAAATAAGAGTTGTACGTTTAAAGATTTTTACATATTTATAATGGTTCAAAATTTTCGATGGATTTTGACATAAAAAGGAAGGCAGTGCTGTTTGATGTCAACGTTCTTCAACGTCAACAATACTTGAATTTTCCAACTTTGATGAACAACCGACTCTTAATGAAGTTAATCTGGCTTTTTTTCACATTTAAAGTTACATGCTTTTCTCAATCAATCAATGAATGATTGAATTAATCAATCAATCAATCGATCATTGAATCAATCAATCAATCAATCAATCAATCATTGAATCAATCATTGAATCAATCAATCAATCAAATCAATCAATCAATCAATGATATTATAGAAACGTTTTATGTATACGTACCATTGTAGTCTTCAACATGATTTGAACAGCTCTATTCAATACATGTTGTATATCGTCAACGCTTGGCTTCATTTGTACAGTAGGAATTGCCAAAATGATCTCAGCCTTATAGAGAGCAAAGAAGAAACAATAAATAATCTTTTACCATTTATTAATAAAAAGAGAGATGGGAGGACGGTTGAATGATAACAGTCGTGCTTTCCAAAAAAGTAACTTTTTACAAAATTTTACAAAGTTCGTGAATATTTTCACACGATGAACAAAGACCCGACATCATTTGTCTGTCCACTTAATACTTACAGAAATTTTATCAATCCCACTGACAACTTGCATAGTTATATTAAACAAGCAAAAACAAAACTACAATATCTTTAGTATAAACGATTGAACTAAAATACATGGACGCTACCTGAAAGCAAATAATTGAAGCCAAATCTTACACCCACATACGGGAGATTACACCCAGACACGCGAGTGTAGTGTTTCGAGATTCTCTCGTGGAGTGAAAATTGATTGAACTACACACGCGTGTCTGGGTGTAAGATTTGGCTTCAAGAAATTATTTGTCTTTTCTATAACAGGTAACATTCCATGTATTATAGTTCAATGGCATAAACAAACCTTAAAAAGCGGCTGTTTGGCATTTTCCTGCGACAAATCACTTATATATTTACTAGAAGATTGCACATAACGTTTGATGAAGTCTAACGAGATCCGAGTACATTTAACCATAGCGTCAATAGTCTTCTGATTGAAGAACACAACGAGATTCCAATATGAGCATGGCATACATTCCCAGCAACGACTGCCTTTACTACCTTTTACTTGTTTCGCTTCAGGGACAAGACAACGGTACAAATCACCTTCAAGACCTAAAGTATCTTGACCTACCAGACGATCTTTTAACGTCGTGAGCAATAGGTCAACAGCAGACTCCACAAGACGACTTTGTCTGGAAATGTGTTAAGGATTGTGGAATCAATGTATATGACAAAGTAAAAGGTTTAGAACATTAACTTAAACAATGTTTGTATCTATTATAGATATATTATTACATATTCCACTCTGTTACCCTTTGTTGATGTAAAGTACATCTGCTTTAAAATAGGTATGTTACACTTTTTTGTCATTTTTTTCACAAAGACGACCCCTCCCTTATCCCTTTTAATATATACATAAATCAACACCAGCTCCCTTAATACAGATGCAACAGAACTTAAACATATACATATATCAAACCCAACTCCATTAATACAGATGTAACAGAACTTCAATATATACATATATCAAACCCAACTCCATTAATACAGATGTAACAGAACTTCAATATATACATATATCAAACCCAACTCCATTAATACAGATGTAACAGAACTTCAATATATACATATATCAACACCAGCTCCGTTACAACAGATGTAACAGAACTTCAATATATACATATATCAAACCCAACTCCATTAATACAGATGTAACAGAACTTCAACACATACATATATCAACCCCAGCTCCGTTAATACAGATGTAACAGAACTTCAACACATGCATATATCAAACCCAACTCCGTTAATACAGATGTAACAGAACTTCAACACATGCATATATCAAACCCAACTCCGTTAATACAGATGTAACAGAACTTCAACACATGCATATATCAACCCCAGCTCCGTTAATACAGATGTAACAGAACTTCAACACATGCATATATCAACCCCAGCTCCGTTAATACAGATGTAACAGAACTTCAACACATACATATATCAACCCCAGCTCCGTTAATACAGATGTAACAGAACTTCAACACATGCATATATCAAACCCAACTCCGTTAATACATACGTAATATTATTCCTTAATGGAACTACGTAAGTAATTTAATACATACGTGGGTAAAGAGACTCTTCCCATTTCCATGCAATACTCAAGAGTTTAGTACATATTCTGATAGTTCAATTAAACATCTTAAAATACCTTGAGAGTGAAACAATGACATCAGAACAAGTATCTTCGGTTCTTTTAAGGAAATCTTCCACGGTGATTGAATCATCTTCAGGTATCTCACACAAACATGTTAAACTGATATCTTCAAGAACAGCCTCAATACGACAATCCAAAATGTCTGTCACCTATACGACAAAAAGGCCACGTTATGGTACTGACGCAGGGGGGGGGGAGAACAATGATTAGTTCGGCAGTCTTGTCATAAAAGCATAAAGGTAGGAATTTCGATGGTCAAAAATTTACTAGATAAATTTTTCTCACCAGAAAGTCAACCTTTTATGCAATGAAGGGAATAAAATTATCGCTATCATTAAGAAACAAGTTGCTAGCTCTACATTAACAAGCTATTACCTCTTTCGTTAAACGTTTCAGTCCCGCAAGAGAATTGTTGATGTTATCAATAACTGTAATGATGATTACAAAAATCAAAATAATATTTATTGAAAAGAGATTGCGTGAATAATCCAAAATCATCTATGTACTTACATCCTTCAATGTTCAAAGATGTCCAGCTCAACATTGTGAGCCCAGGTTTAATGGTATCTTCAACTTTATTGATAAATGGTTTCATTAAAGGCAGGACAATTTCAGGGATATTCTCGACAACCTTATCATATTCTTGAAGTAGTTCTACCAATCTTTATAAAAAAATACGTACAATAAATAAACACGTGTAACAGCAAGGACACATTGTTATGAAATTTCCAAAGATTTCAACACAAATATCGATTCAAACAAAAATGTCATTACAAGCAGGGTTACATACCGATTGTAAGCTGACTTGATCGCATTTTCTCTCATCCACAAAACTTGAGCACTTTCAGGAACCTATAGGTATAGAGAGCTACATATTAGGAACCTATAGGTACAGAGAGCTACATATTAGGAACCTATAGGTACAAGAGCTACATATTACGAACCTATAGGTATAGAGAGCTACATAGTAGGAACCTATAGGTACAGAGAGCTACATATTAAGATTGTTGTTGATTGTAAAAATGTTTTTAAGGTTCTTTTAATTCTAAATAAAAATGTTTTTAAGGTTATTTTAATTCTAAATAAAAATGTTTTTAAGGTTATTTTAATTCTAAATAAAAAATAGATCGCAAAATGCAAGAAATGCCTCGAAAGTAATGATTCCATGACGACACCATATAAAGCTTACCTCAAGACCCAAACGTCGCATGCAACGACATTCTCGGATCAACTCGAGGATTTGGGGATCAAAATTCACGAAGATTTTCTATAAAAGACATAGAAAGCCTATAATGAAGTGTTGTGTCAAATAAATCCGACATTGGACTAACTGATCTTCCTTCATTTACCTTCGTATCTGGATGGAGAACCAATAAAGATGCTTGCATGCCACAACGAGCTATGTCGACAGCATTCATCCAACTACGATGATACAAAACCTACAAAATTTTTGGAGAAATTAACACTTAAATTTAAACAGATAAAGATGGATGATTACGTAGCTGACATTGCAAAGGAGAAAATAATGCGTACCTCAAATTCAACTAATACTGACGCCATTCTATTATAGTTCCTTACAATTCTTTTAGCCTCATCACCCTATGGTCATAAGCACGAGTTTGATACATCATGACGATAGTTCAATATAGATTGGAAAACAAGATCTGGGAGATAGCAGGTGATGTTAGAGCACTACCAAATGACTACAGATAAAAGATTAATGATGAACAGGATCAAATAAGAGACCACAGGTGATGCCGAACAATAATAAATGACTGCAGATGAGAAAGGTGGATCGCAGATGTCAACCGTTAAGGGATGATAAGGGATGAGGGGAGATGAACGGGGTACTATAGAACATGAGCGATTTAAGACGTCCTCTTTCAATTTACGTAATTCATAATCACCTTCAAGACGTCAGGATATCTATGAAACACTCTCATTGGTTCATGTATACGACGGAATAATTGACGACACCACGTGATCTTCCCAGCAACCTAAGCGAAAGAAAGGACTTCGAAAATAGCATTTGAAATGCCGTGAAATGTTGTTTTGTATGTTGACTTACAGGAGGCAGGTTCCTTTGAATGGGAGGATCATGTTTAAACTTCTGATATATTTTCTTGCAAGTCTCAAGATCTCTTTAAGATAAACAGTAAGTACATATAGGTGAGTAAAAACTTTATTTCAAAACGGTAACACACAACAGTTGATGAACAACAAGTCCTCTTATTTTTACACAAATGTACATCCAAATTTTAAATAAGGTTGTTCCATGTTCCATCAGTTGAAACAGTAAACGACCTCCTTCCTTCGTTACATTTTATTCTGTACATTACAATTATAGATCGTAAGCTAATGTACATAAGCCATACTAAGCATGAATAATGATTATTCTCTGTAACACCATTGCCTACAGGTTACCAAACAAAAATACCCTCAATAACTGGGTGATTTTAGTTGTGTTTTGGAGGTGAAATTATTTGCCGTTAATTGGGTGAAAAATTACGCCTTAGAAACAATAGTTAAATATATACACTTACTTTCTACACAGCTTAGAAACAACAGTTAAATATATACACTTACTTTCTATACTGCTTAGAAACAAGACTTAAATATATACTCTTATCTTCTATACTGCTTAGAAACAACAGTTAAATATATACACTTACTTTCTATACTGCATTAACACTTTGTCATATTTATCATTAAGATACAGGACCACGCCACTGATATTCTCAAACTTCCCAAGAAGCTCTAGGGCGCGGGTCGTCTATAAAATAAAACAAATATTGAGTTTATTAATCAGACTAAGACGTGTCATACTATGCAAGATAAACATAATAAGATATAGATTTACGTATGAATGGTAATAAAGTAAATGTTTTGAACACGGGAGTATCGCAACATGTTTGTGGATGAAGATTGTCCAGGTTAGTAGAATCCTGAGAAGGACTGTTGGTATTGATGTTGACTGACGTTTCGACAACCTTAGCGGTAGTCATCTTCAGAGTGAAGCGATAATTATCTTCACTTGACTCTGAAGATGACTAGAGCTAAGGTTGTCGAAACGTCAGTCAACAACAACAACAACAGTCTTTCTCAGGACTCTACTAATCTAGACGATCTACATTCACAAACATTTTATGAATGGTGACTTACTGATAAAGATTTATCAAACCACGAATCAACAAACAGCTGCAACTGTTCTTTTAATGCTTCAACACTTTGCTTGAACTCGTAGTAGTCAGTATCGAACTGCGGTAAAAATAATTCTAGTAACGGAATCTTTAAGAATGCGACAAAAACATCAATAACATACTTCTCCCTTACGATGATCCAGTAGATCATACGTTTTCTTCTTGACAGTCGCAACCATCGTCTGATATCTTACAACAATAGTTTCAATACCCTAAATGGAAGATAACGGAACTTTTAAAGGCTCTGTAACTTAGAGTCAGGGGGGGGGGATATACTTTACGGGTCAACAGGTTTGTATTTCTTAATGATGGTGTATACGTAGAGTACTTTCAATGAAACTCATACAGGTATAGAAAAACCATAAAGATGAATGGGAACTGGCACGAGGGGGAGCGGTAAAATTTTCTACTGGATAGACATGTAAAAGGGTTAACTTATCTCCTTCTTTTAGAAACCTTACAAAAGATGATTCAAAGAAAGACAAAGCTCGTGAAGATATTCGCTAAATAACAACATAAAGCAAAACCTCGATTTTGATTTTTTGTAATCCAGACAAGTTCTCCATTGCAATTAACATGTCGTCAAGTTTCCCTAAACGTCGACAGAACGCGTCAAATTTACCAAAAATATAGTTCTCACTGTAAGATAAAAAAATGATAATTAAAATTTATTAAATTCATGTCGTTTATTAAAACATGACCAATGTTGTAATGGATGATTTACAATGATGTAATGGATGATTTACAATGATGTAATAGATAGTTTACAATGATGTAATGGATAGTTAACAATGATGTAATGGATTGTTTACAATGATGTAATGGATAGTTTACAATGATGTAATGGATAGTTTACAATGATGTAATGGATGGTTTACAATGATGTAATGAATGGTTTACAATGACGTCTATAGTCACCTGAACTCAAATTGTCGTTCACATTGTGTTTCTTTCAGTTTGTTCTTCGTTTTTTGAAATGAAATTTGATAAACTTCGTTGAGTTTTACAGCTTCATGTAACCGTGCGGACAAAGTCTCTCTAAAACATCATATCCAAATGGTCACTTGGCATTTGTAAAGCATTTTTAACTTCGTGAATTACAAGACCATGTGATATAATTAACGTATTGATGATAGTAAAACGAGAAAAAAAGTAATGTTGAAGTGGGAATAAACTGATCTCATTTACAGTGGACTGTTATACATTAGGTACAAAATGGGGTTATATCAATCCACCCGCAGCCAAGTTTAACAATGAAGTGGAAAAAGTAAGTACATTTGATTAACTATTATTTAGGACATTACACAAGGATGTGACAAGGAACTTCAATTTAATCGATGTCATGCGCAGTAGAGCCAATACCTTGGTAAATCCCATATTCTGCTGACGTCTTTATTTATGTAAGCTTTGCATGTTGAAATCATTTGATTAGTGACTTTTACAAATAATGACGTCATTCTTTCGGATGTGTTGTAATACTGAGATATCGTGTGAATCATTCGAATGGAGTTCATAAGACTGGGAACATACTCTGTCATTTCAGTCTAAAAATAACACATTTTACAATACTGTCAGTACTAACATTATTTTTACAATCCTACTTTTTATTTGTAAAAATCCATGATTTAGAGTTCAAAATTCAAGCATATTACTGGTAAGCAGTGAGCTATCCTGTCAATTTTTTAAGATCACAATGTGTAATTACACAAACGACATTTAAATGTTACAAAATTTACAATAAAGACAATCTCAAATAATTAGGAAAAATAAAACTATCTCATTAGCTTTCAACGCACCGATTATTGAATCATGACGAAAATAAATTGCATTCACCCCTCCCCCCTGAAAATGTATACTATGTAATATTCGTATGAATTTTGGCGATTTTGGAAACCTCGCACTAAAAACAGACGCTATTTTACGATATACATGTATATATAGTAGTTGATCTTACAGGTGAACACTTGACGAGCGGACCGAAAAATTTATCCAAAGTATAAAGATATTTCACGTTATCCTTGGCTTCATTGGCAGCGTCTGTTATACGACTGTCCTAAAATCGTTTAAGAAAAAAACAGAATTGTTGTCAATAATGATAGCTGCACGAAGGGGGTATAGCTGCACGGAGGGGTGATAGCTGCACGAAGGGGTGATAACACGAAGGGGTGATAGCTGAAGGGGGATAGTTGCATGAAGGGTGATAGCTGAAGGGGGTGATGATGCTGCATGAAGGGGGTGATAGGAAGGGGTGTGGAAGCTGCATGAAGGGGTGATGCTGCATGAAGGGAGGTGATAGCTGCATGAAGGTGATAGCTGCATGGGGGTGATAGCTGCATGAAGGTGATAGCTGCATGAAGGGGTGGCTGCATGAAGGGTGATGCTGCATGAAGGGGTGATAGCTGCATGAAGGGAGGTGATAGCTGCATGAAGGGGGGTGATAGCTGCACGAAGGGGGGGCATATTTCTTCACAAAGGCGCTAAAAGTTGGTTATCATTTTTAACAACTGATTTCAATTCTGGGTTTTTATCCAACCACATCTACAGTAAAACGTTCAGTCATTTATTTAATGTGCAAGTCTTAATATTTAGTAAAAGATTTACAAACAACAATATACACTACTAGAAGTAAACAATGAACAACAAACCAGTTCTTTCCAATGTTTCAAACTTTTTGATTTAGCAGCATGAAGAACACCAATGGCAGCCTTGCAGTGGCGGCTCTTTATTTCATCTAACAAACTAACAATAATTTCCATGATGACTCAAGTATCTCTATGATGGTCGTTGTATCAAACAAAAATCGTAGCTACCTGTTAAATTTCGCCATTCTCTGTTTCCAGTGATCAAGTTCAGCAGATGGTCCAATGTCGTCTGATTCTTTACGGAGCTGCAGGAGAAAAACTTCATCGTGATGATTCTGCAAGACATAACTAACGACATGCATGGTAAAATATACTATAGCAGGCGGGCATATTTATTTTTATGCAAGCCGTCAGTCGAAAAATAGTTACGCGATCTAGATCTTATGCAAACCAGCTCCATAAATTCTTTCTATTGTCCAATAAAAACCTCTACTGTTCAATAAAAACATCTATTGTCCAATAAAAACCTCTACTGTTCAACAAAAACATCTATTGTCCAATAAAAACCTCTACTGTTCAACAAAAACATCTATTGTCCAATAAAAACCTCTACTGTTCAATAATTTATTTTAGTAAACATATTTCAAAGTGTTTTATGGGAGAAATATGAGCTTTATACACTTCTTAAGTGTGCATGCGTGCATAAGTTCTCTTCTGACCACTGTATTTACGTAGCTTCAGTCACTTGATGACGTCACTGGCTACGTATGAAGTCAACCTCTGACATTCACGCATAACGAATCTCAAGATATTGATCCCATTTGTGATATTGATGGAATAAAAATACGTATCTACCGATATTGATTGATCCTACATGAAGTTATACCAGGAGTGGGCAACATACGGCGCGCGGGCCGCGTCCGGCCCCTGAAGGGATTTTGACTGGCCCGCCGACTGTATCCGACCATTGAATATTGAATATTATTCATGTAATAATCTGGCCCACCAATAACTTCATTTTCCTAAATCTGTCCCGCAGATTGGAGAAGTTGCCCACCCCTGAGTTATAGAATACCTGTTCACTTTTAGCCAAAACCAATTCAATTTCCTTTGCCCAGACTGCAACAAGACCCTCAAGTTTATCAACAGTCTCAGGACTCTTTGCTGCAGCAAGAAAATCTGTTGGCGTGTTTAAACTGTCGAGTAAATCATTCAAACCATTTTCACTCAGTTTTACTCTTCCTTGCATGTTGTTTTTCGCTCCGGTTAAGATACCGACAAATTTCTCTAAGCTTTCAAGAAATTCTTGAATGGAAGATTTCTCATTTGATAATTGACCCCATTGCTGAAGGACAAATATTACATTGTTAAGAGATGAACACCAAAATCTATGTACATCAACATCTACAGCCATGGAAACTTATGGTAAAAATATAACTTAAGTTTGTTTACCTTTTGATTTTTTAAAGCAGGTACCATAATGTTGCCTAACAACTTTTCAAAACCTTCAAGAAGACGACCATTTGTTGCATCAAGCATCATGAAATTTACCTCCTGTTTATATCAACAAATCAAAACAAACAGAATGAGATGATAGACAGTACCATTTGGTTTGTACGTAGATATAAATTCATAACTTACCTGACCAACATTGGATACAGTAATTGGTTTGAGATTTGTACGCAGGAAGAAGAGACACATACCACTTACATGCTGAATAATAATATTATCTGTTAATGTTTACAGGATGATCTTTATAGAAAATGTCATGATAGTAAAGGAATGATGTCATGATCTTTAGAGAATGATGTCATGATCTTTAGAGAATGATGTCATGATCTTTAGAGAATGATGTCATATCTTTAATGAATGATGTCATGATCTTTAATGAATGATATCATGATCTTTAATAAATGATGTCATGATCATTAAGAAAGGCAGTTATGAATGATATATTATATATTTCTAACAAACCTCATTAGCACGATCAGCAATAAATAATTTCTTGGTTGAATTTGCTGCATGTGTACTGAGGTCTGGACGGTTCATCTAATAAGAATATCGGTCAAACAATGATGACATGTTCTTAACAGACAGAAATATTTCACAGTGTGTTCAACCGTTGCTTCTTGAAATAGGAACAAGATTGCTTTAGAGCCATCAGCTTTGAAGAAATCTTCTATATCTTCATACTAAAAACAAAAACAACTATGATGCTCCATTCTTCATATAAACTTCACATGCATTAAAACCGCATGGTAAACAAATAAAATTACCCCTCATATCCTATCCTGTATACGTACCTTAGCATCCCCCAAAATGAAATCCTCAACAGTGGGAACATCAAGCCCAACAACATCAGCAATCTGAAATATTTTGGGCAATAAAAAGTTGCTTTATTCCAAGGGTGGTGGATGATTAATAATTGGGACGACTAAGATTCATATATTTACATTTCAAAAAATAATTTGAAATCAATGGTGATTACAGATTATAAAATATGAATACATGAAGGGCTCCCCCTGCTACCCTTAAACTTCTTGTCAAAATCTTTTAACTTTTGGTTCATTACCTTTGTAAACAAGAACTGATGTCTAGCGTCAATCTATATAAAACAAGTTAAGATACGACTTTAATATTGTACATATCTAAAAGAAGCATGTGTTCTCTTTATACAAACCACGGCCTTTCGTTTTTCTTTTAAAGTTTTTAATATCTTCTGCCTTTCTTTTAAACTTTCGCCAGAAATAAGCGTGACACTTTTACTCCGCTGTAGTAAAGGAAGGAGAGTTACGGAGCTTTCGTGAATAATAGTGAAAGAATGAACGATAGTATTTACCGGTTGCACAGGGCCAGACGGTTGTATAGGTCTTGAGTCCTTTTGTGCAAGTTGTCCTCGTCTTTTTCGATGTTTTCCACCATCTTCAGTTGCTGTTGGTATAGATAACCTGTTACTCAAAGCTCATAACGCTGTATTTTCGAAATCTTATAGCATAAAGTTTCATTCCAGTCAACAAAAAAATACAAATTTAAAAGATATGAGCAGTCGATACTCTCACGTCAATTTTTGAAGTTGAAAACTATTTATGTCTTTGCTAAGAATAGTATCCGTGCCTTAGGATAGGACATTAGAGAAATATTTTAATAGGTAAACAAAGAAATAGACAATAGAAAGTAAGAAACGCTCGCTACCTTTTACATTTGACAACAACGGTGGAGCAACTTCTGCATTTGATGGCGTCGATTTTTGATCGCCTTCGTCTTTTGCAGCCGTTTTATCTCCCTGACTGGCCATATCCTTAAGATTTAGCCTTCAAAAACACATACATGTCAAAAGCAAGCCGTTTAAGAAAATATTTCGCAAAAAAAATACGGCTGAAAACCCCAAATACATAAATCTAGGTGAAAAATGTATTCAGTTGAGCAGCCGACTACATTGTAGTCATGGCAACAACTCCGAGGGCTTTAAACATTGGGCGCGAAAAATGACGTCATTTCATTGTCGTTCGTCCTGAACGAGCTTTTCATTTCGTCCAAATACAAAACTCTTTTTCCTTGATATTAGTTGACTTTTTAAAAAACAACGCTTAAAAAATGTAACAATGGAAAACCAAAAATGTCGAAAGGCGTTTACTTGAATATTACCCTGTTGTCAAATATTTGAGAAAAATAGCAAATAATAAGTCTTTATCTAAATTTATTGAGCTAAACGAAAATTGTTCACATTTTTTTCTTGTTGAAATACGCATACATACAGTTAGCACATATAATAATCGAAAGTTTCTACCTGTGAATGAACGTGAACTAATCCTTCTACAATCTCACGAAGAAACCGCCACATTCTCTGTTGGTCCATGTACTATCCCTCGTCAATAGCATTCCTTAGAGTACTCTTCTCACAATACTCCATCTGCATATAGAAAGATTACCGAGAACACTTTCAATCCTCTTTTAAATCGTTTGTGGTTATGACTTCCTCTTCACTTTCGAAATCAGATTTCTCGTCCTAAAGAAAAGACGATGGTAGTTATTTTCACATATCTTCAGTAAAATCATGCAGAGTTCCCACTACTATATAATACCTGAGCCAACGAGCTTCCAAACTGTACATATGATTCATCGATATTTCTTTTGATCATATCTTCAATAGACTCGGCGTTATTAATGCATTGTTTTTGTATTGGAACCTCGACGTCGCTAGAGCTTTGTATCGTCGTCAACATGCTTGGAACCATGCTTGAATTCGTATTTTCATTGGTCCACATGTCCTCATCCAAAACTCACGAGCGTATGCTAGGTGCATGAACTAGGTTCAATTTCATCATACTATGTTTAACTTGGGCGCAGTTGTTTCTCTTCTATCACGCTTGATTACGTTTCACTTTTGGAAATTTCATTTTAAGTATTTCTTCTACCTTAAACCACAGATAATAATATCTGTCATAAATATTAAAGCATTGTTTACGCATTAAATATGCAGACACAAAGTTATGGAGAGAAATAAAAACATGTCTAACATTGTCACGGATTTTGCAAAAGGCGTAACAAAGTGTTGATGAGTTTGATATGCATTTGTCAAAAGAAGCCTAAGACAATAAAGAGCATGCCTAAATTCTATGATTGAAAATTTGCTATGCGCATACACAAACACCAATTTCAGAGCTTGCTCCCTGACATATTGACTGACAATTAATCTGAGCACGTGTCGTCAACTCCACCAACTCTCTAAGTTCATCGTCATAGCAACCACCACGTATACGTACTAGTACCGATTAGATGCGATAATAAGCTCGCTTAGTAACAATTTTTCAGATAAATGATCTGCGCATGCCCAGTCTGCTTGAGCATTTGACCTGACCATCTGCCTAATTTCATGTTAATGGCAACGATCAACTGCACCTACTAGCACCGATTTTGAAGTAAATAGCATGCTTAGGAACAATTTAAGAGAGAAATCATCTGCGCATGCGCGCGAGCATGCGCAGTCTACTCGACTAATTGTTCATAGTCATGGTAACGACTAATTATATATACTTGCACTACATTTGTGGTAATTAGCTCACTTTGTCGCAAATTATCAAAGAAATCATTTGAGCATGCGCAGTAATGACTTTAACAATACCGCAACTTTCGTAAGTCTTCAAAATTATGTGTATGTATATAAAGCTAAAACTTCATATAGTAGAAGTCAACTAGCAGTGGAAGCTGGGTGCGATATAGTATGCAGTGTCTTAGGGGCCCACACTTCGGTGGCGACCGCACTCTCCCTGCGTACCCTGAGCAAAGCCTATCGCAGGTGATCTCAGGGTCTAATGGGCGGAAGCTTGCTATTGCATCTCCCAAGTAGGATAGCGTGAGGGGCCGAAATCTCCTACTGAAACGTTAACATGCGGCGTTCTAGTGCCTTACATATCAGAAGGTATCCGGAAGCATGGCCCGAAAACGGGGTTTTTTACTTTCGAATTTTGTCTTTTTGTTTTCTTCTCATAAAACAAACGAAGCAATGTTTCAATTAACTTCTTATGACACTTCTGACACTTATAATTAAAAATAACCTTAAACATGTTTTATACCATTTTTATCGGTTTATATCTTTCTGATTTAATTCTCCCATTTACTGTTTCTCATGTATCACGAGCAAACCATCCATATGCTTCATGGCAAACAAACAAGGATTATGTGGTTCCCTTAGTTAACATGCGACGCTCTAGTGCTCAACTATCACGGGTATCGGGAGGCACGGACCGAAAACGGAATTTTTTTGTTTTCAAAATTTGTCTTTTTCTTCACAAGAATTCTTCTTATAAAAGAAACTAGAACGTCGAAGGATACTTCAAAGGTTCAAACAACTTCTGCCTTTTTCACTTATAAATCAAACCAACTCTATGCATGTTTATACGTTTGTTACTTGTTATCTTTTACAATGCAACTTTCTCATAACTCTCTCGTGATGAACGAGAGCCTCCTTATACAATATAACTCTCTCATCATGAACGAAAGCAACCGTGGGCTTTATGGAAAAAAGGGAACTATTTTTTTTATAATAGTTTCTGCAAAGATAACATTTAATAAGCCAAGCAATTTGTATATCGTCTAAATTGAACCTCGCTTTCATCTTTATGCTATAAAATTTTGATTCATTTGGATAATAAATTTCTATTTAACTTACAATATTTTCACGCTTCAATCTAGAAAGTAACTTCGCTTCTCGAGTGATTTTGCGATTATGCAGCCCACTTTTCGGGTTCAAAGGAATCCTTTTGATCGCATAGAGACAGCCTTCCAATTTATTACGTATCTAAGCGTATAAAAGCATTTCCAAATCACGTACAGAATTTCCTTCACGTGACCAATTTACCGTCTATTTAAACAATGTTGGTAATAAAAAGTTACCTTGACAACTGAAGCAAACCCTCCTTTTTCCAAGCATTTGCAACACCTCAAATTCATTCCAAACTCTTGAAGTTCTCGCAGCGTAGCCGAAAGGAATAGGCATCAAATCACAATACTCATCTCCATCACCACAGCCATTTTGATTTGTCCCTTTATCTTTTTCAGCGTCAAGCTTATCTGAAGTGATGTTATAGCTTAAAGCGTACGAAATGGGACTTGGAGAGATAAAAGGATGTCCAAGAAGCTGCTGTGCTAAGCATTGGTTCCCGTTCTCCAGATATAGATATCTATACAAAGTATATGACATTAAAAGACAGTAGCTATAAATTCTTCCTCACTTTAATGCTTGTTTTATGAAAACAAGACAGAAAGTAGGCTTTGTTTCAGGTCAAATAATGCCATATAATAATCCTTTTAACAATCCGCTTTCTCGGTTTTTACTGAAAAATGTCCGACCTCTGTCTTTTTGTACAAAACTCGCCCTACGGGCTCGGTCTGTACAAATAGACCTCGGTCCGTTATTTCTCCGTAAGGACATCGCGCTCAGTTATAAAGGGCTTATTAACTGTTATTATAGAGCTCAATACTTTAAACATTGAGCGTCAAAAAATGACGTCATTTCATTGGTTTGATTTTAAACGTATTTAAACTTAGTGCGCGTGCGCGAAGAATAAGGAGGTCCTTTTCCATGGGGTTAAAGCATGGGGTAAGCTGCTGTAAAAAAGTAGGAAAAATACAAACGGTAGTTTTGTGTATGCTTAACATATGTTTACTTCCACAAAGATTAGGCAGACAAAAGTACAAATCTTTGGGTATTAATAAAAAGTCATTATGGTCTTATATGTCAGACAAGAGATCGTCAAAAAATAAAATTAAGATCATAACCTTTCTATTTTGCTAGGGAGATCTGTATCTTACTTACACGATGAATTTTCTTTGGTCTTCTGAAAGGAGAAATATTGAAAACACTTTCAGTGAAAGCAAACCTTCGCTGAGCACAAAGTCAGATATTTTTCATGTACTCAGTGCTGAAGAAAGCAACGGAAAATCTTTACAATCTTTCTTAAACCAACAACCGAACTCGAACTTAAAAAATCCATACTTTCCATCGATTTTAACCAAACCACAATTGTTACGTAAAAAGAATCTAGAAATCGAGCGTTTAAAAGAGCTTGCTTGGAAGAACAGACTTGACTGCGCCAATGCAATTGCTCAAGAGAAAAAAGCAAGAATGCAAGAGATGATACAAAGACAAAATGTTGAAAGGATGAGAGCGCAGAATAAAACAAATCTAAAAATGGAACGCCTACGAAACAAGGAGAAATATTTGAACGAAAATGAACAACTAAAATGGGAACGAGATGAAGCAATATTGTGGAATAAAAGAAAAGATAATTTGATTCAAAGGCTTAAAATGAGAGTGATATACTTGAAGCAAGCAGAAAGGCAAGCTACGAAAGAAATAGATAATTTAAAAAGAAAATTGGAATGTGATAATCAAACTGTTTAATAACATATACATGTTGGATAGAATTTTGGGCAAACATTTTTCATCAAGTCTGGGAAATATATTTATACAAAAGCTTCATAGAAATGCTGAATATGACACAAAATTACTTAAGTACGAGAGGTTTGTATTGTAAAGCAACCCTCCCCCTCCCTGCCACAAAAAATAGAGTTACGTTACGGGACAAATATTTGATTTGGAGTGTCTGCATCTAATAGAAAAACCCGTAGTTTTAGCAAAACTAACTTTCGTCCTCTATCACATTGAGCTTTTTATTTTGACGACATTTTTCACAAAAGCACCGCTTCTAACAGTCATTGATGATTGTATCATAAATGTTTTATGTCATAATGTGCATATATAAGTACATTCATGTACATTCATGTACATAAATGAATACTTATCTTATCTTCATTTATGTATACATATTGCTTTGTAAATGTGGACTCGTGATTACTAAGGAATTCAAGAAATCTTCTTTTTCACATTTTGACAGCTAAAAAGTAAAAATAGACACATGTCAAACATAAAATGGATGATAAAATATTTCAAACAATCAAAATGGTTTGACATACTGTAGGTAGATCTTTTAAACTTCCATTTTGTATCAATGAGTCGAATATATCTATTGCTGTAAAACTGTGAGTTAAACTATCTGTTGCAAAAACACCAACATACAATGCTGCAGGGATTCGAAATATTTGACAATAACTGAGCACTAGAGAAACGAGAAAAGAATATTCATTAGGGCAATGCTTGCTGAAAGCTGATAAATGTATTTTTGGTGGATTAATCATTTATTTTCTCTTTAGAGTGAATCAAAAATTTCTTTTTAAGATTTTATTCCTCCCTCACATATAATTAAGTACACAAATACAAACACTTAAACTCCACTACAAAATTTGAACACAAAACACTTGTGTTGATGAAACTCTCCGACTGAAAAGAGATGACAATGTTCAACATATACAATTCAAATAGATAATTTCCTTATTCAGTAGAAGGCTCGAAGCACCGAGTCGAAAGCTCAATAAAAATCATTCATAAAATCCAGAGAAACTTTTATTTTTCAACATTAATGCCTGGATTACCAATTTTAAAGCTTAATTCAACATACATACCTGCAGCAGGTAATTTTGAAACAAAATTAGGCGAAGGTAAATATGGTAAAGATAATTCACAGTTCCAATGATCTGTTTTTAATACAAACAACTGATCTTGATCATCATCACAATCAAGAGAGCATGACGATGCAGGCAATGTTGTCAAGATTATCACTTTCTTGGGTTTTATACAAGCAAATACCTATAATAGTTAATAAGTTGGTTTCATGATGTTTCAAGGTATGTAGGTAAAGAACTGCAATACAAAGAGAAGCACTATAATTCCAGTACTTTAGCTACAGACTATTTTGAAGCATGTAAAGATGCATGGGTACAAACTTTGCTATGTGCAAATTAGTTCAGAAAAAAAGATGTGCAATTTTTTTTTGACAAAAGTGTTTCTTTAGAAGCAAAATCAAATCAATATTACGTTAATTATTATATAGCGCTAATTGCTAAATTAATATTTTTAAACGTGCACCAATTCAATAAAAAACATCATATTTATGTCATATTACAAACAATATGTAAAGCAAAAAGTATGGCTGATCATGGTTGCCAGTTTGGCTTAATGTTTTGAGCCAATTTTCGTTTCTTTTTCTCACGCTAGGCTTGTTTAAAATCAAAATTCCCAAAATCAAATTTGTTGCTTATTGCCAGACTTCCCAGTCTCAAAGTGACAACGTCTTTGAATTTTATGACATTGTGTCAACATGGATTTTAATGTCGTGCAACACACTCGTTTATAAAGTAAAGATCAGTAAAGACTAAGCTTGAAAACCTTTTTCAATTTATGTGGTAGTAATCAATAGAGCATTTTTTTTGCATATCGTTTGAAAAAGTGATGTGCAATTGTTGTCATTTTAGCTAAAATGATGTGTAAATTGCACATTGCACACCGTTAATTTGCACACTGGTACAAACGATCCATCATTTATCCCCTTGTCCCACAATACATATCCATATTTTCAAAAGCACTATTGCCAATACACATTTAATATACGACTTTTTGATAGGACATCTCATGATGCCATCTTCAGTATGAATGAAATAATAGGTGATACAGGGTTTATATAGTAATATGATACATAAATTACAACAATAAAAGGAAATAAGATAATATAATGAGGAGCCCACATTAACAAAACTAACCCTGACCTCAATGTTCAAGTTTTAAATTCAATACAATATTTAGTTTATAATACGCCGGACGCTCCTCATTATATTATCTTATTTCCTTTTATTGTTCTAATTTATGTATCATATTACTTTTATAAACCCTGTATCACCTATTATTTCATTCATACTGAAGATGGCATCATGAGATGTCAAACATGTCTATTTTCAAAAGTTGTCGTATATTACATATCCATATCCTATAATAGCATTAGCAAAGTCATAATGTTGTCAAGATATAATATTGTTGACCTCCATCCATCCAACAATGACACATTGACAACAAACAATAAACTTGACACAAAACATAACCACCTACATGTACACAAAGCAACAAATACTCACTTCCTTGACCCAGTCATGACTGATTTCTTCAGACACCTTCACTTTACATTGACAAAGGAGAATTTCGCGGTTATTTGTAGCAGAATATATGAAACAAGTTTTATCCAAGTTTGAAGTCTGTTTTAACGAGTTCCATATAATTTCATCTTTACAAACGCCGCTAGATACGACTCCAATGATATCACTGTCTTTGTTTATAAAATTTGCTTCAATAAAGGTTGTAGGAATTCTGTCAAACGCCATAACAAGCAACGCACAAGAAAGTGACGAATCATTTTGAAACCGTCTTGACAGACGAACAATTGGTCTTGAACTTCGATTCTTTTGATCCGTAAATTCGTCATCTTCTGTGTCAAGATCAACAGCTCTTGAATGGGGATATACAACCTCCCACATATTATAAAGAAATCTTTAAGAATATAACCACAATGGTGACAATAGTAAATGGAAACGATAAGAATTTTACTAAACTTGCCCTTCAAGGCTCTTGACATGTGCTCAAGATCGAAAATGCTAAATCTGCATGTTAGTCAAAATACTCCCCCCTGTCGACATTTGTAGAATTATTGTAAACCGGGAGACCACTGATATTTCCTTCAGACAACAATAATCGTTCCGAATAAACGTGCATTTTGGTATTTATATAACTTATTCAAGTTTATTTTAACGAAAAATATGTTTGGAAGACAATTTTTACGGAAATGCCCCAACATTTCAGTAAGTAGAACTAATTTTGAACATGAAGATAATTTTAGTTTGAATATATAACGTTGAAATGAATGTAGAATTAAACTGAACTATTACATTTCTATTGGCAGAATCTAAGTTACGTAGCATCTAGACAATACAGGAGAAAATCTGGAAACTTGACTCGTGAAGCTGCAATGAAACATTCAAAGACAAAGGCAAATCAAATGAGGTAATTCTGTCTTTCATGATTCTGTTCTGTTTTGGAAATTCAGACTACCAGATGATCAGAGAGCTTCTATATTAAGAGTCTAAAATTCCATTTCCAGACTTGAAATGACATTTTGTCTTGATAAAGGTATTTGAACATCATTGTTTGTATTACAGGGGACATCATGTGATAACTATGGATATGAATTTAAGCTTTTTAAAACAGATGGAGCGATTTTCAATTCTTCGTTGCTCAGGTAAAACATTATTTTTCAGCAGTTTGTGTTTTCTTAATCTTGTATTTAGAATTCTTTTTTTGTAATCACAGCTGTAGGGACAACAATGGCTATACGTTCTGTGATTTGTTTACCACACAATGAAGGAGTTTTGGAGTTAGCTGAAGATGAAGAAGAAGCATGTTCGGTCAAAAGACAGTCTCTTTGTTGATTAAAATATTTAAAAATGGAGAAGTTTTGGGCAGTGATACATACATTTTATCTTATTAATTAAGAATAATGGATTGGTATTGAACAAATAAGGATAACTATGGATTGATATGGATAGAAAGGATAGATAAGGACAAAGCTCACTGGTGCTTGCTATGATGATATGTGAAGTGACAAGATCTTAACATTGTATTTTACATTTATATTCGGGAATTTTTATGTTTCATAAAAACATAGGAGAATTAAACTATTTGTTGTCCTTCTGTTTTTAGTATAACCTTTTGAAGAGTTACTTTTCCATATTCATGACAGTTTCTTGTTAACAATGGCATAATTTTCTTATTGTTGTCTTGCAAAACATGTTGGAACTCTAAGAGTCTGTGTGTGTCTCTGATTGACAAAGTACTGCTTTCTTTCTTTAACATGAAATTGATTTATGTCAAGGATGTCTAAATTGAAGATTAATATAGCACCATTATATTTACTAGAGAAAAAAAATGTAAATAAAATGGTTAAAAATCACAGGTGCTGCAATACTTACACATATTTCACAAGTTTTCTTGCAGTTGTAGCGTTTCATAGCAAAGTAGGGACTGTCGCTGCACAAACCGTCCGTTTCGTAATACTTACAATCTGAATCTAGATCCACGCAGCCATTGTATGTGAAGCCAGGACCTACGATTTGTTGTGGTTTGTCATTTGAAATCATATGAAATGAATATACGCTTTTAAAACAGCTTTTTTACAATGCTTAAGCTCTTGTTGAAAACTGTTTTTGCTTCGTTATCATTCAACTACAGTGAAATCTTTGTTAAATACGGAGTATGACTATGAAACTGAACGATGATGAATAGAAATCAGTTAACCTCGGGGTCTGATATAATGGGATAAGAGGGGTAATGGTGTGCATCAAGTTTTAAACCAACCTCTTTCTTCACGATCATACTTGTATTCAGGTAAAGTATTTTGTAGCATTATGTTTAAGTTTTCTATAGATTTTGCCTTTAATCTTTCTCTCGCAAGTTCTGGGATCTGTTGTATTCTTTTATCTTGTTCAGCCTTTGAAGTTAGCTTATCAAAGCGATGATGACGACGATCATTGTTATTTAGTAAATCCTCTTTGTACTGATACTCCGGGGAAATTTTCACTAGCAATGCATCCTCGTCAGGCTCGTTAGAAGGAAATGGTTGAAATCTTTGTCCATCTGATCCTGAAGATTTCGATGGCGGTTTTTTTGTACGTTCGTACGAAGAAACGAAATTGTTTTTTAGTGTCTTTGATTTTCCTGTGTAAATTAAAAATGAAAATTTATATGACGAGGGAGGAGGAAACATGAAAAAACTACATGTTTTGCTTAAATGCTTTACCTATTTACAGAAACAAACGATCCACATACACTAAGATCTATAAAACGTCTTTGAAGGTCTTTCTGATTGACGTTTCATAAATCAATAATCTGTTATTACCTTCATGATTTGAAGAGAACACAACAGCCAAAATCTCTACAAAACAAACTAACACGACAAAGATACGGGGCATTCTTTTAAAACATATAAATGAAGATAATCACTTTTCTACCGTATCGTTTCTGCTACGTTGTATACAGGTGTTGAAGTTGATTTTATTGTTCAGTTTATAGCAAACGAAGCATGTTACTGCGTGTATGTAGCATTGCAAGCATAAATTACGCTAATACTTTGTTTGTAAACATATCTGTAGACAAAAGGAGATTTGGCTCACGAAAAATTTAAATAGTTAAACAACAGACGTGCTAAAGAAAGGAGACGGAATTGACGTTTTCATTAGCAAAAGCATTTTAACAGGTACAAACTGATGCGGTAATTGACACTGATTGTATTTTTGTCATTTGAAAACTGGTGTCCAAAAGCTGAAAATAGACAAGTTACATTACAGTAAATTTATAAACAGACCTGTGACGCATACCAAAAGTAAATTTTTCAGTGACGTTATAACAATTGACATTCGCCCTGTGATATAAATCGTTATAAACGTAAGAACACCAACATATTTTAATCCCCATTACTTAAGTACCTTCAGAATATAAAGAACGAAAGAACTAAAATTCGGCAGCAAAGTAAAATTATAACAATATTGGCAATGATGTACTGTCAGTTGTTATCTGATATTAAAAATGCAGCTGGACACATGACGTGTCCACGTGACTTGTTACATCATATATATATATACTTGCCAACACGTCTATAAACAAAATCAGGTGCTTGGGAAGCCGTGGGCGTCCGTGTGCAAGCGCACCCACAACTTTAAGAGTGTGGGTGTTTTATATAGGAAGGACACGCACAAATTTAGCTTCTTGCATGAAAATATATGATATGTTGCATCCTGAGTTTTTGCAAGCACACTGAATTTTCTAATGAAGGAACTGGCACGAGTAAGCTGGAAATTTCAAATGGTTGAGCATAGCCGATATATGCAAATCATTTGTATGTAATGCATTTTTTACAATTTTTGTAATATATGCCGAAAAAGGAAGAAAAAACTATCAAAAATAACTAATATGAAGCAGTTTCATTACTATTCTTAGTTTCTCGCATTATCAAATTGCGAACATGAAACACCCACAACTTTTGAAAGCTTCCAAAGCCTCTCAACAAATTCCTCTCATTGATATGCAATATCTTTTCATACAATGCAACAAAATTGTCGTGACGTCACATAGACCAGTTGTCACGTGGATTGTTCAATGTTAATGAAGATCACATGTTCAAACGCCTATAACAAAAATCGTGATATTTTGGCGTTGAGCAACAACATCGTGATAATTTATTATTTCAAAACTTATGAAGGGACAACACCGGCATCATACACACAAATTTAATGACTATTTTGAACGTCTGAGCTGTATAGTTCGTCTGGAGTATTATTCTGTTCTTTATGATCGAAAACTCCTGGGTCGTGTTCAGAATGTGAACCATTTATATTCATAAGAATTTTCTTCAATAAAAACGTTAATATTTGTATATTGTCCTGAAGGAGGTTTTGCTTCATTTATACTTTTATAATCATGTAGAGGTATCAACTTTAGAGATTCCTTTAAGCTTGTACCTGGTGTAGTGCCTTGAGAATTGACGTCATTAAATGATTTAACGATGAATCTAGAGGTAGCTAAATTACAAATAACAACACTTTATAAAATCGTCGATAATTCATATCAACACAGATAACAAGGAACTAAAATGTAAAATAAAAAGTAGGAAAAAGAACAGAATAAACATATACAACGACATATAAGGAGAGGTAATGTTAGTTGTTTAGTGTACGACAAGATCTTTTTCCTAACTATAACCTAACGACATACGCCTTTATCTTTTTGCTTCTCCCAACCTACCTCTACCCTCTGCTTTCTCCAATACACAACTTCACCATTTACAAGTGCATCACAAAGACGACGTAGGATGATTTCAGTGTTCATGCAAGATCTATCTTCAATATGAAATTCATGACTCTCTAGGTTTGGAAACAAGATTCTTTAACTTCAGATTTCCACCCCGACTAAGGTCTAAGGCATTAACCTCAACACTTGCATTAGAAAAGTACCCGCTGACGTCACTCAATACAGGAAATACATCACTGTTGCTGATCACTAGAACTTTGAAGTCGGCTACTGGGCCAGCGGCATTTGGCGAGTCGGCAGCAATGACGGTGTCAGCGACCGTGAGAAATCCCATAGTCTGGGGAGAGTTTAGTTTACCATTACTGTTGCTTTTGAAGGGAGTAAATGTACGAATTAAAGGTCGCTTATTTAGCCATTTCTGTACGCCTGATTTTCTGATTATGTGTTAAGATCGTGTATACTGTCTTAGCCACGAAATAGTAGAAACATAATCACATGATCAAGAATCTTGCATAACAATAGTCAATATTGCAAATTCCTTGGCTACTTTTCCTGAAACAAACTGACGAATTGATTTAGTGCAGTCTTCATTTAAAAATGGTTTTCATTCAAAATAGCAATAAAACTTTTGCTAATGGGCAATACCAGTTGTTTCATTTGTGGGTTTTTTAAAAAAAGAACTTTTTAGCTTTTAACCAACTTCCTAAAATATTCGCAGTAAATCTGACTTCACGCAAGAACGAATTTCAGTCTGTGAAACTACAGGTTAAGAAAATATTCAGTTGATTATTTTTTCGTGATTACTACCATTTTTTTATTTCACATGAAATGATTTTTTCATTGTTTTAGCGATAAACAGGTTTTGCATATATGTCTTTAAAAAGGAAATGGATCTTGAACAAGAGGAGCTTTGGTCTATGTTTTTTCGTGTTTTCTCTCTCGCTGGTGCTAGTTTTATATAAGAATTACAAAGGTATGTCTGAGTGAAAAATATAAAGATATCGTTTACAAAATGAAATCACTCTTTCTTACTAACTGAAGGAAATTTTTCCTCTTAAAGACATAGAAAGAACTTTAACGAAACGCGAGCAAACGCTACAAGTGGACATTTGTTTTATGATCCCGAGCTCAATGAACATAACAAATTCTACTAGAGAAAAAATCTTTCAAGAAGCTATAGAATGGTCCAAATTATTGACAAGAGCTTTTGGGGAAATTGGAATCAATAAAACAAGAATTGCTCTTATTTTATACGGAGAAAACGCGAAACTGATGTTCAATTTTACTGATAAAATGGACAAACAATCTGTAATGGAAGGCTTGGATGAAGCGAGCGAGCCTCCAGCTTTGGGTAATGAAACATCAACAGAAAAAGCCTTAGAATTTGCGTTAGACAATTTGGTGAACCAGACTCGAGAAGATGCCGTGAAAATATTCTTTGTATTTGCTGATCATCCCGCCGACGATAATACAACAGCAATTGTGACGAAACTTAAGGAAAAAGATATTGAAGTTTTTGGCCTGGGACTGAGAGCGAATGCAACGATCGATGAAAACAAAAACGAAACTTCAGAAGGTATGTTAATGCCAGACTTTTAACAATGGAACATGAGTTGAACACGAAGCATGATTTACGAACCAAAAACATTTTTTAGAAATTGAATGAAATTATAAAATTGCTTCAGAAGAATCCACAAACCTTACAAAAACAGGGAAAATCTTCATTTTTGTAATTGGGTCGTGACATAAAACATTCATCGGGTAATTAAAGAAAACATGGCTTTTTTAGATAACAGTGAACTGACCTCCGAGAGTGGTAATCAATCCTTAAGCATCAACAATGATCAAGCATCACCCTCTACTATCAACATAATTTCAAACAAACCATCCACCGGCATCAACAATGATCAAGCATCACCCTCTACTATCAATATAGTTTCAAACAAACCGTCCACCGGTATCAACAATGATCAAGCATCACCCCCTACTATCAATATAGTTTCAAACAAACCGTCCGAAGCAAAAACCAACTATGACGATCATGATGAGTTGGAACAGTCCTTGAATGACGACAGTAAACCAAAAGCAAAGTTAGGAAACTACGAAATATTTGGAAAATTGACAGGAAAACAGATTGAAACGAGGGACATTTTACGTAAGATTATCTACGGCGACAAGGCAAAAGTTGTTATACTTTAATATAAAATGCAAAATAGCTTTTCTATAGGATGGTACTTTTAAAATAACGACATAATGAAAATAAAAAATTGCTTCCAATATTTAGAAATCTAGAAAGTACTATCGTTAAAATTGTACGATTTCTTGTTGAAATCGTCACCACCTTGTTTCTACGACATTGCTACATATTGTTGAATACAGAAAGTAAAATATATTGTAACGCTGAAATCAACTGTTGGTACTACTTGCAAGCTTCGAGACAATATCATCAAAACGACCATCTTTGATAGCATCATAAATTATCTGTAAATTTTCATCTTGAGGAGTGACTCCATCGTGGAATTTTACTCTAAGACTTTTTCTAACAAATAAATACAAAAGCCGTGTACCTAGAAAAAATTAATTCTGAACAAAAACATGTTTCTAGACTTTTTTTCTTTATTCCAAAAGCATTATTACATTAACAAGAAAGGAAACAGAAAAGGAAATATGTAAATACATGCGTTACAATCGACACGCTAAAATTAGCTTTACATGAACATTGCCATTAAAATAATTATGATTTGAGTGGCTTACCTTCACCCATATTACTCGCAATTTTCTGAATGAACTTGCCAGAAACCAAATCCTCTCTCAGCTTGTCCATTTTTGCTTTGACTTGATCACCAAGAGCGGTGACTTGGCTAGCTGCAAAGCCATCAATATCCATCAACTTTACGGCTTCGATTGGACAACAGAAGAAGCGATACCAGGGAATCAATTTGAACAAAACATTCATATTGAGGTTGGTGTAATCACTAAGCATTGACTCAAGTATTACTTCAACATCCTTCTTAATCCAACGAAGGTCAACAGCTTGACATAAAGATGTCAACATGTTCACAATTTGCATTTGAAAGATCTCCAACACCATCTCGGACATGCGAGCTGAAATCAAAGCCAAGGAATTGACGCCTTGGTTTCGCAGCTCAGCGCACAACACGTGATTCGACACTGGATTTGTGAGAAAGTCAAGTTCCGAGGTATACGAAGCCATTGCAGTCTCCGTTCCCTTGAAACCCATATCAACATTGAGATCGCCACCACACAAGTTGGGCGAGAGATCATTATTGATTTTGAAATCCATGATTTCAGACATCAAAGCAAAGAGAATTTTCCCACATATCTGCATACTTTGCCTAAACTGATCCATAGCAACAGCTGTAGAACTGCCTTGAAAATTTCCACCGTGAAGAATGACTCCTGTTCGATGATCCACGATAGGATTGTCGCTGACACAATTTAGTTCAACTTTGATCCGTCTCATTGACTCCATTGCAGTCTCTAAAGTCGGTCCCAACCATTGAGGTGACGACCGAAGCCCATATCTATCCTGCTTCAGTTTCCCCTCACGGAAATCCCTATTCATTTCTAACTCAGTTATAGCAAACTTTGTACCTTTAAGGAATTTCCTGATATTACGAGCAACCTCTCGCTGTCCAACATGTGGTAGACATTGATCGTGTATCAATGGATGAAAAGATTCCAAACGTCCCTCTAAAGCCTCTACGCTAAACGCTACCAATGCCTGGGTCAACACAATACCTATGTTTCCTTGATAAAGAACTTCAGCAGCTAAAGTGGCAGCACAAGAGGAAGCATTGACAATACCTAGAACATCTTTACCGTGAAAGACAACAGGTGTAAGACCCGCTTGGCTAAGAGCTTCCGGTGCATCTTTGTCAACACCATTATCGTTGACTAAACAGCCTGGTCTTCCCTCCAGCAAGGCAGCAATATAAGCTAAAGACATAAGATCTCCACTAGCGCTAACTGTCCCTCGCTTTGGGGAATACGGGATTATATTTTTATTCAAAACCTTTAAAAGAAGATCGAGTACAATACTTTGTACGCCTGAATAACCCAAAGCTATACAATTGGCTCTAACTAACATCGAAGCTTTTGTTAAAGCAATAGGCAACTTTTCTCCAAAGCCTACCTTAATATGAGTCACCCCACCTATCTGCACAGCGCCGACTTTTTTAGATCTCACATCGGCACTTCCTCCAAAACCAGTATTAATACCATAGACACAGAGACCTTCGATCACCTTATCTTTCAAGAACTCGTCATTATTTTTTACAGACAGCTGAGCTTCTTTTGACAAATCAGCCGAGACAAACTTGTTTGTAAAGATGCTGTGAACGTCACCAATGCTTAAAGAGTGACCGTCAAGTGTGATTTGACCATTGGAATTTTGATAATTTCGTAGCATATCTTCTACTTCAGTCAAATGAGATGAATATGGTCCGTGATTGTTGCTCTCGTAAATTGATGTCGAATTCATAGTCCTAGAGAGTATAACAGATTTTGGTAGTAACAAAAGACTGTACATAGCTAAAACAGAGTTTTTTTGAAAAATTTCTAACGCGTTTTCAATTTTGGTTAAAAAAGTATTGAAAATAACCTACCTGTGTTTGATTGAGAAAAATAAGAGAGATCTTCTAAACGTATTACACAAAGAAATGGAATTCTGTAGTTGTCTTGTTGAAGTCAATGGAAAAGTGCCAACTGTAGCAATAATGAGTTACACATACTCAAATCTGTTCGTGTAGAAATCCTTGACGCTTAACTACTTATCTGTGAAGTGATTTTGTTTTGTGTGTGTGAAATCATCCGTACAAAAAGGTTGAATGAAAATGAAAAATTGATCATTATTCTCTAAATACGCTTTGGTACATCGAATTGTCGTTTTCATGTATAGCTTGAAAAACCGAAAGTTCTGTCCATAGAATTGCTAGACCTATTAAATATTTCTGCTGTCTCCAGGGTTATAGTTGAGGTCATGACTCTGCATGTTGAAAAGCTCTCAAAACAGTATTACCTTAACAATACATTGTTTTTTGTACATAAAATTATCAGTGAGGCCTCGGCAGATTGAAAAAATTAGGCGCTAAAGTACACGTTCCACTTTACTAGTTTCTGTTGATATTAATTGCGACTGCAGACAACAAATTATTTTATTTGACTGTAACCACATTCCTAAATAATTGTTGTCTTGCAACCATGTGAACAAGGAAATATTTACTAAAATTTTACTTATATAAAGGTTGTTTTAGTAATACTTCTGTCGTTATTTCTTTTCAAAGGGAGTGTTGAATGCGCTCGACTGATTTCTTTTCAAATTCAGGGGGTGTTTACATGAATCCGAAATGAGTTTCGATCCGGAATGAACTCATTCTACTTTAGAAGAAATCCTATTGCATGTTTACATGAATCCGGAATTAGTAACAACTCAATCCGGATCGAGTTCATTCCTAGTTTCATTCCGGATCGAAATTTACTTTTTATCTCATGTAAACGCGAATTGAGTTTCATTCTAGAATGATATTGTGATTAATGACGAAGCACGCATGTGCCATGGGTATTGTCTTCTGGCAAATAGAAGCTCGTAAGTAAATAAAGAGGCTAAATGGGTTAAAATGAGTGCGAAGAAAAACAACAATTAGTTTCATGTAAACACGGATTGACATCACGTTTCGATCGGGATTGAAAGTCGTTCCGGATTCATGTAAACACCCCCTCACTCTCAAAAGAAATCAGTCGGGCACAACGGAATGCAGCGAAGCATGACGGCCCTGCCGCAGCCGCTAGGCATCAATTAGACACTATCCTTGAGTTTTAATTTTATCTATGAAATCAATAAACGTACATACCACATTGTTAATCCACAAAAAGCAAACGAAGAAATCGTAACTATACTTTCACTATCGCGACCAACTATCGAGAAATAAGCCCGAGACACACTATGGCGCGCCAAGATGGACAATATTACCAAAATCGAAAATATTTACAACGAAACACATTATCGTATGTCGAAAACAATATACTGGCAACTTGAAAGTTTTGCAATTTCATTTTGAAAAACCATAATAACATCTGTGAAAAAATTCACGATTTCGTTAGTCCATCCCTGAAAGCGAGATAGTAGGCATAGGCCACATAAGTATTCTTCAGAACGAGCTATTATCACCTCAGCCGTAACATTATCTTTCGTAAAATGTTTCGATGTAGCTCATCAAATAAACTAAAGCCTCTCGTTAAGAATTCCACAATATCCCGATATTCTACCATATTTAATATGGAAGGACAGGCAGACAGAAAGGATGGAGAGAACAAGATAAGGAGTCATCGACAGTGTTCACGGAACGCGAAATAAAACGCCTTTTTTTCTTTGATGTCAGTGGCAGGGCGCGGTAAAAAATGTCGTTTGTTCGAAGAAAATGTCGTTTTATGAATGTAAAATTTCGTTTTATATAAATGAGTTTCGTTTTATAAAAATAATTTTCATAACTTGAAAAATAAATTTCGTTGTGTATATATAAATTATGGTAAACGAATTTTTGTTTTCTTTTATATTTTTGCGTTTCGTTTTACAAATATTGAAAAAGTTGCCAGTATATTGTTTTCGACATACGATAATGTGTTTCGTTATAAATATTTTCGATTTTGGTAATATTGTCCATTTTGGCGCGCCATAGAAGCGACACGAAAAATGATAACAGACACACTGTCGCTAGCGCAACAGGCAAAGCGACTTGATTTTAAGCACGTACCAGTCCCCCTAGAGAGAATTTTAGCGGGAAATACGAAAAAGTCATATTCATCTTGACTCTCTGGCTCTTTAACTTGTTTTTTGTGAAGAGTTTCTAGATACCCAATCAACTTTGTTTGATATGGTGACATGTCTTCAGCCTTCCTCTTCTTGCATCGTACAATTTCAAATGTGCTGGACAAATTTGTTGATTGGCTTGATGGACTGTCAGCAAGCACACTCTCAGCTATCTCCTCAGAGTCTTCCTGGATTTGAGAAGACGTAAGTTGGTCTTCCACAGGGATAACAACATTCGAGATTGTCCTATGAATAAAATGATCAATTACTCATAGAAATAGCTTATTTTTCCTACATTGTTATTAGAAAGTCATAGTGTAATTTCAAAAATTACATACTGGCGTCGTTTTGCGTAATCATCCAGCCAGGTCATAATAGACCAAAACTCCCAGTTTGGTGTTGAGGAAGCAGGAGCACCAGATTTGATAGCTGCATCATGCTTCTTTTTGCATCGCCTATATGTGTCTCGCAAATTCTTCATTTTACCTTTTAGTTCGTTTGCTTAATAAGAGAAAAATAAACATTTATTTGACTGGGTCAGACGATACTGACAAAAAATATTGTGAGATAAGAAAACATGTTTTGCGAAATGACGATTTACCTGAGAAATCAAAACCGATTGCACGCATTTCTTCGGCTATCTTTTGCCAGATATTTGCCTTCAATTTTTCATCTTTATAGTCTTTTAAAGATATGTCGTAAAGAGCAGGATACGCGCGAAAAGAATTTATAAGTGCTTCTTCTAGTGACGCCATTTTGAAAATTTTGTCCTAGCGACACAGCGATTTCATGTGCTCCAGCGAATTCGCTGGCTGTGTTGAAACGACAAAGCGACACGGCTTTGTAACCGCGCAATACCGTCGCTGCGCGGTAACGACATAGCGACAGCGACAGTGTGTCTCAGCCTTAAAGGCAGCTCAAGGACCCGGATGTGATATTGCATTAAATTACAAATTGCAACAGTTAACAGCACGTGCACACAAAGCCACAAACCGCAAATTTGCATGAAAGATGAAGCAATTGGTGCTAATGATTATGGCGGTGATGAGCATCAACGTACCCTAAGAGAACTCAATATTTTATGAAAATGGCTTCTTCATCGTTTGAAGGAATAGCTACACGCTGGACGTTTTTATTTTTGATGTCGAGTACAATCGTTTACGAAGAATACGCAACAATCTTTTTCAATCAACTTGGCCTTCAAGCATCATCGATTGGCGTGTCGTTGCTTGTCGCTATCCCCGTTTTGCCAATGGTTAGACAATACATCATTGCCCTTCAGTGAAAGCATCCCGCTTTCCACTGGAAAAGAATGAATCTAATATCGATGTTAAACATATCTACCCGATATCGGCAAGCGGGATGCTTGTAACAATCTAAAAAATGCACACACGAGAACAAGCGAAAGCAAATTCATTAATATGTAAAATAATTTTGTTTGTGGAGAATGTGTCTTTCCTATAATGTAAAATACAATAAATTTTATTGAAAGTCAAAACACTTGGGCTTAAGAATCTTAAACTGTGTTTAAATAAATAAGTTAGACATATCAACTAAAATGATTTTACTCATGCAACACGAACAGAAATCTTTTTCTTGTTTGGTCTAACTGCATTTTCCAATTGATTTGTATTTTACCTTTTCTTGTCATACTAAAATATAACAAAGTTTGATTTAATTTATTCTCTTTAAACTTTAAGGAATTGCCGACATGATATTTGCGATCGGAAACGAAGCTGGTGCTGGCCTCAATGGAGTATTCTTTGGTGTTTTTGGTTCAAGAAAAACTTTAATGTCTTACGCTCTTGTGTCTGTTCTAATGTTAATAACTAATTCTGTGTATCTGTTTTGTAGAAAAGATCAGCTTGAACAGTATGAGCTTCTTCCAAATAATGAAAGTGACGTCAGTGATTGAAAGCGCGAAGAATATTTTCAATAAAGTTACTATCTTAAAGAGTGTTGTCTCTTGTTTGAATTTTACCGTTAAGAATACCGAACACAAGACTGGATAATAAACATATTTTTATACGAAAGAAACGTGTCCAAGCAAAGCGACACAAAAAGAATATCTTACGACTTTCTCAGCTTGCGGCTATTTATATTTTAAATATGTCATCCATGACGACGCTGATTGAATAAGCTTCACTCATGAAATGCAAAATAAATAGAAGCGATAAGAACCATATTATTCAGTAGTAGCCATTTATCCCATACCATTAATGATTAAACGCTTATTGAAAAAAACGTTTTCAAATTTACGTTTCCAGCATACCGACCTTGAAATTTAGCAAAATATAAATTTTAAGAGGTCTTTTGATACCCCTTTGTATACAGTGATACCCCATGTATACAGTGATATTCCTATGTATACAATGATACCCCCATGTTTACAGTGATATCCCCATGTATACAGTGATATTCCTATGTATACAATGATACCCCATGTCTACAGTGATATCCCCATGTATACAGTGATACCCCATGTATACAGTGACACCCTTATGTTTAAAGTGATACCCCCATGTTTACAGAGATACCCCCATGTTTACAGAGATACCCCCATGTATACAGTGATACCCCATGTATACAGTGACACCCCTATGTTTAAAGTGATACCCCCATGTTTACAGAGATACCCCCATGTATACAGTGATACCCAATGTATACAGTGACACCCCTATGTATAAAGTGATACCCCCATGTATACAGTGATATCCTCATGTATACAGTGATACCCCTATGTATACAGTGATACCCCAAATGTGTATAGTGTGTATTAAAAAACTGTAACCTTTTAAAATTTGAGCACTCAACATGGCACTAAATGATAGATTCCGTCAAAAAACGAAATCATACTCAGCGGCAGGACCCAGGATAGTTCGAAATAAGTTTTCAAGGCTAATTTTAAATCAAAAATACTTTAGTAACATTGTCACATGTTTGTAGATGTAGATCGTCCAGGTTGGTATAGTCCTGAGAAGGACTGTTTTTGTTGTTGTTGACTGACGTTTCGACAAACTTAGCGGTAGTCATGTTCAGAGTCAAATGACTCTTGAAGATGAACACCTGAGTTAAGTGAACATTTGTCTCTGAAGATGACTACCACTAAGGTTGTCAAAACATCAGTCAACATCAACAACAACAGTCCTTCTCAGGACTCTTCTGACTTGGACGATCTACAACTACAAACATGTTAAGATACTCCAGGGTTCAAGCCATTTATTTGTCCAAAAAGAATGATAGCACAACTGAAGGGCAATGATGTATTGTCTAACATTAACACCGGATTATGTTACTGATATTTAATATGGAATTCGAGATTTGTCCATATGAACTGTTCAACATGCTTCCAATAAAAAATGAGCAGGAATATTCAGTTGATTAATCTATGATAAACCTTTCACCTTTTAACTCTGCTATACCGGTCACAAGCCCGGGACTTGTAGCGTATAAGGCTCTCTGCTTTTGAGTAGGCTTGTCTCGTTTACAAGGAAGAGGAGTGGAAGGTTAATTTCTCAAATGTTGTTACATAAGGTCGTTATTGTTTGTAGTTGTTGGTTATAGCGTTGTGCTATCATTATTTTTATTTAATAGCATTCTAACTATTCATTTGTCATAACAACTTTTTGCTCAGAAATTTTTAAACAATATTGAAAAACCAATATTATTAGCTTTTGAGTGTTTAAAATTGGAAAAATATTTATAGCAATACATTCTAACCTACACTTTGGTATTGGAAAAATATTTATAGCAATACATTCTAACCTACACTCTGGTATTGGAAAAATATTTATAGCAATACATTCTAACCTACACTCTAGTATTGGAAAAATATTTATAGCAATACATTCTAACCTACACTCTAGTATTGGAAAAATATTTATAGCAATACATTCTAACCTACACTCTAGTATTGGAAAAATATTTATAGCAATACATTCTAACCTACACTCTAGTATTGGAAAAATATTTATAGCAATACATTCTAACCTACACTCTGGTATTGGAAAAATATTTATAGCAATACATTCTAACCTACACTCTGGTTAATATTTAATAATACTATGAGATGAATTGAATAAGGTGTTTCGGTAAAAAAATGATAACCTGTTAAGAACAATGAAAATGTGCTTAGATTAGATGTGGTATAAGACCAGAAAGCATTTTTTTAAAGGACTACTTAAAAAATTTAAAGGGGTCATTGGCGATGTATGTTTTAACAATAAAAATGTGTTATTGATGTTTATTATTTGTATACGTACATTCAATTTTTAATAATTTTTTAAATGAAAAAGAGCGTATTATCCCTGGCTCTTCTTCACAACTGTTGCTGTGATTTTAATCAAAAACAACAAGTATTTTAATAAATCTTTAGACACTAACAACGAAAAGAAATTAGATAAAATCTATATGAGTCTGTGGATATTATTATTTGTTAAAACAACGTACACTTATAATTCCATCGCAAATAATTCTATTCAAAAATCCTTATTATTAAAGACAAAATACAACCTGGAATCTTCGTGTTTTCATCCATGGCTCTTCATTCTAGATTTCTTTTTCGCAGAACCGACAACGACCACAGGTGGAGGCTGAGCTGGTCCTAATACAATTTCCAAAACGTATCATAATGACACAAAGTAAAAAAAAATACCCCAAGTTACTTTGGTATTCTAAATAAGATATTTATTTCGTACCTCCTGGAGGTGTATCAGCAGCAGAATAGCTTGGTCCTATCAAAATATGACAATTAATATATTACAAGACGGATAAAAGTAGTTCATGAGGTTTGGACAAGAAAGCAAAGCTTGAGAATTCTACCAAAAACATTTGAAAAGCAGTTTGCGTTTGGTGACACATCTTTCTAGAAAAATCGTAGCATTTCCGCGAATCAAGCAAAGATATTGACGATTGACGTCAAAGATCGATGGGGGAAAACTGTGTTTGAGAGTACCTTGACACATATTCAATGAAATCATGAAGAAGTAGAACACTAGAACATCATTCTAGTTGAACATTAAATATGATAATTATGCATTTCTGAGCAAGTAGATTTACCTGGTGGACCTTTTGGTCTAGGTGGAGGAGGTGGAGGAGGAGGAGGGAGGAGGTGGGGGGAGGAGGAGGGCGAAGGAGGAGGTGGGGGAGGAGGTGGAGGAGAAGGAAGGTGGACAGGAATAGGTTGAGGTGGGGGGAAATGGACAGCAATAGGTCGGAATGGAGGATGTAATGAATATAATGGATAATGGAGGATGGAATAGGATGAATATTGGAGGATGAATGGAGGATGGGATGGAACATGGAGGATGTAATAATGAGGATGGAACATTGGATGATGTAAAATGGATGGATGGAACATGGAAGGATGAAATGGAATGGAATGGATTGGGATGGAAATGGATGGATGGAATGGATGAGGATGGAAGGATGGACATTGGAGGATGTAAAATGGGTTGAGGATGGAACATGATGGAGGGTAACAGAAGGAATAACGTCAGAATGAATAGGATGTGTGTAAGTAGGAGGACGAGGATACATAAGAGTACCAAACAAATTTTGATAACCATGGCTGTAGGAAAATCCATTAAATGGCCAATGCATGTCGCTAGGATTGTGGTAAAGTAGTGGAGGGCTTTGAACCAAGTTAGAGTTTGTGCCTCGTTTTCATTTACATACACTGCAGGATGGGTTTGAGGAAATATATCAGTTACCATAGATGGTACCGTAGAAGGTATGCTTAATGGCCATCCCTCAAAGTTAGGTGAATTAGCTAAGGTTGAAAATCCAGGGGGGGTTTCCAGAGATTGAAGAAACCTTGGACAAACTATAAATCATAAAAACTTCACAATAAATTTTCATTGCAGATTTTACAAACTTCCATTTCAAATGTCAACTCACCCACTTCTCGCTTACAGTCGCAGGCATCTGAAAGGAAGGGAAATATTCAAATGCGAAGATATACTTCGTGTAATATTGGTGTGAAGTCGACTCGCTTACCTACTATTTCATTTTTTTTGAAGATATCTTTGAAAGGACAACGATCTTCAAATGAACGAAAAGAAACTTAAAGAATGTTCGCACTCAAAGTAAGTGAAAACATTACACTATCACACAATACAACATACTTCAGCAAGAGAAAAAGTATATCCCCCCCTATCCAACAGCACCCTACATTTTAACATCACATATCCTACAGTATCATACATTATCTCTAACGCTACAAAAATAATACGTGTAGGACACATTAAGTTATCCCCCACTACCCTACATTTTAACATCATATATCCTACTGTATCATACATTATCTCTAACGCTACAAAAATAATACATGTAGGACACACTAAGTTATCCCCACTATCCAACAGTATCCTACATTTTAACATCATGTATCCTACAGTATCATACATTATCTCTAACGCTACAAAAATAGTACGTGTAGGACACATTAAGTTATCCCCCACTATCCAACAGCATCCTACATTTTAACATCACATATCCTACAGTATCATACATTATCTCTAACGCTACAAAAATAATACATGTAGGACACACTAAGTTATCCCCCACTATCCTACATTTTAACATCATATATCCTACAGTATCATACATTATCTCTAACGCTACAAAAATAATACATGTAGGACACATTAAGTTATCCCCCACTATCCAACAGTATCCTACATTTTAACATCATGTATCCTACAGTATCATACATTATCTCAAACGCTACAAAAATAATACATGTAGGACACACTAAGTTATCCCCCACTATTCAACAGTATCCTACATTTTAACATCACATATCCTACACTATCACACATTATCTCTAACACAACAAAAACAATACGAGTAGGACCCATTAAGTTTTTACAAATCACAATTGCTCACATACAAACGAATCTATGATCCGAAAAGTACATATAGAAAATGACAAAGTGATGTGAAAGCAGATCAAATATATTTTATTTCTACAAAGCTGCACACTAACCAATAGGACAACACACCGAACAACAAATCACGGAGAGAGAACAATCACTAGAACCCAGTCCTCGTTTGGCCAAACACTGCTGCGTCATCTTCGATATAGATGTTGGGTCAGTGTCTTGCGCAAAGGAAACTGCCGCCTTTGAAGAAACCGGTGTTATGTTGATAACTGGTGGAGGAGAGACGTTCTCTTGTCGGTCCTCATTTACTATTCTTACATCATTCTGGTTCTGAGGAGAATTTACAAGTTCATCAGAAAGTAAATATGCAATTTTCTTCGCTAAGATGTCGACAATTCCATCGTCGGAAAGCAATCGGTTGATTTTCTTCAACGACTTTGAGCTACCGACTTTAAATAGATCACCTACGCTGATACTGTTTTCATCAGCATGCAATCCTGATTTGACGTCATCAATACTAAGGTATACGTCATGTAATCCAGACAAGACAGAAGCAGGAGAGTTTCCTTTGGTGGAATTATTAACGTGTTTGTAATCATCTTTTATGTTTTCGTCATTTGGTTCTTTGACGAAGATTTTAATGCCAGATGTTGCTTTTTGAAGAACTCTATCGTCGTATAAAGGAAGAGATGTCAAGTTTATCGATGGAGGAACAGGAAATTTTTGTTTATGTTTGAAAATAATTTTTGGTGGTTCGTAGTCATGAATAGTGCCAAACACTGACCATTGAAGGTTCGCATCCGGCGACGAATTTTTAATATCTGTAACTTTAGTAGACGATGCGTTCAAAATTTCCTTCTTTTCACTCTCTGTTACCAATGAAGAGCTCAGCTTAAGATAAAGTTGGCGGGAATTTGTTAGATGACGTAATGTTGGTAAGCTCGTGCTTAGTCCGCTGCCAATCTTTCTCGCCTTTAAGGCATCGACACGTTTCCTCAAAGCTTGAAGTATAGTTCGTATATCGTGATGCTGTTCAACATATTTTCTGTCTATTTCTTGATCACCTTTAACAATAACTAATCCTCGTGTTTTGGCGTTAATCTCTCGGAATTTTGATGTTTTAGCTTAACGATGTGATGTTTTCGATAAGGTTTAACAGTTCTATGAAGGGTTTCAAATAAAAAATCCTTTTCATTGTGGAGTTTCAATCGCGACTTGGGTTTTCTAAGTTGTGATGAAATGTGGTTATGGTTCAGCTGCGTCGTACAACGATTCTCTTTGGAAGTAATACAATCTCTTTTTTCAAATTTTGGAAATCTTTCTTCCATCTTAAAACAAAGTGTTCAAACATTGAAAGAGGTTTTCAACAAATCATGGTTTTGGTAAATGATGAACAACAAGACGATGTTCGTTTACTGTTAAATTTGAGTGCCGAAATATCCACTTCCCTAATAATCCCTTACAAAACTAATGGTTAATATCTTGATATAACTCAGAGGTCAATACTTTGTTATGCCCCAGTGGTCAATATGTTGTTATAACCCAGTGGTCAGTGTCTTGCTATAACGCAATGGTAAATACTTTGTTATAAACCAGAGGCAACTATCTTGTTATAACCTAGTGGTCAATATGTTGTTATAACCTAGTGGTCAATATGTTGTTATAACCTAGTGGTCAATATGTTGTTACAACCTAGTGGTCAATATGTTGTTACAACCTAGTGGTCAATATATTGTTATAACCTAGTGGTCAATATCTTGTTATAACCTAGTGGTCAATATGTTGTAATAACTTAGTGGTCAATATGTTGTTATAACCTAGTGGTCAATATTTTGTTATAACATAGTGGTCAATATGTTGTTACAACCTAGTGGTCAATATGTTGTTACAACCTAGTGGTCAATATATTGTTATAACCTAGTGGTCAATATCTTGTTATAACCTAGTGGTCAATATGTTGTAATAACTTAGTGGTCAATATGTTGTTATAACCTAGTGGTCAATATTTTGTTATAACATAGTGGTCAATATGTTGTTATAACCTAGTGGTCAATATGTTGTTATAACCTAGTGGTCGATATGTTGTTACAACCTAGTGGTCAATATGTTGTTATAACCTAGAGGTCAATATGTTGTTATAACCTAGAGGTCAATATATTGTTATAATCCAGTGTCAAAGTGAACATTACAACAGAATCATTAAACATAAAATTGATCAAATAATACTAAAATTTCATAATACCTTGATAACCATACACAGAAAGAAGATCAATAACTACAAATGCTAACAACACGTTCAGTTGCCTACATACTAAAGCAGAGAAGACATATTACATACATGAAATCATTGAATCTTCACATAAACTTCAATAATGATAGATAAGCAAAGATTAACAAAAGAAAAAGACTCGTCACAACAACATACCCATCACCATACGACGTAGAGCATACTTCAGATTTTTTTAAAAAACAGCTAAAAAAATAGTTCTACAATATAAATGTTTACGATGAAGAAAACTTATTTGTTCGTTGCGTTGTAAATAATGTTGACAGCGTAAGTCCTAGAGAATCGGCAGGTACCAGTAAAAATAAAAATATATAATTTTGAATGGAATGTCTAATACTTTCTAGAAGTGAACTTCTTTAAGACTTTAAGACGTGTATAATGTCTTTATATTATTTAGGACATAAAACATAAAAGAAATACTTCTTAGTTCAAAGTTAAATTAATTTATCAACTTTGCCATCAAAAAGTCACATTTCATAACGAAATTAATTTTCCTAATTACGACTTATTGAAGACAAGTTGAGCGTCACAAGCACTTTGATACAGTTGTAAAAACAAACAAACAAATATATTTATTTAACTTGGAGACAATTTAACTGTGTTTTATGATAACAACAAGAAATCGATATGAAAAACTATTACATTGAGTTGTGATCAGTGCTGTAGAACTAAATTTATCAGATGGGGGCTCTCTTGACGTTTTTTGTCAATATTTAAAATTACCCATTTCAAATGTAGAAGGGGGGCTCCTTCCCCAAGCGCGCCCCACTTCTACAGCACTGGTTGGTTGAGACGTGCACACAGTCACAATCAAAAGTCACGTAAGATCAAATTTCACTTAAGGCTAAAAGATCTCGATAGGTCAAAGATCTCATAAGACCAAAGGTCACGTGAAGCCAAATGTCACGTGAGACAAAAGATCTCGTAAGTTCAAAGGTCACGTAAGACCAAATGTGACGTGGACCAAAAATCTCCAAAGGTCACGTGAGACAAAATTTTACGTAAGTTCAAAGATCACTTAAGGTGAAAGATCTCATAGGACCAAACGTCACGTGACTCACGTGACACCAATGATCACGTACGTAAGCTCAAAAATGTAGTAAAACCAAAATTTTGACAAACGAAACACAATTCCAAGAGAAGCAAATTATGTTTTTAAACAAAATACATATTCGTAAAATATATCATTTGATTCAATTAATAAAAGAACTCTCTAAGGTCAAGTTTACCATTAGATAGCTCGTAATCACGTGTACAACACATTCATTTAACCCAATCGGGACTATCTGTAGATCGCATTTTTCGTTCAACACAAATAAACTCACAAGGATTGTATTGGCCACCATAATGTTCAAGAAGTTGCTCCATTGCTTTGTCCTCAATCTGGAAAGAAAATTCATCCATGTTTCAGAAAATTTTCACTTTTTAATTCACAAAGTAATTAAAAACACGACGACAACCTGAATAAGTGATAACGGTTTTTTCATATCCCTAAAATACGAAAATTACAACGTTTGTGAGAGCTCAATTATAATTTGTGATGGGGACGAGGTAACACAGAGAATGAGGACTAAATAACACACAGAGAGAGGACTAGTAACACAAAGAGAGAGGATTAAATTCACCCCATTAAATAAAAACACTAGGTACCATTCTCTATAAGCCACTTCTTCTTCTTGCATTTCTTGTATTTTGGTAAACTTCATGTAAGAATGATTTGGAGGTGAACACTCCTCTTGATTTTTGAGCCAAGCACTTTGAAAATAGAGGAACGAAAATTTGATTTATGTTTAATTTGTCATGAAGCACTTCAAAGATCAAACTTCAAACAAACATTTTTTATTTACTTTTCAATTCCAGGATCCTTTTTTAAATTGGAGGATGACTTTGACGATCTTGAAAATTTACTCTTTTTCCTCCATGAAGAATTGGTAGTTACCATGCTCTCCTCGTCTTCCAACAAATCTCTGAACGAGAGGGGAGACTGGACCGAGGAGGAGCCCGGATGATAGCTAAACGATTAAATTCGACTATGATTTTATGGACTAACTTGTTCGTGTAGGAGAAATTTTAATCAGCAGATTATTAATACTAGAAAATAAAACAATTAAACTGAAAACGGGTAACTTTACAACTAAATTACATTGTTACGACGTAATTTTTCTCAAAATGTTAGAACAAAATGTTTTAAAAGTTCAACAAAGAAATATTTGATGTTGCTTCATAAAAAAAAGTTCACGTTGCGTAAAAAGATTGAAGAAATCTTTGAGCGGCATGTATAAAACTTTGGCATTCCCTCATGAACCTATTTTATATAAAGATTAAAATCTAAAGATTACCAAATACACCGTTTTATAAAGATGAACACCGAGCGATTTCCACGAGACTCTCTCATAAATTGAATTTCATAACAAACAAAGCTAAGTTGAACTGTAAACAGTAGGGAGCTTTAGCTAGAGTACGACTACGACAACGAGTACAAAGTTAGACCGTGTAAGAAAATGGCACGAGGAAGTTTGTTGTCGTTGTTGCTTCGTCAAAATTTAGTTTTAGCTATAAACAACGGAACGAGCCTTTTATTGTGAAAACACCGAAGTTTGCGAAGCAGCTACGGCTCTATTTGTCAATAATGATATCAACTAATCGGTAATACTGATTTTGCAAGAACATAGGACTTATTAGAGTGAAAAATCTTCACTATTTTAAATTTTATGTACGATATTTTTATACTATTTTATTGTTTGTTTACCTTTCACTTTGCGTGCGAAATACATGAAAGTTTTCAAGGTCATATTTTCTTTCTAAATGTACATATGCGCTCAAAAAAGGTTCTAAAGTAAAGCATGGATGCTCGAAAATAGTACTGTAAACTAATTTCTTACAGAATGAAGAAATATACCTACTTTCTTTGCTTAAAAAGACATCGTAGTCGCGACTACGAATTTTTTACAAAACATCGTACTCAAATTGATGACGGCTACGTGTTGTTGTTGTCGCAACAATGTTTTCGCGCCAAAATGACGTAATCCGTACTCGTAGTCGTACTCGTAGGCTCTGCTAAAGCTCGCTAATACAGTAAAGCAGGCAGCACGAGAAGTTTGTCATGCTATGTATAATTTTCATCATTAGCATTCTTCGTTTCGTTGGAAATTTATTGTTTTTACAATGGTAGACCACCAAAAAATGAACATACCATGCACAAATTTGCGGCCTGATGACTACGCCACGAAACTATAAATAATGATATCATTTAAACACAGATGCTATCATACACAACATACCAGACATTCCAAGGATTTGTAGGTGAAGCTGGAGTTTTATCGACTTCGTTTCCATTTGAACAACTAGAGCATGACGCTTCCACTTTTTGTTCTAATGATTTCCGCAATTTCTTTTTTTCTTTTTGAGACATTCGCGTTTTAATGGCTGGGGGACTATAAAAAAACGTATAACATGAAGTATCAGAAAAAATATACGGAAATAATGTTATACGTATAATTATAGCTGGAGAAAAGACAGTTTATTTACGGTGAAGCTATTTCTCCATCATCAACAGGCTCAAAATCATGGAAAACAACAAGAAATATTATTGAACCTCTTTCCATCTTTCTTGACGCCAACAGACATATTTTCTTGTTGCTCTTTTTTCATAATGTCGCGCAATTTGGAAGATGGAGGGCTAAAACTACATAATAGATATATGTGGTGGTAATAAAAGATGAACAAGTACATAAATGTACAAATGGTGGTAATAGAGGATGATGTACTATAGTAAACACTAATGTATGGTAACAGGAGTACCGAGATATTTGCCATGGCTGTTTTCCTTTAATTTCTGTATCTTTTGACTGGAAAAATCATTAAATAAAAAAAAGGATTGATAAAATATTGAAAATACAACATTTCGTTATGTCTACAAAAACACAAAGATGTATAATCATCTCAGACAGTAATTCCAACCGTAATGTCAACAGGTGCTCCCTCGAAGATTACATTTTCCTTCATTTCAACGGAGGACGCTACGACAGAACAATTCTCCACGATATTCATTTCATCTGTAATGGAATTTGCCATCTTTTTATTTTGTGTTGCAGTCATGCTGTCTGCTGTCCTACACTCGTCCGTAACTGGGTTTCCGTCTTTATGTTTGGTTTTTTCTTTCTTTTCACCAATCTAAACAACAAAGATATAAGTTTCAGAATATTAATCACATGACCAATAAAAACACCTGTGCTTCCGCTTACAGTCTTGTGATTTTCCTCATGGAAATTCCGCTCCTCTATGACATCACTTTCACTTGTCCTCGATCGCCTCTGAGCGCGGGAGGTCTTTCTCTTGCTAGGACTTTCCATCTGGGGCCATGGGACCGAGAGATGAATATCGTTTGGTGTCAGTACCCGCCATGCTTTGCTTGATATCTAATTTACATAAAAATGTAAAAGCATTTTCTAAAATGAAATAAAAATCTAATGCTTCTAATTGTAATAAAATTATCATTAGTTTAACTGTGAATGTTTTTAAATGGTAGTTCTTATGGTTCTAATTGTAATAAAATTATCGTTGGTTTAACAGTGAATGTTTTTAAATGGTAGTTCTAATGGTTTTAATTGTAATAAACTTATCGTTGGTTTAATTGTGAATCGTTCTAATGTGTGGTTCTAATGGTTCTAATTACGAAAGCATTATCAAGGCTATTTCCTTAGATGATCCGAGCTTATTGCCAACAGTCTATCGTTAAGGGAAACCAAATCAAAACTCTGGATTTCTTTAGAATTCTCGATGTGGAGGAGAGTGTCTGAAAACAACACACATCTTACCTTGTTTCTGTAGGCTTTTGAAACCTCTTCAAGCGTTTCTTCATCTAGAACCTCAAGACCACTTTAAGATACACAATAATAACATCATCAGAGGACAAAATATTCATTTGAATCCACAGAGAAAAACAGATAAAACATGATATATTGCGATGAATATTTACTTACCCAACTTCAAACAAATAACAAATATTCATACAAATGAATTCAAGACAAACGTGTTTCAAATTAGACGCGTTGAAAACAATGGAAACTTCCAACATCTCACATACATTCTTTAAGGACACTGATGTAAAATTAGAAGAAAAAAATATTAAGTTTTTTAACAAAGGAGAAAGAATGATAAAAAAAAAACAAACATACGCAATGATATCAATGTCTCTTCACATAACTCTCGCAGTCGAATGATCCACAACTTAAGCAAAAAAAATAAAATTTAGAGATAGAGAACAGGAATTTAGAGATAGAGAACAGGGATTGAGAGATAGAAAACAGGAATTTAGAGATAGAAAACAGGAATTCAGAGATAGAGAACAGGAATTCAGAGATAGAAAACAGGAATTCAGAGATAGAGAACAGGAATTTAAAGATAGAGATCAGGAATTCAGAGATAGAGAACAGGAATTCAGAGATAGAGAACAGGAATTCAGAGATAGAGAACAGGAATTCAGAGATAGAGAACAGGAATTCAAAGATAGAAAACAGGAATTCAGAGATAGAGAACAAGAATTCAGAGATAGAGAACAGGAATTCAGAGATAGAGAACAGGAATTCAGAGATAGAGAACAAGAATTCAGAGATAGAGAACAGGAATTCAGAGATAGAGAACAGGAATTTAAAGATAGAGAACAGGAATTCAGAGATAGAGAACAGGAATTCAGAGATAGAGAACAAGAATTCAGAGATAGAGAACAGGAATTCAAAGATAGAGAACAGGAATTCAGAGATAGAGAACAGGAATTCAGGGATAGAGAACAGGAATTCAAAGATAGAAAACAGGAATTTAGAGATAGAGAACAGGAATATAGAAGTTTTATAATTTAGTAAAAAGATAACATTTTTATACCTGATTTGTTACAGAAAGTACTTCACTGAGAAAGTCAAGATCTTTACTATCTAACATAATAAAAAATTTTTCATCAGTAATTCGAGAGAAAGAAAAAAATGAAGACAACACGTGACAGAAATGAATACTACGTGTGATAAAAATGAAGAACACACGTGGTAGAAGTGAAGACAACACGTGGTAGAAATAAACACAACACGCGATAGAAACAAACACAACGCGTAGTAAAAATACACACAACGCGTGGTAAAAATAAACACAACACGTAGTAGAAATAAACAAAACACGTGGTAGAAATAAACAACACGTGGTAGACATAAACACAACACGTGATAAAAACGAAGACCATGAGTGGTAGCGATGGAAACAACACACGATAATGATACATACTACACGTGATAGAATTTAGCACAACGCGTGATAGAAATGAAGAACACACGTGGTAGAAATGAAAACAACACGTGGTAGAAATTTAGCCTACCATGTGACAGAAATGAAGACGATAAATATAATATTTGAGTTGTTTCAATAAAAATGGTCAAGGTTGCATAATCACCTCTTACGGATGGTGCTTCGTCTGTGTATAAATATTCAATGATAACTTTAAGAATACGTGAATGTATGGGAATCTTTAAACGAGCAAACTCCTTTGATGACTATAAATAGACAGAGGAAAAAACATAAAACAAAATTTTGTTTCAAACTATCATTTCAGCAAGTTTCAGTATGAGAGCTTTATCAATAGCTTTTCCAAATCAGTCCCAACATTTTCCATAAATTCCCTTATGAACAAGCTAACATTTTGCATATTTTCTGTACGCAAAATACCATCGCAAACTCAAATGTTCGTTTTTAGGTTGATCGAACTATTTATTGTTTGTAATTTAGTATAAAATTTAAAATCTTTCGCAGCTTTAGGTAATAAAGAAAGTAATGACGTATTTTTGCTTTAGTTCGTCGATAAAAATATTTTCCAACGTTAACAAAATGACTGTTACATTATGGCAGTAATATCTCGACTTATAAAGGAAAATGAGCTACATTATAGCAGTAATATCTCGACTAAGAAGGGAAAATGAGCTACATTACATATGTATGACAAAGCTTCCCTTAACTTGCCCATCAATTTTTGAATAAAAACGTAAGTGTCAAGTTTACTAACCTCTATCCAAAAACTATTCAACATCATAGCAAAATACTCTGAAATCGACAATAAAAGAAACGTTAAATACCACAGATGGCACACAAGTGGCAAATGGTAATGCTCTGCATAAAATCTGAAACATATGAAACACTTTCATTGCAGAGACGTGTCCTTCTAGACAGTTGATATTTGAATAAACGATTCTTTTTTTAAAAAGTGCATTTCGAAGGATATTACAAAAACATATAAACTGTCTGTTTATTCATCAAAAAATCAAATGTGAATAAAATAGTATTTGCTATGAATACATTGTTCATAGGGCTGACATAAAACCATACTCGAACAATGAAAAAACCATTACATACCAAGTCTTGATGTAAGAATACATTTATGACAAGAAAACTCCACACCGTCATCAGATTGAATAACAACATCACAATACTCCAGTCTAAACATTCATAAAACATTCATAAGAAAACTCCACACCGTCATCAGATTCAATAACAACATCACAATACTCCAGCCTAAACAAACCGCGAATTCACGATGTAAAATCTTCCGTATTTTCATTTTTCTTAAAATTCGAAAAACCTACAGTTTTCTGCGATAAATTCGTTTCTTCATTTTCGTGATTTCATGAGACTTATGCTGAATCCTAGGAAAAAATAAAATATACATATGTCAGAACAGATAAAAGTTCTTCAATTAAATCGTGTCAAAAATAAAAAATATGGGGATAAATGTTCATTATCAATAAAACATGAGGTCATTCATACAACTGTGTAATGAGGTCATTCATACAACTGTATAATGAGGTCATTCATAAAACAATATGATGAAGTCATTTATAGAACCTTGTAATGAGGTCATTCATAAAATTGTATAATGAGGTCATTTATACAACCTTGTTATGAGGTCATTCATAAAACTGCATAATGAGGTCATTCATAAAACTGTATAATAAGGTCATTCACACAACCTTGTAATGAGGTCATTCATGTTGTATTTCTTCGCCAAACGTAATAACTCCTTTGTGTTTTCAGACATTTCATTGTTGTTGATGTATTTTTTTTCTTTACTGTTTTTTCCTTTCTTTCTTGACGTGTTAATATCAATGTTTGAGTCACGGTATACTGCACGAAACAAAATATGGTCAACAATTATGATAAATTAAGATGATTATGTATGTGTAAAGGCAACATGTAAGTTCAACATTTTCCCAGTAAACATTCAATGTACTTTATTATATGTATCATACGATCATAAATTTCTTTGAACTAAACAATCTCTCAACAGTAAACGATCACTCATCACTTTACTTTAAACACTCGTATACAACGATTCTAACGTTTTCAGAGTTAACAGCATACATTGTACCAATCTCTATCTCCAAGCCTATACAATATCTAAACCACTCCTAAGTGCATCAGTAGCGGATCCAGCGTTCAAAAAAACTAAATTATAGCTCCTAAATTTAAAATTTAAAGTATTTTCAGGAAAACACTGTACTTAGAAATGTCAATACGTTACAAAATGTGCTGCAGTAATTTAGTTTGACGTCCCCTATATCCGCCATTGAGGTAAACGCTCATTGTACCCCATTACACCTATACAACAGCTAAACCTCTCTCCAGTAAACGCTCATTGTAGATGATTACACCTATACAACACCTAAACCTCTCCCCAGTAAACGCTCATTGTAGATGATTACACCTATACAACACCTAAACCTCTCCCCAGTAAACGCTCATTGTAGATCATTACACCTATACAACACCTAAACCTCTCCCCAGTAAACGCTCATTGTACCTCATTACACCTATACAACACCTAAACCTCTCCCCAGTAAACGCTCATTGTAGATCATTACACCTATACAACACCTAAACCTCTCCCCAGTAAACGCTCATTGTAGATCATTACACCTATACAACACCTAAACCTCTCCCCAGTAAACGCTCATTGTAGATCATTACACCTATACAACACCTAAACCTCTCCCCAGTAAACGCTCATTGTACCTCATTACACCTATACAACACCTAAACCTCTCCCCAGTAAACGCTCATTGTAGATCATTACACCTATACAACACCTAAACCTCTCCCCAGTAAACGTTCATTGTACCTCATTACACCTATACAACACCTAAACCTCTCTCCAGTAAACGCTCATTGTACCTCATTACACCTATACAACACCTAAACCTCTCCCCAGTAAACGCTCATTGTACCTCATTACACCTATACAACACCTAAACCTCTCCCCAGTAAACGCTCATTGTATCATTACACCTCATTGTACAACACCTAAACCTCTTCCCAGTAAACGCTCATTGTACATCATTACACCTATACAACACCTAAACCTCTCCCCAGTAAACGCTCATTGTACATCATTACATTATACAACACCTAAACCTCTCCCAGTAAACGCTCATTGTACATCATTACACCTATACAACACCTAAACCTCTCCCCAGTAAACGCTCATTGTACCTCATTACACCTATACAACACCTAAACCTCTCCCCAGTAAACGCTCATTGTACCTCATTACACCTATACAACACCTAAACCTCTCCCCAGTAAACGCTCATTGTACCTCATTACACCTATACAACACCTAAACCTCTCCCCAGTAAACGCACATTGTACATCATTATACCTATACAACAATCGCTCATTTCGTCAGAGTTATCAGTCACTATAACCTATTGTCATTATAAAGTTTCCCAAAGCTGTCCTAAAATAGCATTATTCTTTGCACACAATGATCCTTAACTGTTCCCAAGAGTCCCAGATCAACATTCTTTGTACACAATGATCCCTACCTGTTCCCAAGAGTTCCAGGTCAACATTTTCCAAACTGAGCGCCAGTTCATTCAGTATATCAATATCCGTCAGTTGACACTGTTCAGAGTCTGGATCATCGTGAGGAATCGCGGGTAATGACGAACAACTTCCGGTGTACGCATATTCCAATATTTCACGAATGACATCATAATTTTCGTCTCCCAGGTGTATGATGGGAATGGAACTTGATTTTTGTTTAGCGTCATTAATGTAGTTACGAAAGGTTTTGCTGACTTGAGCCATAATAACTTGATGGGCAAAAATACTCTTCTTTTTTACCTAAATTATAAATATTTCATTAAAAAAATAAGTTTTGAGGAATGCTAACAGTTACGTACTTATGGACTAAAACCTTCATTAGAAAAGCGCGGAAAATGCTCAATTTATTTTCTAATACATTTAACACAGCGTTTGGTCAAAAACATCGTACTATACTTTAATACAAATGTTTGTTCAGCAACAAAGATGTCAAACCTTAATTTCAAGATCGTGATATTCACCACGTCTCTCATACAATGATTTCAAATCACACGACATGTTTGAAGGTGAAATATTTATCTTGTCTGACACGCTAAAAATATGAAAAGATTTGTTCAATACTATAGTTAGCGTAAACACAACTATAATAACGAGATGTATACGGCTATCGTAAAATATAAAAATCTTCGTAAAATATGGACCAACGTACCCCAAAAACGGTTTAACCTGAAGTACAGCAAAGTTTAACGAATATTTATCGCAAGCGATGTGTTTGGCGCCATAAAGCAGACGCATGCGCTGTAACGAGATGCCTATATATTCGTCTTGTTTTAATACATGACTGTTTTTCATCTTATTTTGATTCATTGATGAAAACCGCGCGGATTTTTTCACCACATTACTAGATCCAACTTCATTGTACACCTCACCATTATCTAAAAAAAATAAAGAGTTGAAATTTAAGACACAAACACATGATATAAAAGCGAAGATATTAGCTTGAAGAGTTTCACTTTAACAAAACACAAAGCACAAGCCACTCTAAAAACAGTAAAGATTAATTTCGTTCCAACATTGATATTTTTTATTTACGATGAAAATTTTTACTTTTTCCAGAGTGTCCGTTGCTTTGCGATTTAATAAAATAGTCTGTCGCAGTCGTAATTTCTATTTAAGAACTTGGTTCAGTTCTAAGAAACAGCTATGGAGATGGCGATAATCTTTAGTATAAAAACCAACCTGTAACAAGATGCAAAGATTTACCATGAGCAATATCTCGAATAACTAACGGCGTTTGTGCCATCCAACGACAATCTCGTATACACTGATCTCTTTCAGTCCATTGAAAAACCTAAAAATATTATGACGTCATGCTAACCAATGATGAAATATTATGACATCATGCTAAACTATGATGAAATATTATGACGTCATACTAAGCAATCATGAAATGTTATGACGTCATACTAGACAATGATGAAATATTATGACTTCATGCTAAACTATGATGAAATGTTATGATGTCATACTAGACAATGATGAAATATCATGACGTCATACTAAACAATGATGAAATGTTATGACGTCATACTAGACAATGATTAAATAATATGACGTCATAGTGTAATAACTCTGACTGTTAAACTAGTACAAAATTAACAATACTGACATAACCATCACCATAGAGACCATAGATGACTAAAGGAGGATATTTTGCGTTCGTGGTTTCATTCAATGGTGTAAAATCACCGAAACATCCACCGCTGACTACAATTTTTGATGTATTTGGCAATCTGTGTTAAAATAAGAAACGAAAGATTACTGATAGTACTTTTGAACTTTTTTATAATAATTCCATCAATGCTTAAATGTAAAAGATAAAAACTAACTTTGAGATAATTTTCTTTATATCAAAATGATAAATGAGATAGACATCTCCTTGTTTTGTCAGGCAAACAGTTGCTACATCAGAACATGTCACTGAGAGAATCAAAGTATCTTTAAAATGAAGACTGCTGATCTAAATCATGAAAAAATATGTTTGTAAAGAATAGATGATACAATGATGGATAACTATGGATGATACAATGATGGATAACCATAAATGATACAATAATGGATAAAAATGGATGATACAATGAGGGATAACCATGGATCATACAATGATGGATAACCATAAATGATACAATGATGGATAACCATAAATGATACAATGATGGATAACCATAAATGATACAATGATGGATAACTATGAATGATACAATGATGGATAACCAAGGATCATACAATGATGGATAACTATGGATGATACAATGATGGATAACCAGAAATGATACAATGATGGATAAACATGGATGATACAATGATGGATAACCATGGATCATATATGATAGATAACTATGGATGATAAAATGAAGGATAACCATGGATGATGCAATGAGGGATAACCAAGGATCATACAATGATAGATGACAAGGTGATACCAGCAAATACCTGTCGAGGAACAACCTGAGTTTTGTCAAGTTTGTTATGACCTGCAAGATTAATAAAAAAAAGCAAGTAAAACATAACAAGATATCCATTAAGATACCTAATTGTCCAGCATTCAATCCCCATGAATACACCTGTGATTCAGTAAAAATTACAGAGTGGTATTTTCCAGCAGCAACACCAACAAATTTCTTCCCTTTTGAATATTTCATTTGTACCTGCAAACATGAGAACAATTTTTTGTGAGAACTTTCAACTTGAACAATTTGTTTAGTTTATTAAACTTACTAGTTTTGGTGCAAGGCATTTATTGATAGAAGAATGGCCAAGTTGATGATGTTCATTCAGACCAAAAGTGTAGACATTACCACTGTAAAACATAGATTATAATATGCATACAATGTTTGAGCAGGAGTTTTATTAATAATCTTACTTTTCACTAAGAACAACAGTATGATCTTGTCCAGCAGCTACGGTCCTGCATACTTCCTGTTTTAAGGCTTCAATCCTCTTTGGAATCTTAAAAAAACATTTTGTTACGATACTGTAGTGAGTTACAACATAAAAGTTCAGTTACCAAAATTGTGTTTTCATTTCCGTGTCCTAGCCGGCCACCTTGGCCATGACCACAAGTCCATATGCCTCCATCATTTGCAAGGAAAACAGCATGAAATTTACACAAAACAACCTGAAAACACATGACATGACCAAGTACATCATGATTTAGGCAAGGAAATTATAAGTCAAAAGCATCAATAATTAATGGTCAAAGTCCTAAGTTCTAATGAAAAACCTGTTTAATGGAAACATAATTTAGCCCAGCAAAGATGTCGATAATTTCTGGTAAATTTCTCTCTTTTTCATCACCATGACCAAGGGTAAAGTTGTTATTCTGGCCCCAGCTGTACACATCGAGACCACACTCTAAAGTAGACATATTAATGATGAAAATGAATAATGAGTCATTAAATTTCATGTTTGATAAAGGAAGGTAAGAGGGAAGAGCTCCCTCCTTGAACTCAGATGTATTAAAGCTTTTTAACATAAATGTTTAGGTAATGTAGCATTTTAAAATATGTTTGTAAATGCAGATCATCCAGGTCAATGATGGCCGGAGAAGGACTATAGGTTTTGATGTTGAGAAATTTTTCCAGAATCTTAAAGGCAGTCATCTTAGTTATCTCAACACAAACAGTCCTCATAACTTCACTTATCGACATCTTCAAACATGCAATGACACTCCAGGTTCAAACCATTCACTTCAATATATCCAATCAATAACCCCCACCCCACCACCCCTGAATATAATCCTGAATCTACTCTTGCTGTGATGTACGAACCTGGATCATTGGTCATGTGACATCGTGGACTGTCAAACATCATAAGATCAAGAGGAGATAGGCCATCAAAATCTTTTGTATAAATATCTGCTCCATGCTGACAATGAATGCAATGAAAGTTATCTAAGCATTAGCAAAACCCTATTGTAAATGTAAAAATCTAACCTCAATAAGCAGGATGGCACAGGATATATAGCCATAGTAACAAGCACGATGTAAACCTGTCCAACCACATTCGAAATCTTTCTCGTGTAAATTAATTTTCTTCTCATCTAGTAACCATTGTAGGACGTCTTTTCTTCCATAAGATGCAGCAATATGAACTGCATTTCTTCCATGATTGTCCTTTACACAAGTTCCTTTGCCACAAAAGTATTTCATGAAATGTTGGATTTTTTCCACACTCTCCCTTGTCACCACGGACAGGACCACGTCAGCATGGTAAGACAGCCGGCATTTTGCCGTGCAATCCATTGATTTTAAAAGAAAGCCATGATTTAATGAAACGAAACCATTCTTATTTATAAAAATTATTTGCTGTCATGTTATTCATTGATGTAAAAAATGAAAAAATGCAAGAAAATTGTTGAAAATATTTCGTTAAACTCGTTCCTGCTTCGACGGCCATCTTGATCTTTGAACTCCACTGAACTTCCATATGAAATTAACTGGATAGATTGACGTCGTCAGTAGATGTTACGTAAATATTTTTACTGACATTTGAAATAAGACAAACTACTTCAAAACTGGCTATAGCAATAAAACATGTATATAGGGGTTTATAATTTCAAAGCATCAATAATACAAAATGCGTGAAAACAGAAATATCGAATAGATCTCTGGATATATGATCCTAAAACATAGTACAATGTATCAAATAACAAGATCATTGAGTTCTTTCCAAGAATCTCTGTTTTACATCGGTTCTTAATAAATAATGTCATGACAACCAAGAAACATAAAACCACGCGTTCATTTTATGCAATTTCAATCCAAAAACTTAAAAATTTCCAGTATATACCATATTTATGTTCAATAAGTTTCATTTTAGCTGCAGCAATTAAAGAACCATTTTTTTGTTTTTGTTTGAAGGGGGCTTAACAAGCTTCAAAACGATGATAGATTTGATGGATTATCGAGCAAAGTTTGCTTTGGCTTTATCTGAATTTTCCTTTCGTCTAAAGCAGATTTGTTCGGTAAATGGAATATGTTGATTCGGCTTTAGCTAAATCTCGAAGATTTGGGAAGAAAAAAGGGGTCGAAAAGAAAAATAAAGACCTTAAATGGCATTTGAATTATTTGCTTTGGAAATTTGACGTGTTTTAAATATAAAAAATAAGTAAAGTATGTAAATCATAATAAAATGAGCCAACCATGAACTTTCTAGAACAATATCACGCTGAGAAAGGGCGTGTTTTCTTAAAAAAACAATAGTAAATAGTTGTGATGTGGCAAATGCAAGTTCAGGACGTGCGTAAAGACAGTTTGTAAAGCTATAAATTGTACGTTTCAATGTTAAAACTGGGGCCTGAAGGTAAGATAAAATACGTACAACAGCAAGTTATGTTTTGTTTGATAAAAATAAAGGTAGTCGACAAATCCCAGTTATCCCATTATTTAGGCTATGAAGAGAATGTTCATTTATCTCTACCTACATTGACAAACGTCAGCTATTTCTTAGAAAGTTTATATAGTGTAAAGACTGTTCTTGTTCTCAATTGTTCATTCATCACTACCTACACTGACACACGTTATCTTATTTCATGTACATTTTATGTATTGCAAAGACTGTTCTCGTTCTCTGTTGTTCATTTATTTCTAACTATACTGACACACGTTATCTTATTTCATGTACACTTTATGTATTGCAAAGACTGTTCTCGTTCTCTGTTGTTCATTTATTTCTAACTATACTGACACACGTTATCTTATTTCTATTATATTGTAGGTATTGTAAAGACTGTTCTTGTTCTCTGTTGCTCATTTATTTCTAACTATACTGACATACGTTATCTTATTTCTTATATATTGTAGGTATTGTAAAGACTGTTCTTATTCTCTGTTATTCTTTGTTCACTTCCCACATTGACACACATTATCTTGTTTCTTATATATTTCATCATTTTTATTTATTATAAGACTGTTCTTGTTCTTTGTGGTTCATTCATCGCAACCTACACTGATACAAGTTATTGATAGCTCCAAACACGTGACCATCACCTGTTAAAGCGGAAACCAAACGGCACGGAGCTGTTTCATATAGAAAACACTTATGTCTAAAGTATAAAATCCTTATGACAATAACTTCTTTTACAAGTTTCAGAAGATTCTTCGGAGACAAGACAGAAAGTGTATTTGTTGAAATAGGAAAATTGACTCTGTTCAACATGGTTGAAAACAAGACTAGAGGTCAAGGTTTCGACAGACATTGGTTTGTTAAAAAAGAGAGGGCTCTTCAATTTCAATGTGGAGTTTGCAGTAATGTCGTCAAAGATCCCTATCAGATTGTCAAATGCGGTCATCATACATGCCGTGATTGTCTATCACGTGATCTTAAAGATGTCAGGTTTATAAATTATTTTAAACATTCTCAATGTGAATCTTTAATTAGAAAGGAAAAACGTTTGAAAAATTCTCAAAAATTTAATACAATACATGTGGAATGTTTGTGAAGATAACTCAGAAGAAACATATATATATATATCGCCCTACGCCTGAAGATCGCCCTACGGCGTGAAACTCCGAGTAGCGACAGCATATACTTGTCAATTTTATTTCATTTTATTTCATTTTATATATATATATATATATAAGTTTGAAAATTTGTAATCCAGGCATTGAATACATAAAGATATAAGTTTCTCCGGTTTTAAGTGATTTTTATTGAGCTTTCGACTCGTTTCGCAACGAGTCGAAAGCTCAATAAAATCATTAAATCATCTTTATGTATATATATATATATATATAAATGAGTGCTTAATTGAGCACTCTACGATAATCCGCAATGGAGAAATTCAACTTCAACTACAGCATGAAGAACATTCCTCTACCATCACCGAATGAATACTTAAAACTTCCTATACATATAAATGATATATTCGATGATTTTTATTGAGCTTTCGACTCGTTTCTTTGAGCCTTCATCAGAAACAACAAAACCAACACTACAACATTACACACTAATAATATTAACACCAATCATGTTCACAATACACCAAAACCCATGGCAACGCATTTCACCTGACCCAAGCACACTAATCCACTCGCTAATCCAATTAGACGCTCTAAGCGTCTACAAGCTAAAAGCAAGTGTAGATAGATAATTTCCTCATTCTGATGAAAGCTCGAAGCAACGAGTCAAAAACTCAATAAAAATCATTGACAATCCGGAGAAACTTTTACTTTTAAATAATATAATGCCTGGATAACCAATTGTTAAACATATATATATACATATATATATAGGAAGTTTATAAGTGATGATTCTCCGTATAAAACAGTGCTCGATGCCCGAGAGCAGAGCGTAAATATATATACACAGTAGATAAACCAAATTTAACAAATTTTTACGCATTTTCAAGGGAATGTCCTGTGTGTAATTTTGAAATAAAAGACTTTAAAACGGAGATTTTCCCGGATACTTCAGTGAAAATAAAAGTCTTCGGATTGCTCATAAAATGTCCTGATAAAAAATGTAAATGGAAAGGAGAGTTGAGACAGTTCCTCGAGGCGAGTCATTCTAAATTTTTTTTTTAAAATAAATTTCCTACGCCAAAACGAGGTTGACATAGACAAGTTGTACAAAGAAGATATGATGTTCAACGATTTCTGTTTTCAGAAACATGAAAATGAATGCCCGTTTGGTGTGCTCAAATGCCCAAATGAGAAATGCAATGAACGAGTGACGAGAGAAGATCTGAAGAAACATTTAGAAACATGCCCTTACAGAGAGATAAAATGTCCACATTGTGGAATAACTTTGTACTTTAAAGACGAGAAAGTAATAAAAATACGTTTTAAGTAAAACAAGTAATTTAATCTGAAAGATTAATTTTATAAAACTTCTGTTGTTTTAGCGTCACTTGGAGGAGCAATGTTTGAAAATTCCAGTTGATTGTGCTCAAGGATGTGGAAAACAAATTATTAAAGAGCAGGCAAGTCGTTTTCATACTTTAAGACGAGTAACTGAGGCCAGGCTTGCTATTACCCAAAATCCTAATGATATCCATCCAAACCCCTCTTACCTCCTCTCAACCCTCCATACCCTCCATCTTCTAATGTCTAGCACGCTTCTCCTACAAATAGTTTGCATTAGAGTTCTTAATATTTCAAATCGAACTAGCACTTCTCGAAAGAACATTTTTCCCAACAGATCCAAGACCACATAGATAATGAATGTGAAAATACGCTGATCGACTGCAAGTATAAAGACATAGGCTGCGATGAATTGGTAAGAATAATAAGTTGTCACTCAATAACTTCATAACCAGGTTAGATCTTAGAATTGACGTCTTTGGACAATAAAGGACGAAAGGTATCAACGAAGACAGTGAAGTATTGGACGATATATTGAAAACATTGCATAACACATTCTTTCGTATGACGTTCCTTTCACGAGAAAACATCAACCCAACAAAATTGACTGCTCACCCCTTGTGACTTCATAGCTCAGTTGGTCAGAGCACTGCACCGGCACCGCAGAGGTCATGGGTTCGAATCCCGTTGAGTCACCTGAATTTTTCAGGTTCATGAGACAATTGCTTAAATTGTCCACGAAAGTGCGAAGATCATATCTACATTTAATATTGAATAACTGTCGAAAGCGTCTGTCGGATTGAACACATTTATTGAAGTTATATATTATTACTGAATAACTGAAATGATAATTGAAATCTGTTTTTATTAAGGTTGAACGTGGAAATATTGAAGACCATGAATCATCAAATGTTGCCTTGCATCTGGCTAAAGGTGTTGATGTAATTAGAAACCTTAAAGAGGAAAAGCGAGCATTGACCGAAAAACTGAGAAAGTTAGATGAAAAGCACGAAAGTTTAGACAGGAAAATGACGGACTCAATAGAAACACAGAAAACACATTCAAATAAAATAGAATCTGAACTGAAAGAATTTGTGAACACTGGAAAATTAAGTCTAGAGAATGTTAAAAAAGCCACTGAACAAAACTTCGAAAATAACGAAAGAAATGGCATCGAGCTTGAGGAACAGAGAAACGAGTTACAACATTTGAATGATAATATCATTCCCGTTCTGAAGAACGATATTACGATAAACGAAGATGAAATCATTAAATTGATAGGAACTACCAACGACTTACAAAATTTCACTGTAGCATTTTACAACGAACTGAAACACGAACATGATGACCAGCGGCAGGTAATGGATGCAACTATCGATACTCTACGTCATGATCTCGTCATAGAAAAAACCGAACGCATAAAGAATGAAAATAAGACAGGTGAACATTTGACTAAAGTGAACGCAAAAATTGGAGACAATATAAGAAAATTAAAACAAATGCAAGGTGAGATTTTGGTTTCACAAGATGCAACAAAAGAAAAGTTTTCGCAGCAATACAAACAAATCCAGTCAAATTACGAGAATCTATTAGAAATGATCAAAAAAGAGAAAAAGTTGACTGATCATAAATTCATGCGACTGACCAATGACCGAACAACACTGATCCGTAAACGTACTGGAGTGAGCTTATGGCAAATTGAGCATGACGTTAATCTTAAATCCTCCTCTGATTGTGTGACTGGCGAAACTTTTTATTCTGAAGAGTATGGTTATCTGGTCCAACCAAAACTTTACTATAACGGGGCAAGAGAGGAAGATAGTGGTTATATTTCAGTGTTCATACAATTACTCCAAGGTCCTTACGACGCCATATTGCAATGGCCTTTCAACAAACATGTTCGATTTACTTTGTTCGCGCAAGAATGTAAGGGGACTGGAAAGAATATACAGAAAATCCTCATTCCACAAACTGATGTTGAAGAGTTTCAACGACCATCAGAGAAGGAGAACATGGGATTTGGACTGTTTAAATTTGCATCCCATGAGATTTTACAGTCTGGGAGTTATGTAGTAAATAATACAATGTTTTTAAAGATTGAAATACTTACAAATAATGAACTTTTTGAAACTATTTGAAGATTGTCTCCATGAACGTCTTAGTGTAAATTCTCGTAATTTTGCCCGTAGTTAGTAAAATATATGTCTTTCATCTGCTGTGGATTAAAATCATATCAAAATTTGTGCTTCCAAAATGGCATACTCGTGTTTCCGCTTTCTGCTCACCGTTATTTAAATGTTCCCTCCATAGTTGGCATGGCAACGAGTTGCTATAGAAACCACTGTACACCAGCATGGTGGCTAAAAAACAGCTTTTCGTTTACGGTTTGGTTAAATATGTCCAATATCATCAAGCCATTGGCATAGCACAGGTGTGAAGAATCTCATGCATGAAAAATTTGTTCATTGTTCGTAAAATGCTATTGCTTTTCGTAGAGGCTATTGTTTATAGCTTCTTTAAAACTGTTTCATTACGACTGAACTTGTATCCTGGCTTATTTAAAACCTTTTCAAGGATTTGTATGATGGAAATCAGAATGCATTTTTCAAACCTCAATATAAGGGAATGTTGGAGTTCGAGTGGGTGGATTTTGTGGAGAAAAAACGAACAGTAAGTCGCTTCAATAATATATTATTGATTATTTGTTACGCCAGCATTTTTTTAATTGGAGGCAGAAGACGACAGTCGTCGTCACGCAGACAAACAATGAGATTTTAAAGAAACGTTTTGAAGTCTATAGAAAGCGAATTGTGGTCCTTATCTTCTGAAGTTATTATATTGGTGAATGACGAGTTGTTTGAAGATTTTGACAAATTTTTAACATGGGCCGAAACAAATCACGCATAGAAGGACTATAGGTGAGGATCGATATTTGACATTACCTAGTTTGAGAATGTTGTGTATAGCTGATGTATGTACACACACTTCTTTTTAAGACCATTACCCCTATGGTACGCAATGTGTAAGGAAAATTATAAAGAACACTTGAAGTCGAAGGTTTGTATATTTAAATACAATGTCAATAATGTTACTCATGACAGTAAGTTTCAAAACCTTTAATACTCTTCATATTGTATACTAGCACAGTTTTGTTTATCTTGATGTGGAGATTTCGTCTGAACCCGTAGGTAGACTGCTAATTGAGGTACAGGAAAGTATTTTTATCAGATTTAAACTTAGAGTTCATAATTTCAAATATAACGATAGTAACAAGCACGGTGTAAACCTGTCCAACCACATTCGAAATCTTTCTCGTGTAAATTAATTTTCTTCTCATTTAGTAACCATTGTAGAACGTCTTTTCTTCCATAAGATGCAGCAATATGAACTGCATTTCTTCCATGATTGTCCTTTACACAAGTTCCTTTGCCACAAAAGTATTTCATGAAATGTTGGATTTTTTCCACACTCTCCCTTGTCACCACGGACAGGACCACGTCAGCATGATAAGACAGCCGGCATTTTGCCGTGCAATCCATTGATTTTAAAAGAAAGCCATGATTTAATGAAACGAAACCATTCTTATTTATAAAAATTATTTGCTGTCATGTTATTCATTGATGTAAAAAATGAAAAAATGCAAGAAAATTTTTGAAAATATTTCGTTAAACTCGTTCCTGCTTCGACGGCCATCTTGATTTTTTAAACTCCACTGAACTTCCACATGAATTTAACTGGATAGATTGACGTCGTCAGTAGATGTTACGTAAATATTTTTACTGACATTTGAATTCTATCTGAATTTTCCTTTCGTCTAAAGCAGATTTGTTCGGTAAATGGCATATGTTGATTCGGATTTAGCTAAATCTCGAAGATTTAGGAAGAAAAAAGGGGTCGAAAAGAAAAATAAAGAACTTAAATGGCATTTGAATTATTTGCTTTGGAAATTTGGCGTGTTTTAAATATAAAAAATAAGTAATGGTATGTAAATCATAATAAAATGAGCCAACCATGAACTTTATAGAGCAATATCACGCTGAGAAAGGGCGCGTTTTCTTAAAATACAATAGCAAATAGTTGTGATGTGGCAAATGCAAGCTAAGGACGTGCGTAAAGATGGTTTGTAAAGCTATAAATTGTACGTTTCAACGATAAAACTGAGGCCTGAAGGTAAGATAAAATACATACAACAGCAAGTTATGTTTTGTTTGATAAAAATAAAATAAAGGTGGTCGACAAATCCCAGTTATACCATTATTTAGGCTATGAAGAGAATGTTCATTTATCTCTACCTACATTGACAAACCTTAGCTATTTCTTAGAAAGTTTATATAGTGCAAGGACTGTTCTTGTTCTCTGTTGTTCATTCATCACTACCTACACTGACACACGTTATCTTATTTCTTATATATTGTAGGTATTGTAAAGACTGTTCTTGTTCTCAGTTATTCTTTGATCACTTCCCACATTGACACACATTATCTTGTTTCTTATATATTTCATCATTTTCATGTATTATAAGACTGTTCTTGTTCTTTGTGGTTCATTCATCGCAACCTACACTGACACAAGTTATTGATAGCTCCAAACACGTGACCATCACCTGTTAAAGCGGAAACCAAACGGCACGAAGCTGTTTCATATAGAAAACACTTATGTCTAAAGTATAAAATCCTTATGACAATAACTTCTTTTACAAGTTTCAGAAGATTCTTCGGAGAAAAGACAGAAAGTGTATTTGTTGAAATAGGAAAATTGACTCTGTTTAACATGGCTGAAAACAAGACTAGAGGTCAAGGTTTCGACAGACATTGGTTTGTTGAAAAGAGGGCTCTTCAATTTCAATGTGGAGTTTGCAGTAATGTCGTCAAATATCCCTATCAGATTGTAAACTGTGGTCATCATGCATGCCGTGATTGTCTATCACGTGATCTTAAAGATGTCAGGTTTATAAATTATTTAAAACATTCTCAATGTGAATCTTTAATTAGAAAAGAAAAACGTTTCAAAAATTCTCAAAAGTTTAATACAATACATGTGGAATGTTTGTGAAGATAACTCAGAAGAAACATATATACATATATATATATCAGCCTACGCCTGAAGATCGCCCTACGGCGTGAAACTCCGAGTAGCGACAGCATATACTTGTCCATTTTATTTCATTTTATTTCATTATATATACATATATATATAAATGAATGCTCAATTAAGCACTCTACGATAATCCGTAATGGAGAAATTCAACTTCAACTACAGCATCAAGAACATTCTTCTACCATCACCGAATGAATACTTAAAACTTCCTATACATATAAATCATATATTCGATGATTTTATTGAGCTTTCGACTCGTTTCTTTGAGCCTTTATCAGAAACAACAAAACCAACACTACAAACTACAAACAACACCAAAACTACAACATTACACTCTAATAATATTAACACCGATCATATTCACAATACACCAAAACCCATGGCAGCGCATTTCACCCGACCCAATCACACTAATCCACTCGCTAATCCAATTAGACGCTCTAAGCGTCTACAAGCTAAAAGCAAGTGTAGATAGATAATTTCCTCATTCTGATGAAAGCTCGAAACAACGAGTCGAAAACTCAATAAAAATCATTCAAAATCCGGAGAAACTTTTATTTTTAAATAATATAATGCCTGGATTACCAATCTTTAAACATATATATATACATATATATATAGGAAGTTTATAAGTGATGATTCTCCGTATAAAACAGTGCTCGATGCCCGAGAGCAGAGCGTAAATATATATACACTGTAGATAAACCAAATTTAACAAATTTTTACCCATTTTCAAGGGAATGTCCTGTGTGTAATGTTGAAATAAAAGACTTTAAAACGGAGATTTTCCCTGATACTTCAGTGAAAATAAAAGTCTTCGGATTGCTCATGAAATGTCCTGATAAAAAATGTAAATGGAAAGGAGAGTTGAGACAGTTTCTCGAGGCGAGTTATCCTAAATTTTTTGTTTAAAATACATTCCTTACGCCAAAACGAGGTTGACATAGACAAGTTATACAAAGAAGATATGATGTTCAACGATTTCTGTTTTCAGAAACATGAAAATGAATGCCCGTTTGGTGTGCTCAAATGCCCAAATGAGAAATGCAATGAACGAGTGACGAGAGAAGATCTGAAGAAACATTTAGAAGCATGCCCTTACAGAGAGATAAAATGTCCACATTGTGGAATAACTTTGTACTTTAAAGACGAGAAAGTAATAAAAATACGTTTTAAGTAAAACAAGTAATTTAATCTGAAAGATTAATTTTTTAAAACTTCTGTTGTTTTAGCGTCACTTGGAGGAGCAATGTTTGAAAATTCCAGTTGATTGTGCTCAAGGATGTGGAAAGCAAATTATAAAAGAGCAGGCAAGGCGTTTTCAGACTTTTAGACAAGTAACTGAGGCAAGGCTTGCCATTAACAAAAATCCTAATGATATCCATCCAAACCCCTCTTACCTACTCTCAACCCCCCCATCTTTTAATGTTCAGCACTCTTCTCCTACAAATAATTTGTATTAGAGCTCTTAATATTTCAAATCGAACCAGCACTTCTCAAAAGACCATTTTCCCCAACAGATCCAAGACCACATAGATAATGAATGTGAAAATACGCTGATCGACTGCAAGTATAAAGACTTAGGCTGCGATGAATTGGTAAGAATAATAAGTTGTCACTCAATAACTTCATAAGCAGGTTAGATCTAAGAATTGACGTCATTGGACAATAAAGGAAGAAAGATATCAACGAGGACAGTGAAGTATTGGACGATATATTGAATAACTGTCGAAAGCATCTGTCGGATTGGACACATTTATTGAAGTTATACATTATTACTGAATTACTGAAATGATAATTGAAATCTGTTTTTATTAAGGTTGAACGTGGAAATATTGAAGACCATGAATCATCAAATGTTGCCTCGCATCTGGCTAAAGCTGTTGATGTAATTAGAAACCTTAAAGAGGAAAAGCGAGCATTGACCGAAAAACTGAGAAAGTTCGATGAAAAGCATGAAAGTTTAGACAGGAAAATGACGGACTCTATAGAAACACAGAAAACACATTCAAACAAAATAGAATCTGACCTGAAAGAATTTGTGAAAATGGGAAGTTTAAGTCTAGAGAATGTTAAAAAAGCCACTGAACAAAACTTCGAAAATAACGAAAGAAATGGCATCGAGGTTGAGGAACAGAGAAACGAGTTACAGCATTTGAATAATAATATCATTCCCGTTCTGAAGAACGATATTACGATAAACGAAGATGAAATCATTAAATTGATAGGAACTACCAACGACTTAAAAAAATTCACTGTAGCATTTTACAACGAACTGAAACACGAACATGATGACCAGCGGCAGGTAATGGATGCAACTATCGATACTCTACGTCATGATCTCGTCATAGAAAAGACCGAACGCATAAAGAATGAAAATAAGACAGGTGAACATTTGGCTAAAGTGAACGCAAAAATTGGAGACAATATAAGAAAATTAAAACAAATGCAAGGTGAGATTTTGGTTTCACAAGATGCAACAAAAGAAAAGTTTTCGCAGCAATACAAACAAATCCAGTCAAATTGCGAGAATCTATTAGAAATGATCAAAAAGAGAAAAGTTGACTGATCATAAATTCATGCGACTGACCAATGACCGAACAACACTGATCCGTAAACGTACTGGAGTGAGCTTATGGCAAATTGAGCATGACGTTAATCTTAAATCCTCCTCTGATTGTGTGACTGGCGAAACTTTTATTCTGAAGAGTATGGTTATCTGGTCCAACCAAAACTTTACTATAACGGGGCAAGAGAGGAAGATAGTGGTTATATTTCAGTGTTCATACAATTACTCCAAGGTCCTTACGACGCCATATTGCAGTGGCCTTTCAACAAACATGTTCGATTTACTTTGTTCGCGCAAGAATGTAAGGGACTGGAAAGAATATACAGAAAATCCTCATTCCACAAACTGATGTTGAAGAGTTTCAACGACCACCAGAGAAGGGGAACATGGGATTTGGACTGTTTAAATTTGCATCCCACGAGATTTTACAGTCTGGGAGTTATGTAGTAAATAATACAATGTTTTTAAAGATTGAAATACTTACAAATAATGAACTTTTTGAAACTATTTGAAGATTGTCTCCATGAACGTCTTGGTGTAAATTCTCGTAATTTTGCCCGTAGTTAGTAAAATATATATCTTTCATCTGCTGTGGATTAAAATCATATTAAAATTTGTACTTCCAAAATGGCATACTCGTGTTTCCGCTTTCTGCTCACCGTTATTTAAATATTCCCTCCATAGTTGGCATGGCAACGAGTTGCTATAGAAACCACTGTACACCAACATGGTGGCTAAAAAACAGCTTTTCGTTTACGGTTTGTTAAAAAATGTCCAATATCATCAAGCCATTGGCATAGCACAGGTGTGAAGAATCGCATGCATGAAAAATGTGTTCATTGTTTGTAAAATGCTATTGCTTTTCGTGGAGGCTATCGTTTATAGCTTGTTTAAAACTGTTTCCTAACGACTGAACTTGTATCCTGGCTTTTTTAAAACCTTTTCAAGGATTTGTATGATGGAAATCAGAATGAATTTTGCAAACCTGAATATAAGGGAATGTTGGAGTTCGAGTGGGTGGATTTTGTGGAGAAAAAACGAACAGTAAGTCGCTTCAATAATATAATATTGATTATTTGTTACGCCAGCATATTTGTAATTGGAGGCAGAAGACGACAGTCGTCGTCACGCAGACAAACAATGAGATTTTAAAGAAACGCTTTGAAGTCTATAGGAAGCGAATTGTGGTCATTATCTTCTGAAGTTATTATATTGGTGAATGACGAGTTGTTTGAAGATTTTGACAAATTTTTAACATGGGCCGAAACAAATCACGCATACAAGGACTATAGGTGAGAATCGATATTTGACATTACCTAGTTTGAGAATGTTGTGTATAGCTGATGTATGTACACATTACTTCTTTTTAAGACCATTACCACTATGGTACGCAATGTGTAAGGAAAATTATAAAGAACACTTATTGAAGTCGAAGGTTTGTATATTTAAATACAATGTCAATAATGTTACTCAGGGCAGTAAGTTTCAAAACCTTTAATACTCTTCATGTTGTGTACTAGCACAGTTTTGTATATCTTGATGTGGAGATTTCGTCTGAACCCGTTGGTAGACTGCTAATTGAGGTACAGGAAAGTATTTTTATCAGATTTAAACTTCGAATTCATAATTTCAAATTGGTTTCTTTTCTCCATAGTTATATAGTGACAAATGTCCAAGAACATCTGAGAATTTCCTACAACTTTGTAAAGGAGGATTCGGAAAGTGACAAAAACCAATTGCCGATCAAACTGTCTTATAAGAAATCAATATTTCACAGAATTGTGCCCAATGGTTGGATTCAAGGTGGAGGTACAACATTCAAATGTTTTTTACATGAAAATGATCCTAGAAGTACAGAAAGTTTTGATGATAAATTCACATGTTTTTTTTACATAAAAATGATCCGAGAAATGGAGGAAGTTTTGATGTTAAATTTCACATATTTTTTACATGAAAATGATCCCAGAAATACAGGAATTTTTGATGTTAAAATTCACATATTTTCACATGAAAATGATCCCAGAAATACAGGAAGTTTTGATGTTAAATTTCACATATTTTTTACATGAAAATGATCCCAGAAATACAGGAAGTTTTTATGTTAAATTTCACATATTTTTTACATCAAAATGATCCCAGAAATACAGGAAGTTTTGATGTTAAATTCACATATTTTATACATGAAAATGATCCCAGAAATAGAGGAAGTTTTGATGATATGTTTAGACTTTGTCACACATAAAGGAACAGGAGGTCATTCTATTCATGGTCCATCATTTGAAGGTATGAAAAATGGTCAACTTAAATAAAGATCTTTCAAGTTGCTTATTTGGTAAAATTATTCTTTAATGATAGATGAAAGTTTCTCTGTACCTCATGACAAGAGAGGAGTGCTTGGAATGGCAAACAAAGGCAGACACACGAATGCTTCGCAATTTTACATCACTCTACAACCTTGTTCTTGGATGAACACAAAATATGTTGCATTTGGGTATGACACCATTGTGCTTTATGCTTTGAATTTATCTGATTCTAACAAAAATGAATGCATTTACAGACAAGTCATAGAAGGTATGGCTGTCCTTAAAATACTTGAAGAGCAAGAAACGTACAATGAAAGACCAAAGAAGGCATGTGTTATTGCCAATTGTGGAATTTTTGACGTTGAAAAACTGTTTACATAACTTAATATATATTAATATTCAAATTGACAGTGAGTATTTTGTTGTAAGGAACATTTTTAAAAGGTGACTCCTGCATTAAGTACATTTTTATTCCTACAATAAAATAATTGAAATTTTGCCAACACTTGCTGAGAATGTACATTTTGTACTTTGCATGATATTGTGTTGAACACAATTAACCTTAGAGTAATTGTTATAAAACACGCACAAAATGTTATTGTCATAAAATTGCTTTATTAAGGCATTCCAATGTTTATGTGTAATCAGAATGCTTACAAATAAAGAATGCAAGAAATTTGACAGTGAAAATTGGCATTAGCCAAAATAAAATTTGAACTCGAACTACAGCCATTTTGATTTGTTAATATAATGAATTTTCACAATTTACTAACGACAAACACAACTACGAAATACAGCTAGTAATATTTTTATACACTATTTCATTATTTTGTCTGTGAGGATCACAACGCAAGCAATTAAGAACGTTTGCAAGGAAGGAACTTGGCAAATTTACATTCTAATTACTATAATTGTGACATTCTCTGATAATCACGCGAGTGCAAAGTCGTAAAAATTTGTATAATGTTGAGGTATAATCCAAATATTGATTTAATAAAGTGTCGATATGTCATCGGCACAAAAGTGTTTTTTAAAATAAATACGAGAATCCTATAAAACGCTTCAACAATTTTAACAACAACGACCCATAATTCACCATTTCTTCTACTGAACATACCGTTTAAAGCTCTCTATAATTTCCTTCTCGGAGCATTTTGAATCTTGAAAGGCTTCGTCCAATTCACCTGCTTCTATGTAGCGTTTCAAAGCAACGAAGTCTTCGGGTATTTCGAACTCTTTAAAATAGCGGCCAGCGACACGAATGTAAAACAGTTTTGGCAATAATTGACAATCGGGAATCGTGATTGAATCACCACTCAAGAATAGTCGCTCGTTATTTACCAGAAACTGGTCAATTTTTCTCAACTCGTCGTGAAGATTCTTCAACTTGACTTTTTCAGCATCGCCTTTCGCTTTTAAATAGAATATGAATTTCTGAAATACATCCAGTTGTATTTTGTAGGCTTTTGGATCGCCACTACGAAGATAAGGCCTAAATTTCTCCTCCAAGTATATCTCTATTTGAGGTGGATCGTCAACCAAAACACGATCGCCTTCATTAAATACGTGATACAAAATGGCAGTTTTAACGTCGGATCTTCAACTCCGTACTTCAACAAAATTTCTTTTTTATAGACAAGATCAACGGGAATTATTTTCGCATTCGGGATGTCTTTCTTAGCAATCATGAACATAAAACGATGACTAAATATATCTTCGCCAAACTGCGAGTCTTTATCGTCTTTGATGACGGGCCCCTAAAACCATAATTTTACGCTTTAAAACATGTACAAACATACCACAAAGATCACTCAAAAAGCAAACAGCAGCGTTTTAAAATTATCCAACTTACTTTCACAAAGAGGAGAAGTTCTGAGCTGGTATCGTTGCTCATTTTTGGTCGTAAACCTTTCTTTATATTTTCTTACACTGTCAGCACACTTATTCATCAGCATACAACTTTGTTTCGTTTCTTTGTCCCACCCTATTCACGCATGCGTATGATTTTTTCTACACCTGCATTTGCCGGCATCGGCAAGGGGTATCTGCCCACAAGCAGGCTGAAGCATTCCTGACATTCCTGCAGCTATTTATCACTCCATTTTCACTTCGAATCTTTGGGCTCAGTGGAAGAAGATTACTTCCGTTTTTCCATTTCCTTAATTTCAGTATGCAAAGAGTTGCAATTACATCTGCAAGAGTTTTTTGTTCGTTTCACGATTTGCTTTTTACGTGGCAAAGTTGTTGATGATAGACAGAAGCAAATTCTGGTACTCGGAAAAATATTTTTGCTATCATACACAATGTTTCGCACACTGCAGAATAAAGCGTTTTGCTTAGCAATAATTTATGGCGTCTTGCTGGTAGTGGCAGATACTAAAGGTTAGAACATAAATTTTATGAGTAATTGTGACAATCACGATTATGTCGTCTTGTCTTGTGGTTTTATTTTCTTTTACCACATTTTCCGTCATTGTGAAACTGGCATGTTTCAGCGATGTTCGATATTAATATTTTACAGCGTTGATTTGTTTGAAAGGTTTGTTGTTTGTGGAATAGACGAAAACATGTATAATCAGCTGATTAACGTACTTTTTGTGTTGACGCAGGGTTCTATCATCTTTCATTTGTTACTTCAGGCAATAATTCTTCAAATCCATTACTATCACTTTCACGCGCGATAACAACTTTGTCTACAACGAGGTCAATATTTAGTAAGTACTCCTTTACAATTTTATGTGGAAGATGCTAAGATAGCGTTGAAACATTATTTATTCATTGATAGTAAACTTCCCATTTTACAATAAAATAATTTTTCTATCAATGATACATTGTAATGCAATGTTTTCCTTTGTATAGCTAGTCCCATGGTCATTGTAAATGCATCAATAACCATTTCAATGAATTTTACAACTGGTCAAACCATTAAAAAAATTTCAAGCACCTCAACTGGCCATGCTTCTAAAACACCATCTCCAACACCAGCCAGTCCACCAAAAGATGATGGTCGTGAGTTTGATGGATTGTCTTTCTTTGGAGGTATGATCCTTGGCTCATTTATTTGCGTTGCATTGCTGATTTTGGTAAAGATTTATAAGGCAAAGAAAAGAAGCTACCATTCCTTGTAAGATGACGCATTAAAACTTTTAATAAGTTTTTTAGCATTTAATTAAAATGCATGAATTGTTACAAACTCAGTTTAACAAAATTAACAATGAATAAGTTTGTCATAAGAACCAGTCGAAAGCTCTATCGACCTTGGGTTACTAAATGACATTGTCAAAGATTTTTTGCTTAGATATACAGTATGTAGATACATCATAAATGTTAGTGGGAAATCTTCGCTAGTAATAAATATACTTAAACATCCATCTACCCATATCCATTGTTTAGTAATATTTAATCACCAAGATATCCACCAATATCCACTGTCTAATGCAATTTTAACACTGAGATATCCATGAACATCCATTGCTTTATGCAATTTGACCACTAAGATATCCACCAATATCCATCAACTAATATATTTTTACCACTTAGATATCCATCAATATCCACCAAAATCCATTGCTGAATACAATTTTATCATAATGTTAAGTAAATATATAGATCTTGCTGTTACTACCACAGTATAGAGAATGTGGAGAGATTTACTTGTGCCAAACTAATTGCCATACATATCAGTGACCATTATTACCGTCGGTTGATTAGAGTTTATCTGTCAAAGTGAACCTTATGTAAAATCATTATTTCTTGGTATTGCATAACAACATTAATTAGGGACTTTTATATTTGTTGTGTTGTTATCCACGCATCAAACTTTCTGTGTTACAATGCTCACTGTACATGGCACAAGACCATAGTGTGTAGTGTAATTTATTCCGACAAAACCTTTTCTAAAGCGACGAGAATTTTATGGAAGCCAAACACTTTTGCTTTACTTCATTTCACTTCTTTATCATTTTCCCTTTTCTCTGAAATAGTCAGCTAAAATAAATAAAGTTGCTGTCTGAATAAGAAATATTTCTCCTGATGACCGCAACATTTGGACAGCTAAAAACAAAATATTTGAAAAGAAAGCAAGAAACAAAAGTTAGCACTTGTTTTCATGGAAACATACCAAGTTTTTCCACAGCTTCGACACAAACACTTGGGTACATTTCAGATGAATATGTGGCCAACAGGATAAATGTTGATGACCGTACCAATATTAACCCACTAGATTCCTAAAAAATTCCTATATATATTAAACTTCTTCCCAAAATGGCAAGTAAATGCAAAGAGTGATGGTTATTAGTACCGTTTTGGCATAAATTGAGAATTTGTCAGCTCGTACACAAGAATATCTTTGTCCTCCAAGTTCAACACCTTTTTCACGAGTATGCGAAGGTTGTCTAAACGCTTCAATTAAACTGGTTATCTCTCCTGTTGTGAGCTGTTAACAATACCGAAAGATAATATTACCCTCAAACAATAATCTCATTCTCTCATCTTTATATCTCATGAAAATTTAATACTTACGGTAAGACCAGATGAGGATGCGCGAATCGCCGCGTCGTTTCGACGTATTAAAGCACAATTTTCAACATGGCCAGTTGCTATCAAAGCATCATGCAGTAAATTATGCAACTGATTCATCGTCGTAAACTTCTTTTCAGTTGTCATTTTTATATTTCCACAACAACAAAGTGATGAGAAACACCTGATCGCGGGCTTTGATCACCAGTGGCAACCATTGGTGGTATTAATAAAATAGCGGAAATCGTATTAGCGGAGTTGCGGTTTCTTGTTTTTATAGAGATTGGTGATGAATGGACAAATAGAGATTGAGAATGAAGAAGTAGAGAGTTATTCTTAATATAAAAATACCTCAGATATACAGGGAGCAATGATGGCAGACCGCAATTAAAATTACATAAGTTTTTATGAAGTTTAACGACATACAATGAAAATTTAAAATACTTTTGATGTGTGATGAATGACAAAGTAAACATTTTTCGAGAATTTTCATTTTGCATGACCAATGATTTACATGATGACATCTCAGTGTAAAATGTTGTTTGAACTATCCTGATATAGAACACGGTTACATGGATGATTATCCAGTATTTTCTCCAATTCTGTTATTTCACAACGTAATTTCTCAATCTCCGTTTCCAAATTCTTGTTACAAACTTCAAGATATTCGTAAGACTGCAACAAGAACAAACAGATTTAGTTCGCACAACATGACCCAGTCACAGGAAGTGTTAACCAAGGTTGCCTAAGAAATACGCCGTTAAAGCGCTTTTCTGGGAAATCCTCGTGCTTTACGAGGTGTATAAAAAAAAGGTATCACACAGTCAATATTTTGACTGGGAGAGATAATTAAATTGTTTTCCAGTTTATTATTATCATTGTGCAAGGCCTGTTTTAAATACAGATCTGTCGCTTGTAAAAAATCCCGCGTTTTCAAAAATTTCAGCGCCATTCATGCAAGAAAACCCTAAAGTACTGAGAATCATTAAATTTTTTTCTTACTATTACTTAGTTTAAAGCATTTTTTCAAGAAGTATACTTTTTTACTCATACACCCTGTGTATTTAATCAGTTTACTAGCTAAGATCATTTGTACTATTCTTCAGAAAAACCTAGTCACTCGCTGTTGATTATAACTGCATGCGTAAGATTTGCATTGTACAAAAAAATTTATGGAATAAATCTACTTTGTTTTCACATCGCCTTTGACATTGCGTCTTGCATTCTTAATTTATCAAGTGAAAATGCGCGGGAAAAAATGTCATAGCAACGAGACAATGAAGAGAGAAAAGACGCAAGCGGATACCTCAACGAGACTTCGTACGTGATCTTTACGTTTTTTTCTACATTTTGAAGCAGCAAGTTTGTTTCTTTCTCGTCTCACGCGTCTCTTTTCTGCATCATCATGGTCAGACTATAAATACAAATGATACAAGTGATAGGTATTTTTGAACAAGTCTAAAATTCTGAATGTTGTCATAGTTTCGCTGTTGGGACCCTTGACTTGGTTAACCCCTAATCATGGGCTTTATATGAAGGTAGCTAACAAATTTTATGAGAGAAGAATAGTTTGTACTGTATCTTATTGATGACAGAAATATGTCTTGTCGTCCTTGTTAAAACACAACAAACCGATTTCATTTTATTATTTTCATTTCCAAAGTCGTATATGTAGTCTTTGTTCACGTCGGCCTCCATTGACTGCTGTATTTCCATTCTCAACGGACTGTCGTCTTCTTTAACCATCTCGTGGCCTATGACGTCATGTTTATTCACGCGATCATGCTCGACGTCATGATATATAAAGCTTGAGATGGTAGACGTTGATGGCTAAATATGGATAAAGATGTAAAACAGTAGATTATTAACATAAGATAGTCGTATATATAAAACAAAGTGATCCTTTTAAGTGTTTACTTTGAGAAAAAAAAGTGGAGTTTCGTTCTTACCTCAAACACATTCTCTAAGCCAGGCATATTTACGTCGATTTCATTAAAAATCATCGCTCGCAATAACAACGCTAAAAATTCTACTAAATGAAGCGACTTATCTTGTTATCATTGGCCAATAAATGAAAATTTCATTAAAAGGAGATGATTTAGCATCGGTTTTAGTTGCTTGAATAAATAGTTGAAAGTGAAAATGTGAGTCAGCGAGGCTTCAAATATTGACAAACAAGCGAGCAGGTACCAGAATAAAAAATCACTTAAACTCATTGAGGCAGTAAACTAAAGTATTTCTTTCTTACAAATATATCGTCTTTTCACAAAACAATTATCTGTTCCCCATTTTTTACGATGTATCAACAAAGCACAGTTTACATTCCATCTTGGTTCATCGTCTTTCCAATCTTTGTACTTCATTGCGCTATCATCTACCCAAAAAAAATCTCCATCTCCTCCGTGATAATACGCTCCTGAGGAAAAAAAACGGGGGGTGTCGGGTCACTGCAATAAAATGGTTGTATTTTGTTCATTCTCACTCACCTAGCCAGTAATAATATAAATGTAAATCATTCTTTTGAAGATAACTACGTAGTTTATGTTCCTCTGTTTTGCTTTTTAATGTCAAAAGATCAGCTCCACCATCAAGACATATTTTTCTTCCATGAAACCACGACAAAGGTTCATTGTAAGCTTTGTAACAAGCTTTATCGTGTTGAAACCATCCTGATGGACACGTAGCTGAAACAAGAAGATCAATTCCACCTCTTACCTTTAACCATTTATAAATTACAACCTAACATGATGTGCACTTTGGAGATTCCATTTTTGATAATGAAATTGGACTAAAAACATTTTTAAATATTGAAACCAGCTTAAATACTTGGCAAAACATGCTGCTCATCTGTGCTAAGAGTAGATCAAGCAAAATCTCTCAATATTCAGATGATTTTAACCAATCATTGAGCAAAGAAATTTCTGAGGGAAAATTCATTCAGATGATTTTAACCAATCATTGAGCAAAGAAATTTCTGGGGGAAAATTCATTCAGATTATTGTAACCAATCATTGAGCAAAGAAATTTCTGGAGGATTTTTCATTCAGATGATTTTAACCAATCATTGAGCAAAGAAATTTCTGAGAGAGAATTCATTCCATTTTGCATCTGACTGTCATGTATTTTCTTTGCTATATAATCGTGATGGGAGATTACCAGTGACTTGTTTTATGTAATTTTATTTTATTTTCTCTATGTTCCTCAATAAAAACAGAAGTCCTCGCTGTTAAAATACTCACTACACTTTCGTCCATAACACGGCTGTTTACCAAGCGGTTTTGTGGAGTTTGAACAAAAACTTGAACTGACTTGTTTCATATCTGACTTTGCGCAAAAAATATCACGATGTTTAAAACCGGAGCCACAGTCTGTTGAGCACTTCGTCCACTTTTTTGTTCGCCACATGTAAGGAAAATCTATTGTCAACAAATGCAGAAAGAAAGGACTTTGTAAGGACTATAATTTTTATCCAAGTTACGTAACTTATTATTGTTATAGTCAATGTTATTACTATATACTAATATTTTGTTTCGCTGAGCACCAAAATGATTCGTTTTTCCATATGAGCTCTAACGACTCAAAATTGACTTTTCGAATAAATCTTCGGCAAATGGTTATTGGGTTAATACTTCTGTAAATGCTTATTGGTTTATATTTCTGCAAATGGTTATTGTTTAATACTTCTGTAAATGCTTATTGGTTAATACTTCTGTAAATGCTTATTGGTTAATACTTCTGTAAATGCTTATTGTTTAATACTTCTCCAAATGCTTACTGGTTAATTCAGCAAAAGACTATTGGTAAGTACTAAAGCATGGAAGTTTTTGTTCTTAGTGGTAAATACATCAGAGAATGCTGTTTTGATACTCGCGTCCATTAAAGAATATAAAGAGTTTTGAAACCTAACTACGAGCGAAAACAGCCTGTATAGAAGAGATATGACAACTAATTGTGAATATATAAACTTTGAACTATTTACTGTCCATATTTCTTCATTACCGGCACATCCATAAAGTATATTCACTTTAGCTGCGTCAGCTGCAGTCACATTTTCTCGTTGTCCCATTTTATCCACATAGTTTTTATCCAAAGCCTCGATTGTAGTTAAATATCCAGTGCGATTCTTCGTCAATTTTGCAAAGTAATCCTTCCCATAATGCATTATACTCATGTAGTCATATTTCACTGACGAAGTATTGGCCAAAAAATGTCGATACTTGCGAAATTGATCTTCTTTGCCTATAAGCAACAACAAATTTATCAATCGTATTGTGTTATAATCTCCACATTCACAAGGTCTGCTAACCAGGTAAAATATTTTTCCAAATGATCTTGACGTAATTATCACGATCCTCGCGCGACTGTTCATGCCAAAGACCCAACGCATGACCCCATTCATGAATTAAGCTACCAGGAGGGCATAAATCACCCACTCTGATTGGCTGATAACGACCGATTCGGCCAATCATTGATGCACATCTAAAAAATAGTTTAATTCATGAATGACCATCATTGACAAATGACCATCATTGAAAAATGACCATCATTGACAAATGACCATCATTGACAAATGACAATCATTGAAAAACGACCATCATTGGCAAATGACCATCATTGGCAAATGACCATCATTGACAAATGACCATCATTGACAAATGACCATCATTGACAAATGACCATCATTAATAAATGACCATCATTGACAAATGACCATCATTGACAAATGACCATCATTGAAAAATGACCATCATTGACAAATGACCATCATTGACAAATGACAATCATTGAAAAACGACCATCATTGGCAAATGACCATCATTGGCAAATGACAATCATTGACAAATGACCATCATTGACAAATGACCATCATTGACAAATGACCATCATTAATAAATGACCATCATTGACAAATGACCATCATTGACAAATGACCATCATTGAAAAATGACCATCATTGGCAAATGACCATCATTGACAAATGACCATCATTGAAAAATGACCATCATTGAAAAATGACCATAATTGACAAATGACCATCATTGAAAAATGACCATCATTGAAAAATGACCATCATTGACAAATGACCATCATTGAAAAATGACCATCATTGGCAAATGGCCATCATTGACAAATGACCATCATTGAAAAATGACCATCATTGGCAAATGACCATCATTGACAAATGACCATCATTGAAAAATGACTATCATTGGCAAATGACCATCATTGACAAATGACCATCATTGAAAAATGACCATCATTGAAAAATGACCATCATTGGCAAATGACCATCATTGACAAATGACCATCATTGAAAAATGACCATCATTGACAAATGACCATCATTGACAAATGACCATCATTGACAAATGACCATCATTGAAAAATGACCATCATTGACATTGTTAATCTTACCGTCGACTTTGAGGGTTACGTTCTCTGAACAATTGTACCCAGTCTCTGTGATTTCTCCGCTGAACAAATTTGACGCAAGTTTTCTCTTGCCACTGGCGCATGCCCGCCAGGAAACGTTTTGCAACCTTCGTATGAGCTAAAGATGATAAATAATAAAGTTTGATTACGGCCATTAAATCTGGTGTAAAGCAACTTTGAAAAGTAACTATCAAAATGAAAGAGTAGGAGTCTGGTACCTACCAGAAAGAAAGGGAAAGAGTCTGGTGCCTACCAGGAAGGAAGAGTGAGAGTCTGGTGCTTACCAGGAAGGAAGAGTGAGAGTCTGTTGCTTACCAGGAGGGAAGAGTGAGAGTCAGGTGCTTACCTGGAGGAAAGAGTGAGAGTCTGGTGCTTACCAGGAGGGAAGAGTGAGAGTCTGGTGCTTACCTGGAGGAAAGAGTGAGAGTCTGGTGCTTACCAGGAGGGAAGAGTGAGAGTCAGGTGCTTACCTGGAGGAAAGAGTGAGAGTCTGGTGCTTACCAGGAGGGAAGAGTGAGAGTCAGGTGCTTACCTGGAGGAAAGAGTGAGAGTCTGGTGCTTACCAGGAGGGAAGAGTGAGAGTCTGGTGCTTACCAGGAGGGAAGAGTGAGAGTCTGGTGCTTACCAGGAGGGAAGAGTGAGAGTCAGGTGCTTACCAGGAGGGAAGAGTGAGAGTTTGGTGCTTATCTGGAGGGAAGAGTGAAAGTCTGGTGCTTACCAGGAAAGAAGAGTGAGAGTCTGGTGCTAACATGGAAGGATAAGAATAAGTCTGATGGCTATCAAAACTTAAAAGTGAGAGTTTGATGATTATCCGACGAGAGAAAAAAAAGATCAAAGAAAACATTATAATCGCCCATCCACAAAGAAAGTGAAGTGTTCGGTGCTCATGTAGAAAAGAAGAATTTTCTCTGTCCATGAAAGAAAAGGAAGATCTACAACAACTTCCATTAAAATTAAACAAAAAAACAAAACTTTCTACTCACACAGACTAGGTGGAACATAATACGGTATGATATTATTTGGCCATATCACCATAGCAACTGAGATTGGCAAATTACGATTATCGTGATATAGAATACTGTGCGGGTTCACAATTAGAGCTTTCTGAGCTTTAGTTAGTATGATGTCATCTTCAAAATCCTCACTGTCAGTAAACGTCTCTCCTAAAGTAAGATGTCTTTTTCAAACTGGGATTATTAGGGGATGAAAGAGGTGAAACTGGGATAACTAGGGGATAAAAGAGGCAAATTTTGCTTAAAATGAAACTACCTGTCAAAGAGTAGACATTCATCGCACCAATAGCTCCTTCTCCATTAACGCATTTCTTTGACGGACGAAAGGTTTTATATAGAGGATATTTATGCTTTCTTGCAAGACATTCACCTTTGTTGATCAATGCAAATATTGAATAACCTTTGTTCATTGTCACCGCAGCACATTTTTTAATGGAGTCGAGCCTTGAATGAACACATGTAGAGAATTGAAACAACAAAGCGTGTTAAAACAACTAATCAAAGATCGCATGCAATTTTATACAATTCGCTATGAGTCTATGTCTTTCAAACATAGTAATGAGTCTATGTCTTTCACACATAGCTATGAGTCTATGTCTTTCAAACATAGCTATGAGTCTATGTCTTTCAAACATAGCTATGAGTCTATGTCTTTCACACGATATATAATTTGCTATGAGTCTATGGCGTGTATCAGTTTGGTCTTCAGACTCACATCTTAATCAAAGTCAGACTCTCATTTTAATCAAAGTCAGACTCTCATTTTAATCAAAGTCAAACTCTCATCTTAATCAAAGTCAGACTCTCATCTTAATCAAAGTAAGATTCTCGTCTTAATCAAAGTCAGACTCTCATCTTAATCAAAGTCAGACTCTCATCTTAATCAAAGTCAAACTCTCGTCTTAACCAACGTCAGACTCCAGTTGAAATAAATTTAAAACCTTTTCATAATTCATATTTAAACGTTACCTTTGCCAGTAGAGACCATCCAGTTCATCGTGGTAATTCTCCAAATCATCAAAATATTGCATTGGGTTTTCAACTTTCCAACAGCCAAGTGATATAAACTTATGATCAAAATCTAAATATCGATAAATGTAGAAAAAATAAAGTCAGAGAGAGATAGAGAAGAGACTACAAAAGCTCATTAATTTCTTAACAGTCTACGGAAAGAGGAAAGTATATTTGCGTGTTATAGAAATGGCAAGTTTTTATAGTTTGAAAATTTGAGATCCCTGCTTTGGATCCAGTAAAAAATTGTAAATCTTTTATTTACTTATCTTGTATCTTGACGAGAGGATCAAAACAACAAATTAAAGAAAAAGATAAGAAACAATAAGTACTCATAGGAGGAGAGGGCAAAACAAGTTAAATTTTAGGGGGAAAGGGATCATCATAAGTTGTGGAGTGCAACAAAAACAAAGATAATGAAGAGTGAGGAAAGACGAAAAGAAGAAACGCTTCAACGGTTTGAGCGTAAGATCATAACAGGTGTTAAATAATGAAAGTAAATATTTTCTATGTTCGAAACATTGAGAATATAAAAATTATACAAATATTCATCAATAAATTTAATATTTGTAATGAATTATGATTTTTAATCAATGTGTAATACATACCGATTTTTGAAAACAACGCTTTGGTCGCTTTCCATGTTGAGTGGCCAGCATAGACCTTATAAAAAAAGACTGCAAGAAAGAAAATTCTGGAGATAAGTTTAATACCATTGCACTGCATTATAAAACTGTGTGATCAAGTTGAAACTTTATGTACACTGCCTTGAATATGGAGTGTCGAAAGACTTCTGCATATTATTTAGATAAACTGATGTTGTGCGAGAAAAAATCTGGCGTCTATGATGTAATTATCCAGTTTAAGAAATGAAGAAGGAAATATGTATACATAATTAACCTTCCATCCCCCTCCCCAAAGACACCATTCAATATGTTTAATGTTAAAAGGATCATTGGAAACTATGTAAAACTTGCGATGATCTCCGAAGATGACTACCGCTAAGGTTGTCGAAACGTCAGTCAACAACAACAAAAACAGTCCTTCTCAGGACTATACCAACCTGGACGATCTACATTTACAAACATGTAACGATACTCCCGGGTTCAAACCATTTACTTTAACACATCTTGGCTTTAAAATGAATGGTAAAGTCACAAACAAGAGGAATGAAAAATATGTTTTGATATGTTTACTTTTAAAGCATTGAACAAAATGAGTTCAAAATAGCTCGTGCCGTTTATCTTCAAAAAACATTGCAAAAACTTTGCATTTTCTATTCTTCACTTACAAGTTTGATAAATAATCTGATCCCTGCAAGAACCAAATTGAATTATCGATACAATTTTCATGGTCATAAGAAGAACAAAGTGATTAAGTTATTAATAAAACAAACAAACAATGTTTATAATGTGGGTGTGATTAAAAACCCCAAATCACACAATAAGTTAAGGTATTATGAAAAGTGCATTACATACAATGACAAATGGACCGCATATCACAAAAAATCACTGCAAATAATGAGGAATGGACAGCATATAATGACAGATGGACTGCATATAACGAAAGTATCACTGCAAATAATGACGAATGGACAGCATATAATAATAAATTAACAAGACGTAACAAATGTCATGGCATAAGACAGCTCTGGCATTCCATATCGTGTGGATTACTGTAAAAATATGCAGGCATTTAAGGCAGTACTTAGCAGCATGTATCGATGTTGACTGGTGAAATGTTAAAGTATCAAATTACGTTAGTTAAAATGATATACCTATGTTCAAACGAAGATCAATTTATATCAAGACTAGCAGACTGACAAAACTGTTTTAAGTTTAAGTAAGTATACAGGCTACAAATAAACGGTGCCAGTCTTGTAAAGTATAATAAAGATGAGCTTTGCATATTTGTGCAAATACAGTATATACAATATAATACTGTCTTTAGTTATGTGAAGTAAAGTTTATATTTGCCGTCCCGTAATTCTTGAAATATATGAGTTCCACATTTTAAGTATTTGCTTAAGACCGTGTTAGAAAAGCCAGTGAGAATAAAATTAACTTCTTTTCGTCTTCGCTCGTCATGAAACACACACGAGTTTAAACGTCTCATATGATGCATTTTGCTTCCGAAATATTCTAATACGTCAGTAACACAGCTATACTAAAAATTGTAGGTAATAAATTCGACATTAAAATTGTTGTACGTAGTTTTATTTGAACCACCAAAACTATCAATTTGTGTAGTATCAACTTTGGAGAATTGTTAATCCAGTAACGTGTGTGAATCCAAGAAAACCAACATTTTGATTTCTATCCACGATAGAAAAGTGTTAGGAATCACAAGCTACATACAAAAAAGAGAAGATAGAAATATATATATACTGAGGTAATTATTCATAGAAAAATGGCTTCAGGAATTAATATTGAAGTGAGCAAAAATGATGTGGAAACTAAAGATAAAGAAGGAATTGATAATCCTGGCTTTAAAACAAGGTAATGATGATAGCTACGTCAGTCTCTCGTCATACAAAAACAATTTTAAATTCTTTCTTCTCAATAACGAAGAATTTCAAAACGACGTTTTCAGCCTGCATAAAAATACTTCAGCAGAAAATAATAATCTAGCGACTGCATGTGATTAACTCATATTAATGCATTGAAGAGAATATTGCAGTGGGAAAATCTGTAAACTGCACAAATTTCTAAGAAATTAATCAGCGGAAATTTTCGAGTCTTTGAAAAACACACGCCTGAATTGTTTTCCAAATGGCGCAGAAAATCATAAAATTATACCTGACACGGCAGGCCAAAGCCTGACTTATAAATTAATTTTTATATAGCACTAAATCAACTGATTATTAGGGTTTTATGAACATTAAGTTGGGACATGACGATTGAAATTTTCTTATTTTAGTTCATAGTATCAAATAATTACCAGAAATTTTATATATTTTCACATTATTTTCGCGTACGACTACAAATTAAATTATTTGTTTATTTATAAGTAATACGATCCCGTGTGAAAACATATTTGGAAAATATCAAAAAAATGCGCCAAAATCTAGCCAATCGTAATCACAAACATGATATAAAGCTTCGTCATTTGGTAAATCAATATTATTGTCGCATTGCTTCTTATTTCACATTATTTGTTGATAAATGGTACATTGCAAGTGTTATCCAACACACACAATCTTTGCAGAAAAATAAATACCATTATACAAAACATTTTATCCATTTAATCAGGTAAGGTAGTGAGCCATTCAGCTTCATCGTTGCATAACGCATTAATTTCACTGTTTGACTACATATTGTATATATCATGTGGAAAGAACCTTCCCGTATGTTTTGTATTCTAAAAATCTAAGATAGAATTTTCATTTCTTTTCGCATTAGTTTATGATATTTAATTTTTTATTTAACAGAATGGCAAATAAAGATCGTAGTGGAGACACTTTATTACGGTTATCTTCAAATGCACCTAATTACTCAACTGCTGTTGAGGTTAGATTATTGAATTTTGCATATATTACATGAATTATTGCATTGAGACGTAAATATGCAATAGAAATACCCACACGTATAGAAATGCTGAGATTTTGGAATTATTTTGAGAAGGACTACCGCCTTAGTTTAATTAGGTTTTTATGACAGCTTTCTCACATTTCGCGGAATTAAAGTGTTTGTGCCAAAGAGAGATGATATCGCAATAAATATATCGAATGTCGATGAACCATATGGAAATCACATCATGGTTGTACATAGAAACATACAAACTTGAGAATGCAAGTCATTTGAAGTTATCATGTAAAAAGTCATGTGTTATAAATGTGATAAGACTCTTCGCATCACTTGCCTTCACTTACTTGTGCTTACTCGAGCGTACGCGTAAATTGTGCTCAATCATTCAACACAAAGCTTTATGACTTTATCTTCATTTACAAATTGTATTTCGTAAAACAAAAAATGCAAGTTATTTCTTGGTGTAAATTTATAAACTCACGCACTTTATGGTACGTAATTTGTTGAAATTAATTTATTAATTAAAATCACCATCTCCTGTAGTTAAGTATGTCAATATTCCTTCTTTAAATATTGTGTTATTAACAAGGCGATTATGAGTGAAACATCCACCTTCTTTTATATTACACTAAATGTAATAATGTGAGAAAAATCATAAATATCATCAATTGTTGTTTTAAGAACAAGTGAGCAAGCTATGATTATTGAATATTTTGCATAATATGAGCAAATATGCAGGCTGGCTTTGCTACTGTCCACAAGACAATACTATAGCTATAAATTTTTATTGATAACTTTGATTATAATTTCTGGGAATGTTTCTCTTATCTTTAGAGTTTAGATCAATAAAATCTTTGTAATCATTTTGTTAGATTGAGTTAGATGACTCAGCAAACCAATCGACCAATGAGAAAACACCTCAACAGCACATGACATATGAAGATGAAAAGAAGAAACCATTACGTAAAGTTTTGGGTCAAGTTTGGCGAAGGCATTGGATAACCATTGTTGTGGCAGCTCTTGATTTTATTGTAATTATTTATAGCATTTTTGGAATTATGAAAGTTGGTTTTACTGATGCTGCTGGTTTGTTTGGTATTGGTGTATTTGTCTGGTTTTGTTTGACATGGATGGTTTTTTATGAATACTATGGTGCGGAGATTCAAGACAGAATTATTACACCATTCATGCAGAAAATTGATGAACATTGGACGTACTTAAAATGGTAATTAATTAGAAGTACAGATTAGTGATTCCGAAGGTTCTTTGATTAAAAAAAGAAGTACCTAAAGTATATGAAAGATCCCTAGAGTAGAACCAAAGATTCTTAGAATACACCAAAGTACCTAGAATACATAAAACGTCCCTACCAAAGTACCAAGAATATACTGAAAATATTTTAGAGTGCCAAAAAGATCTTTAAGAATGTTCATTGTACTCTCTAGAGTGAACCAAATGCCTAAAGTATACAAAAAACTCTCTGTGTGCACAATCTAAACTTTGCTGTTTTTAGGTTAATTTATGGTGTATTGTCGATGGGCATCATAGTGTTTTTGGCAGTAGATACAAGAAAGAAACCAATTCGATTCTTGTCATTGTTTGGTCTTGCAGTATATGTCTTCATTGCATATATTTTCTCAAAACATAGATCAAAGGTTTGTGAGAATAAGATATGGATTTACTGGGGAGGGGAGGGAGGGATTTCCCCATAAAATAAGCACAAGAAATTATGATGTACTTTTCAGACATTCAAAATATCTCCTAATAAATCATACGAAATATTGCATGACCGTCTGATGCAAGTCTGGTATGGCATGGTTACACAGACAAAAAGTAGCCACCGAAATCTAATCCAAACTACAGCATGCACCCCACATACATGTCCATACATGCAAATATTTTTTTACTAGATTTGGTCTGATAAGCTTAGACTTTCCCTCCCTGCTTTATATAGTTGTAAAGTTGAGAACAGGAGGGGGTGTTTAAGCTCATCTGATCAAATCAATCCAAATGAAAAAATTTCATTTATGATCGCACTACCTCATCTAAAAAATCATCCTGAAGTCATCCTCAATTAAAATATCAGTTTTAATTTCGTAGTTTTATTTTTACTCATTCTAATTTTTTTAAAGATTATTTGGCGTCCAGTATTATGGGGTTTTGCATTACAATTTATCTTTGGTTTACTCATCCTTCGTACAACGGCTGGAAGGAAGAGTTTTAAATTTGTTGGAGATCAGATTAGTATTTTCTTGGATTATACAGACTATGGCGCAGTCTTTGTCTTTGGTAGTAACTTTAAGGAACACTTTTTTGTATTCAAAGTACGTTAAGTGAAAAAAAATTCACAGTTTCTTAACAGGGTACGATTAAAAAAACTGAACAGATTTTTTCGTGTTTTATTTAGGTGCTACCAGTTATCATATTCTTCAGTTCGGTTATTTCAGTTTTGTATTATTTACGCATTATGCCAATGGTTATAAAGAAAATTGCTTGGCTTATGCATGTCACAATGAAAACGTCCGGCAGTGAATCGCTAAATGCTGCAGGAAATATCTTTATTGGACAGGTACGTAAATCTTCATACGCATATTAAGATCTGCGCTGTGCAATTTACATAGATCTTCGCTAGGTTATTGTTTCAGATGAAAGTGAGTGGTGAGCAAAAGAATGTCATTAAAAACCATTATATGAATTTTTTAAGACTGAAGCTCCACTAATGGTACGGCCATTTCTAGAGAGTATGACAATGTCCGAACTACACGCTGTAATGACGGGTGGTTTTGCTACGATAGCTGGCGGTGTTCTCGCAGCATATATATCATTTGGCGTAAGTCCATCACATCTTCTGTCTGCATCCGTCATGTCTGCTCCAGCAGCGTTGGCCATTTCTAAAGTTATGTATCCAGAAACTGAAGAATCGGAGACGAAAACCTCAGACGACATTGATGTTCCTAAAATGTGAGTTCTCTGAAGTTACGGTGTAAAAGATAAATACCTTTTCATATTTTTGTACTGTCTAATGCATATTGTCCCTATTTTATACAAGTATTTTTTGTTCATCGCCCAGGAAAGAAGTTAACGTTATCGAAGCTGCTGCATCAGGAGCATCAAACGCCATTCCATTGGTAGCAAATATTGCTGCAAATCTTATAGCATTTCTCGCCTTTCTTGCCTTCATTGATGCAGTTTTGTCATATGTTGGATCTGTAGTAGATTATCCTGATCTAAGTTTTAAGGTAAGTGGTATTTAGAGTTGTCTCTCGAGACTTTCTGCTCTGAAACCAGGTGCTAAGACAACGTTTCCATTCAGCATCACTAGGCTCAAAGACAACGTTTCCATTCAGCATAACTAGGCTCAAAGACAACGTTTCCATTCAGCATCACTAGGCTCAAAGACAACGTTTCCATTCAGCATAACTAGGCTCAAAGACAACGTTTCCATTCAGCATCACTAGGCTCAAAGACAACGTTTCCATTCAGTATCACTAGGCTCAAAGACAACGTTTCCATTCAGCATAACTAAGCTCAAAGACAACGTTTCCATTCATCATCACTAGGCTCAAAGACAACGTTTCCATTCAGCATCACTAGGCTCAAAGACAACGTTTCCATTCAGCATCACTAGGCTCAAAGACAACGTTTCCATTCAGCATCACTAAGATCAAAGACAACGTTTGCATTCAGCATCACTAAGCTCAAAGACCACATTTTTTGTTTTTATTTCAGTTCATATGTTCCTGGATACTTCGACCTTTTGCGTTCATCATGGGAGTAGATTGGGATGATTGTGGTATTGTTGGAGAACTCTTGGGAACTAAGACATTTGCAAATGAATTTATTGCTTACTTAGATCTTAGCCATTACATCGAAAATGCAAAGGAAAATAATGGTGGTAGAACAATCACTGTAAGTCTTACTGAAGAAATAATTTGCTTTTCCCGGACCCCTGAAAATTGCAGAAAGTCTTACGTCACGCCTATGTAGGATCGTCGAGAAGGGGGGCGTGAGAAAAGATTTGCGGGTTTTCTGTTCCTCAGAGAGCAACAAATAATACTTCTTGAGAAATTCCTTCACCAATGCCTCTCTCTTTTTTTTTACATCAGGAGCGTTCTCAAATTATAGCAACATACGCACTTTGTGGTTTCTCTAATTTTTCCTCCATTGGTATTCAAATTGGAGGAATGGGTCCTCTCGCCCCCAGTCGACGTAGTGATCTCGCAGTGTTAGCTCTGAGAGCGCTATTGGCGGGAACATTGGCTTGCTTTATGACAGCTTGTATTGCAGGTTAAGAAAACTTTGTGTTATATTATTTTGATCGTATTGACCTAAGCTTGCTACGTATAACTTTTTAATTGTAGTCTACAATCTTTTACCATGTTTATAAATGTAGATCGTCCAGGTTGGCATAGTCCTGAGAAGGACTGTTTTTGTTGTTGTTGACTGACGTTTCGACAACCTTAGCGGTAGTCATCTTCAGAGTCAAATGGCAGTCATCTTCAGAGTCATCTTGACTCTAAATATGACTACCGCTAAGGTTGTCGAAACGTCAGTCAACAACAACAAAAACAGTCCTTCTCAAGACTTACAACTGATAACGATACTCCCGGGTTCAAACCATTTACTTTAATCTTTTACCAATTGATAATTTTAAAAAATATTTATAAAAGAAACTCCGAAAACAGAATCGTCTTGTACAACTCGAGTCTTGACTTTTCAAGATGATTCTGTTTTCGTTTCTTATAAATATCAATAAATAAATAAAAATAAACTGTGGTGTACATAGTCAATGTTCAGGTTTAGTCATACAGAGAGTAAACACCAATATATTTATGACACATGAACAATCCCGCGGGCTGATGACGTCACTGTTGTCAAAAGACAGAAATTCAAAGCAATATATCGCATTATTTCAGCTTCACTAAGCTCGAATCATAAACAATAAAGCTTCAAATTTTGATTTGTTTTATTTTACTAGATGATAAAATTTCCTAAATGATACTTTTGACTATTTACTATAAACGATATTTTTATCCTAAGGATAATGTTCAAAGTATGTTTAAATTTTTTATTGTCATCTACGCCTTATTTAAAAAGAGTTTTTCTTCTTTCATAGGAATCCTTCTGTAAAAGCTGCACTGCGTACTGTGGAATTTAACTTACAAACTTTCTAAAGTAATCTATCAAAATTTGTAATCGCTTGATTCAACTCGTGTTAAAGTATAAAAATTTGTAATTATTTAATGGTATTTTAAATACAATCGATGTTTGTTGTCCAAGTCCTTGTCTATTTTTTGTCATTCACAACTTTTGTACACATAGTTATACGTAAGCTTCATTGTTTTTTTATTATTTATTTTTTCTGGAGGGGGGAGAAGTTAACTTGCCTGAATTTCTAACATGTCCAAGTGCCATTGTAGTAATTTATAATCATTTGCAAGCTTTCTGTTTTATATGAACTTCTTGAGTAAACTGTAAAGGCTTTTACTACAGAGTGAAAACGCCATCCAAACGCGATGTTAAATCTCTGTCATCTGACCTGCACAAGATCCATGAATCTCACAAGTATACCTGTATGATCCATGAATCTCACAAGTATACCTGGATGATCCATGAATCTCACAAGTATACCTGGATGATCCATGAATTACACAAGTATACCTGAATGATCCATGAATCTCACAAGTATACCTGCATGATCCATGAATTACACAAGTATACCTGAATGATCCATGAATCTCACAAGTATACCTTGGATAATGATCTAGGGATGTTAAAAATGTACCTGGATGATCCCTCTGTACAAAGATAATACTGAGCACCATGTACTTCCGTTCAATGCTCACTCCTTTCAGAAGCACTTTCCCAATATTGCCTCGTTTGCATTTCACAAAGTCTTGAAATAGTTCTTTCAAAAGCAAACAGTTCTTCTTCAGCGGTAAACAAACTTAAACTTGAGCTCTCAACCTAAAATAGTAACTTCACCTCAGTATAACAATTACGTTCAATATTTGTGACATTTCCATCGAGAATTAAGAAATGATCGTTGATGTAGACAGTAAACCTTTATCTACCTCATTGATCCCTAAATCATCCATTAATGCTCGTCGGTTATCATCGTGATCCCTTGATAATGGTGATGTTTGAAATAAATTCTCCGGTGAAGCTTCGGCGGAACAGATGATTCTGACTTCGTTGTCGTAAAAATTGTCGATCATGGTGATGAACCGTCTCGCCTCAGTCCTTCTTAGTAAATTCATCACGGGTATGTGACGTATAATGATGACGTCAAACTCTTTAGATAACGTGATGTAATCGCTGGCAGCTAGAGGCTGGAGATACGAGACATTTATGTATTAATGATCAAGTATCCGCTAAACGTAATACTTCATATTATCAAAGTTGTACCTGCTCACAAAGTTGGTTGAAAGTAAAATCTGCCAGTCTCCCGCATGAGGCAGGCACGTGCAAAACACGGCCAAAAACATGAAGATCACGTGGTTCTTTCTCGTATCCATCGTGTTGTTGCTGAGCTATTCTGTTGAATATCTCATCTAAAGTATCATCACTTTTTGAATCCAGGGAACTGAAAGAAATATATTTAATATTTAGCTTTTAACGTTTATAGGGGTGGTTACAAGGTTTAACATACGATGTAGGGGTGGTTACATGGTTAAAATACCCCTACAAGCAAGGTATGATGTCTAACGTATCTGTGGAAAATTTTTCAAATTCGCAAATTGTGTTCTTTTTATGGTGGTTTAAGTTGCTTTTTTATGGACCTCGTCCGTCGTGGTATGAAGCCTGGGTCGAGCCAAATTCTGACATCATCCAAGGTAGTTGGTATATATATACTGTATTGATGAATCCCTTGCATGACGTCCACAGTATGTCATTTGTGACTTTTCTATCAACAGACAAGGTCCATCAAAAGATATTTTTGACCACTTTAAATAATCGGAAAAATGGAAAAATCTCAGCAAATTAAAAGCTTTCCATTTTTACATTGCATTTAAGATCATCTTTAGAATTGGTGTTGTATAAGGTCATGATTAAATGATAAGACAACAGTAATCAGTTGTATTTAAGATCATCTTTAGGATTGGGATATACAAACTAAGGCAACTTAACTCACCTAAAGTAAACATTTTCCTCAAATTTAATATCTGAAACAAACATAGAAAGACTTGTGAAAAATATAAATTACAGTTTCACATTGGTAAATGTATCTAACCTAGTCGACGATAATCCACATCGGAGTCAAGACAAATCACTTCACATTTGCTCTATAATCATGAATAAACAATGAAATACAAAATTTTTGAAAACCATCAGATGAAATCTTTAAAAGTAGGTACCTTCAATATTGGTATGAATGGAACAAAATTACTTCTTTGTAATCCATTTTTGTATAAATCTAGACATTGAAATAAGCCATGGAATTTTTGTTTCTTTTTTTACATCAACACATCCTTGGATCTTACCATCAGGTGATCTGTTTGATGTTGCTATGACAACAACACCATATTCAAATAGAGAAGTAAATAGCCGGCGAAGAATCATCGCATCAGCTATATCAGTCACCTATCGCAACAAACATACACTCTTTAACAGCCATCAGAGTGCTTTAGTTCAGTGATCAGTTCTTACCTGAAACTCATCAAAACATAGCAACAATGACTCCTCACTGATCTCTTTAGCTAAAGGTGGAATAGGATCGGCAGATGTTTTAGATTTACTTCTCGATGGTAACTTGCTCTTGAAATGATGAATACCTAAAATATAACAATTTCATTAACATTAACACTATAAATGTAATATTTATAAAAAAATTCACAAACACATAAACATCCAAACTCCACATAATTACAGATGAACTGTAATAATTGGATTCAACAAACTTACGGCTGTGTACATCCATCATGAAAGCATTAAAGTGGATTCTTTGCTTATTCTTTATATCAACATTCTCGTAAAACATATCCATCAACATTGTCTTACCACAGCCTGAAAAATACCAAATCTACAATATTAACAATTTAAAATGAATGGTTGAAGCTCTGGAGCATCAATAAATGTTTGAAGATGTTGATTTAGGCAGTTAATGCAGTCATCAAAAGGCTGCTGGTGTTGACAGTATATATACATAAGTAACCTACCAACCTACGCTACCATATAAATAAACTCCTTTCGGGGTCTTAAGTCCATTGTTCAAACTCCCCATTAACTGTAATCAAAATAAGAAATGAAATTAAAACATTTACAGTATGAGATACAGATTGTAGAACTGTAATTTATCACCTTTCCAAATAATCCAAGTTTTGTTGGTTTATACTTGACAATGTCTTCATTTAGTTTCTGAAGTCTTTTAACGACATTCAGTTGATGTTTATCTTCGTGTAAAACCGCTTTCTCGACCAACTCATTGTAAATACTGATAATATCTGGAAATAGTTCGTTAATTATAAAAATTGTTAAACACGAAATTCAACCATAAAAGAAAATGACGACATTAAAATTATTAAAATAGTCAGCTGATCTTTCATCTTCTGTTTAACTCCTGATGTAGTGTGTTTATTCTAGTTTCACTTAAGATTTCAAATCTTTTAATTCACAAACAATTAAACTTACTAGAAAATTTAAAATTCGACAAATAAAACGATCTTCTGAAATGTAGATTTCGACCAAAGTCATTCAAAACAAAATATCGTTTGTGTCTCCCTATGTTTGCCCAGCAAACACTAACCATATTCTCTTTGATATAAAACTTAGCTTACGGTAAACATTAGTTAAAAAACAGTAAAACACAACTCAAATAAATGCGATAAAATACAAATTTTAATCAAAATTTCTCAAAACATCGTCTGACGCGGGAAATACAAAAAAAAATTATCTGCACGGATAAGGCTGCACGGATGACGCAATCTAATAGCAAAAATTGAAGCCGGAAGTAAATCTGCCCGAGTCGAAGTTGAGGACCCACTTTTCTATAGATTTGTATTACAGAATCACAGCTTTTGCAATATTTTGCCTTTTACGCGTTTCTAATCGGGGCAGTTTTTTTATCACAACTATAGAAAGATAAAAAGAATATTTTGGAAGAAAATTTAAAGGTTATTTCGACTTCACAACGCTGTGACACTTGATTCGCAAATTTGAAAGAATGAACAACTTCGATATTATACAAGCTTTTTCTGAATAAGGCGTATGATTCTTCACTGAAAATCGATTCGAAATACAGATTTTAAGATCCTAGACTAAAGCCGTGTAGATATTATGTTTTTCAACCATCTACATTCTTATCAGAAGCGAAAACTGTAAGCGAATATATTTGGACTTGGTTTTCTGGTCACTCTGGTGTGGAGAAATATACATGAACCATAAAAGTTTATGGATTCTTTTCAAATCCTGCAAGACCAAGCAGCCAAATTGATACCTGACCTGGTTGTACTTTCTCTGAGTTAGTGTTATAGGATCTACACTAGAAAAATTTGTTACTTATTTCAAGACCAAAATACTTTAATGATTATAATACTTGTGTGACTAGATGTAAAAATTTAATAAATAATCTTAAATCAAATTTAAAAAAGGGACTACAGAAATCTTTCAATAGCTATATCGGAGACTGGAATATTCTTCCTGATAAATGAAGACTTTACCAAGAAGAAAGTATTTTTAATGAACAATAGCAATTCGCAATTTTTACTATGTATAGATTTGATTATTGCTGAAAAGCATCATTCGATGATCTTGGACATTTGTAAAAAGATTTTAAATTAAACTAGATTAAATCAAAAGTTAAGCTTTCAATTGGGCATGTTTTTAAAACTACATGATTTATTAGACTTGGTCAGTTACTCCACAAATGCAAAATAATTTAGCAGTGTAGGAGTTGTTTTTCTTGCCAAATTTACTTATTAGTAAACCAGTGCTCAAAGGCCATACTCAAAACATCCCAGTATGTTTTTCTGTGTAAATAGTTTTTTTGGCTCAGTTGGTTGAAAAGAACAAGTTTTCCCAAATCATGTGGCCATTACTTGTTTGAAACATTGTTCATATCCTTCGCAAATGTCAGTTAAACTTTGATCAAGATCACAAAAACTCGTTCTTTTAAACAACAAATGACTTACTAACATATGGGACCCACAAACAGACCAAGTAGTCTTATACAAGTTTATATATCATATGGTTTTAAAGACTTACCAAATTAAAGGTCGTCATTTTCGCTTCTGATAAGAATACAAATGGTTGACTGAACCTAGCTTTTACCCTAAATTCGTCCACCATCATAAATTCTACATTTCAAATAGATTTTGAATCCTTCGTCTTATTTCGAACAAGTTTGTGTATCGTAGGGTTTCTCACTCCTTCTAATTTGCGAATCAAGTTTCACAGCGTTGTGAAGCAAAATAACCTTAAATTTTCTTCGAAAATATTCTTTTTATCTTTCTATAGTTGTGATAAAAAACTGCCCCGATCAGAAACGCTTAAAAGGCAAAACATTGCAAAAACTGTGATTCTGTAATACAAATCTATAGAAAAGTGGGTCCCCCAACTTAGATTCGGGCAGATTTACTTCCGCCTTTTTTGCAAGAACTTTGTATTAGTTGCGTTATCCAGTCTATTTCAGATCAGTGCACGGAGCGCACGAAATGTGCCGTTGCTTTCCGATGTGAAACCGAGGACAAATCATGAGCAACACAAGGAATTCATCAATAAACATCAATATGCTTTATATGCTTGTAGTAAAAAACACACTGCCTTCATCAGGAAATCATCTTCCTCCATCAAGTTCTGGAGGCAGTTGATGTAAATGAGTCTGAAACGGTACACAAGTCCCTAGGCCGTGGGCAAATTTTCTGGCTAAATGGTTTGACCAATGAAACAGGGAATAGGATGTAGAGAATAGAATTGAAATCATGTATGTATAAAGAAATTGCAGACATGAAAAACAGATTTAGAAATTCCCTATGCAAGGATGGCGTCAATTTTGGTTATCAGTAAATCACTTCAGAAATCATAATTCCCCAAAAAGCCACTCATTTCAAAATTGGACATTTTTATATTGAAACAACTGTCAGTTTGGCAAGGACTCGATCCTGGACTCCACACTGCTGTACAACTATGGAAAGTCCTGTGGCAAGCAATATGAACATCAGTGATGATTCGATAGACTAAAGTACCAAAACAATTCCAAACAATCTTTAATTCAACAATACAAATTTTACAGCAAAATTATTTACAAAATTAATTTGGTTTGATTATTAAAATTAATATCAGACTAACCTATTTTTCACAAATTGTCAAGTCCGTGATATATATTTTTATATACATTATAAGACTTGACATTTGTTTGTCCCACCAAAAGAATGTAGAGCCAGTTAGTATTTCCTTCAAAAGGATCTTATGATACATCTTAAAGTGAAAACAAATAAGATAAACCAGAAGATAATTCATTAAAACAATACCAACTGTTTTCATGTTTTCTAAAATGAAGACATAACATCATATTACTTACAACTTAAAGGAGCTTCGCCCATTCGTCTTTGAACTTGATCATAGTTAAACTTTACAAAGGCATCATATTGCTCTAACAACACAAATATAACTCAAAGGCCAGGGCATTATATTGATAAAAAAATGTATTTTATGAACAATTACCTGATAATTTCTGGTTTAAAACCTTATCATACTCTTCTCTTAAAGTTTCCTCTCTTTCCTTAAGCATTCTTTCACAAATTATCTGTACTTGTTTCAATGTAAAAATAGGTTTGCTATCACTTGAAGATGCAGTGATGGTCGAAGCTGGTTGTGTTACAACTGAAGGTAGTGAATGCTGCACGTCTGTACTCGATGATGGTGAAAGAACGGCCAATCGTTTCCTTTTCTGATACCTCCTCCATTCCTGCTCAACATTTTGAGCAATTTCTTCTATAAACAAGACACAGAATCCTTATTTTGAAACATCTTTACTCGTTATTCCGCTATCAACAAAATTGACTTTAACAAGCTCATGGGCATGACTTTCTTTCTTAAGAAATGGCCTATAAGTACGGATATTTTGGCTATTTAAATGGATAATTCATACGTGAAATGATAAGTAGGGTGGGGATTTCATGCCAGCGAAAAACGACTCAACAGCGCATATATATAATACATAAGTTTTGTCTGACCTGATGTTAAATTAGGTGTTGCTTCAAAGAACTTTGATTTATCCTTGACAGATGAGGTTGGGTTAGATTTGACTGTCATGTACCTCCTTCTCTTTTGACATGGTTGTTGTTGTGGACTGAGAACTGGATCAAATTCATAAGATCGCTTTAAAGTGGCACACGCCATCTTTGTTTTGTTGAGTCCGTTTCGTCGTTCAATTCAAAGCCTGTCTAGCAAGAGATGATACGTCCAAAAAACTTAAAAATAGCAATTCCTTAATGAAGAAACGTTCTACTGCACGTTCGTCTCCCCTCTTTATTCATAAACTGTACGATTGCTTTATAATATTAGGGATTGTAATACCTAACACATGAAATCTTTAGGCACCCTTCTTCCAAATTCTGCACTTTCCTATGATTGTTTGTTATTGTCTTGCTGCGCATCAGCCAATCACGAGCTTGGGTTATTGTGACGTTTAATCAACTCACTTCCTGTCGGTCATGGTCTTTAAATCACTTCGTCACATTTTGACATATCTTTATCTTAAATTTTGTATTCACCAAAATCGATATTTCCTTGAATTAAATTTTAGTCTTGAGCTTAAATACCATAGACATCAGAAGTAAGTATAATGCCAAATCATCCTTTCGCTGAACAGCAAATCCTATCTGCTGTTTTGGTCAATTTCGGTACATGTGTACTAAAAATTAATTATTTATCAATTATTGGATTAACTTTGCTTTAATAGCAGTAAACTATAATATCAACAGTTCACTGCTTCGACCTCGATCTGAATAATTTTGTTATCACGCGTAGCCGAATTCAAAAATTGTTTTATTTAAATTGTCATGGGGAAAAATTTAAATACAGTTTCCCCACTCGTTCAAAACTTTTCTGACTGAAAACGTAATCCTTTTTGCGCCTTTATTCTAAATAAATTGAGCCGAATCAGCGAGCGAAGCACTTGCAAATCTCGAGCAAGATTTGGCCAGTGTACTTCTTTGTTTACAATTTTCTCATAAACAATTACGTCACCACATATAATATTCAATTGGCTCTTAGCCAATCACATTAGAGATTGTACAAACATTGGTACAATAATTATAATTAATAGATTGTAATGCCAAGAAAAGCGACAAAGAAAGAAGCAGAAGAGCGGCTGAAAGGAAGTTCATGGGAAGGAGCAAGAAAAGTGAAGGATCTTCCTGAAGTTAATGGTCATACAGGAATCTTTGCATACCATCACAATGATTGCATGTGTAGTATTGCTGGTTGGTATGTTACCGTGAAGGACGAATATGGAGCTGTTGTGGTAGTACTGATGTTAATTCTTTTTGCTTAAATAACAGCTCAAAACCCTCCTTAAAACCCTCCTCAAAATTCAGCACAACACCCTCCTCAAAACCCAGCTCAAAACGCACCACAACACCCTCCTCAAAACCCAGCTCAAGCAGCACCAACACCCTCCTCAAACCCAGCTCAAAACCACCACAACCCTCCTCAAACCCAGCTCAAACCCCACAACACCCTCCTCAAAACCCAGCTCAAAACCACACACCCTCCTCAAAGCCAGCTCAAAACCCACACCAACACCCTCCTCAAACCCAGCTCAAACCCACTACAACACCCTCCTCAAAACCCAGCTCAAACCCAGCTCAAAACCCAGCACAACACCCTCCTCAAAACCCAGCTAAAAACCCACACCAACACCCTCCTCAAAACCCAGCTCAAAACCCACTACAACACCCTCCTCAAAACCCACTACAACACCCTCCTCAAAACCCAGCACAACACCCTCCTCAAACCCAGCTCAAAGCGCACCACACCCTCCACAACACCCTCCTGAAACCCAGCACACCCTCCTCAAAGCCAGCTCAAAACGCACTACAACACCCTCCTCAAAACCCTCCACAAAACCCAGCACAACACCCTCCTCAAAACCCAGCTCAAAATGCACCACAACACCCTCCTCAACAAAACCCAGCACAACAGCCTCAACAAAACCCAGCACAGTATCTTCCTAAACCCAGCACAATACCTTCCTCTAAACCCAGCACGGTACCCTCCTCTAAACCCAGAACAGTACCCTCCTCTAAACCCAGCACGGTACCCTCCTCTAAACCCAGCTTAACACCTTCCTCAAAACCCAGTTTAAAAACCAGGTCAATACCCCAAGAAAAAACAGAATAGAACTTCATTTAAGTAATTTTAAGAATTTTTCAATAGAATTGGCAAGTCCTAGCATAGCAAAACATACTGTAATTTTTAAATGCACAAATTAGATAAAATATAAATGAATTATTATAAATTACATTGCAAGTTTTATTGCTTGTTCATCCATCGTAATCTTGTTATTCTTGAGAAGAGAGGAGTTAATTAATTGTTTTTCAGGCACTTCAAATTTTTGCTTATTATAACATTTGAAGAAATTCCCAAACCAACCACATACAACATAATATACCATCAACGTTTGGTGGTTATATTGTTTACCTCTGACTGACCATAACTTTCTTCAATTGTTTTTTGAAAGTCTCTTAATGTCATTCCATATTCCATATTTGTTTTTAACTTCTCTAGTTTAAACATAACAGGACAATCCAGTGATATACAGCTCAGTTGTTCATCTCTAGCTCCACAACACTGAAAACATATCTACAATATGAAAAAAAATTAAATGTCATGACAAAGCCAAATCATAATTGTTAGGTTGTTTATTATGCATACCTCTTTAAGATGACTGTATTTTCTTTCCCAGTTCCCCACTCTACTTGCCAGAATAAAGACAGACTTTTGAGGGTTGCTACGACAACTTTGACACAAACCGTGCTGTGTTAATTGTTCACATACAGGACAGTGTAGAGTTGTAAAAAACCGAGAAATCGAACGCTAAAATTTGTTCAAATAAATTAATTTAGCTTTTACATCAATTCATGAATGTACTGATGACAACTAACTTTTTGTTTCCTAGCAATAACACGATGTCGAGGGATATAGCGGGGTAGTTGTGTATACCATGAAAACACATCAACACCAATCAAGGAAAAAACTCGATCCAATGGAGGAAGTATTTGTTTTTGAACATAGTAGATGGTATTGAGGCGTAGATTTTTATCATTTAACACATCAATAGGACTGAAGAAAATTAAAACAAGAAGATTGTTCAATGAAGACAATCATATTTAGACTAAAGTATTTATTAATAACATTCCAACAGCTTTTGTCATGATACATAACGTAAAATAATGAAAGACAGCAACATTTAAACTTACTCTTTAACCAATTGAATCAATGGTAGTCCAGGACTGCCGTTAACAATGACGTAAGGTACACGTTCTCCCACGCGAGGTTCCGCGCGACGATCACGTGACAAATGACGTCTATACAAAAAGAGAAATAGTAAAATTGTAATCATGACGACAATATAAAGAAGATTTTTCATTTCAACAATAAAATGAACCTTGCAATTTCCAAAGCTGGAACACATGCTTTTGGTTTATATCTTTTCATACCACGATATTCCTTAGCAAAGATGAAATCCTGAATCGATACTCTATCTTTCATCATTTTAACGAACTGCCGCTGGACAAACTTCTTCACAAGACTCACGTCTCTTTCTTCAAATAAAATCCTTAAAGACTTCTCTAAAATCTGTTAGAAAAATAAACTCACAGACTACTTTGTACTCAAAATTACCCCCACCTGCAGAATCTTGGGTGATTGGATGACACAGTAAATATTGTGGATTGTTCCATACCTTAGCGACCGCTGGACATGTATCTCGCCGTACAGTCTCTATTCCTTTCGCATCAAACACTGGATCTTTCTGTTCTAATGTTTCGTACATATAACCAACGTAACGTTTCTTTGTTTGAAGAACACAAGGCATATATACCTAAAAATCATCCCTAGTTATACATAAATGTATCTTAAAGTCCAAATCTCTCAAATAGATACAATTTTACAGTAGATAAAAACCTTTTCAAACTTTAATTTCACAGGTTTAGGATTCTCTGCAGTAACAGCATCAACAATTTCTTTTCCAATCTTAAACGCTTCCTCTTTACTGGCACCTTTTACTAATACGAAAAGACTATCGGTGTCCCCATATACCACACGACCACCCCACTCATCCCTTGTGTTCACGAGATTGATAGCTCGTTCCAGGGTCTCGCGTGCTTTACGAACAATGGCGTCAGCAATCTGATGAAAAACAGAAAAGAATTTTGGGATGGCTTTATGAGTAAAATGAATCCAGTATGACAATAAGCACTTGATACATTTTCAACCTAAGAGAATGTGACTAAGTCCAGGCTAACGATAATCATAATAATCAACATGTATCTATATTGTATATACTATATATTTACCACTTATCTGTAGTAAATATATTATATATTTATTGTATCTAAAATATATATGTGTATTAGTAAATATATAATATATATAATATAGATACAATCAATTAATACAAAGTTTACGGCGCACGGTCTGTTTAGATGGAATGGGGAGAGCTATAATTTGTTTAAATTTCTATCATGACAAGATCAAAGTTACCTCAACACAAGGCATTCGTCCTGAGAAGTTTGCTGATGTGTAACCATAAGTGACATTTGCAATCAACTTTAAAGCAAGTTGTCGAGCATCAAGAAGTTGAAGAAGAGTCTAAAATGTGAATTATTTATGATATTGAATGATTAAAGAAAACAAACGAAGAGTGGAAAGGCATCTTTTTTGAACATGATGAAAACTCCATGACGTTTTAGCTACTGGATGTTATAAAAACATCAAAGATCGCTTCAAAAACAAAGGTTTAACAAAACCAACTTACTTTATCATCTTTACAATCTTTCAAAGCTTTCTTTACCATAATACGTGTGTATAATATCTCCTCTAACATTCTAAAATAAATCAAACTTATTGAACATATAATAGCCAAAGATATCAAGACTCATTTAGGACAGTTAAGACTTAAGAAGGAACGCTATGTACATTGCAAAATATACAACAAAATGCAAATGTTGTTTTTTCAACAATCTTTTGAATCAATAAAAATGTGACCTGTAACCAAATGAATGTGAAATATCCCACATTACCTGGGTAAAATTCCTCGTCTTATGTTAGATTTTACAAAAACAGAGCCGTTGGCGCTTACATGAATATCATCTTGCAGTTTCTGAAAGGAAATGTATTGTTTTAAATGTATTGCTTGTCGTGATGGTAATTTATTAAAAATTCTCACCTCCAGTAATGTTGGAGGAACATTTAACGATGTACAACCAAACTCAAAATGACCAATTCTATCAACAAAAACAATAAATATTAAAAAATTTAACTGAAAGAAAATACGTAGAAGGTTTGTATTCTAAAATCTTTCAACTCGGGAAATGAAGTTCTTCAACAACACATTAGCTAAAGCCTTAACTAGCGCAAAGTTTAATAGTGTTAGTCGAAAAACTCAGCCAAGACGAAAATGTAGCGTTCAAAGGTAATTTGAGGAAAATATTTTACAAAGGTTAACACTTACTTATTTAATCTGGCAAGCTTTCCAAGACAAGTGGAATAACAATAATTATAGGCTATGATCATAGAGGGATAAAGAGATTGAAAATCCAACACAATAACGGGATCAACATAGAAACGAGATTCGGGCTCCATGACCAAAGGGATACATTCTGGTGCATCCATTCTAAGGAAGTTTAAGATAAAATTTTCAATCAATCTATCTTTTTTAATGAATAAAATGAAAAGTAGGAGTGAACAAAATAACATCTTAGGAAAACAATATAGAATAGTTGCATATCGCTAAACGACAATGTTAGATTAGTTGCTTATTGTTGGGGGTAATATGAAACAGTTTTGTATAGCTGAGGGATAATGTGGAACAGTTGTGAATCGCTGAGGGATAATTTCTTACCTAGCTCTCTGCTGTATACTTGGTGAAACAGAAATATAATTCATTGGTTTTGTAAGACGAAACATCATCGACTCAACACGAAACTAAAATAAAATAAAAATAATTTCCTGCAAGACTAAACTAATTTAAAATAGTTATTTGGCTTTAAATCCATGAGTGAAATAAAGCGTTGATGATAGAAAGATTATAAATGAAGATAGCGCTCATCAAAGATGGAAAATTTAGTAGTAGTGACAGTTTAAATATGAAACTATTATTGAGTATACATAAAATAAAATTGCAAAATAAATGTGCATCATTAAGTAATTATAAGTCCATTGAAGATCAAATTATTCCTAAGCATTATTAATGAATAATTTTTACCTGTGAACCACGTGATATCACACTGTAAAAGAGTATCCCATAAAGCCTTGCGAACTCACTTGTCCTGTTAATGAAGTCGAGCTGATTCAAAATCCTGATGTTGCCTTGACAACGAATGACGTAGTGCTCCACAGTTCTCCAACGATCATGAGGTAGTTTCTTATCCCACCATTGTGTGAGCTGACGATAACTGTACAGCGGTACTCTTTCGTGCAGTACGTGGTATGATACATTCTCAAACGAGTAGACATTCAAAGTCACCTAAACGAAAAATCATCAAACTGCGATCTTTATTACTAACATTTTTACTATATCAATAATGTCAAAAATGTTAACAACTTTAACTTTAAATTGTCAGCAAAGTTTGTAAAAATGTTTTTGGTAAGAATAGAGAAAGATAAATGAATCATTTATCTTAATTAAAATACAGTCATCATAATGTACTCGTACTAACGGAATGGCACACAGAATTAGACTGCAGAGCGTCACAAAGCAGTTCTAATTAGTTGATAATATTTATAAAAGAAGCTAGTTTTACTTTTAGATCGATAAAAAAGATTGTTACAAAATGACCTAATCAACAATAATGAAAACAGACCTAATCAATGATGGTTCATACATGATGACGTAACCAATGATGGTGTATGCATGATGACGTAATCAATGACAATTTATACATGATGACCTAATCAATCACGGTTTATACATGATGACCTAATCAATGATGGTGTATGCATGATGACGTATCAGTAATGGTGTATAGATGATGACGCCATCAATGATTGTTATGCCAGATGACGTCATCAACGATGGTGAGTACATGTTTGTAAATGTAGATCGTCCAGGTTGGTATAGTCATGAGAAGGACTGTTTTTGTTGTTGTTGAAACAATTTAGTTGATAGTGAGTACATCATGACGTAATCAATAATGACATCACCAAATACCTCGTGTTTCATAAGTCGCCAAACATTTAAAATAATTCTTCCCGTAATTGTAATCTCTGACGTATGATTAGCTCCCCACTTGTCAATTTCCGCATCAAACCGCGCCGTACCGGAAGTATCCTGCACTCGAGATAATTGTGATGCTATATCAATCCCAAGAGTCGTAGCGCGCTGTATAAGATATCCCCAAGACAACATTTGAACTTCAAAGCCCAGCAAGATGTCAGGATCTTTTTCATGGACAATTTTAACCAAATGATTGATAACATCAGTTTCTTCTTCCACTGTTACAACCTCAAGATTGTTTGAATTACAAAAATGACGCTGTAAGGTTCCTTTTACATGGGATGTTTTTGTCGTGTCTGTCGCACTTGTAGACTTGAAAACAAAAACAAAAAGTGTTCAATGCACGTTCATTGTTTAATCATCTGAAATTGCCATCGTAAAATAACTCCCTTACGCAAAAATAACTCAAATTTAAGTTAACTAACAGACCATAACAACAACTGATTAATTGAAAATAGTGAACAGGGAAATATAGTTTTCCAAAACGTTTTCAAATTTAGCCCATGTATAATGATAAGAAGAATTTTTTACCACTCCTGAGAGATGAAATCCATAAAATGTCATTTACCTGACATACGTCATCATTAGTGTTTCTAATTTTCGTCATCTCTCGTAGAGTTACTATCACTCCAGTTTCATATTTCTTCCCATCTTTTGTCTCGTTTTCAATATGATAAAATATTGCACAAATTACGTCAAACTCTGGGTCTGGACGTAAACTTCTCCTTGTTCTTACATGAAGTTCTACACTCAGCAAAGTTAGAAATTGAACCTAAAAAATTGAAAAAAAACTGTGCCTTAAAATAAATAGCCTAAAACGTTCACAATACCTTCTCAAAAGTATCGCTATGGGTAGTTTAATCTTTAATCTTCAACTATTCTAATCTCACATTTAAAGTGCCTATATCATAACATCATCAATACAATTTTCATGGTTTTGAAGAGAGCTTTAAATGTTACTAAATAAGTTTCAAAACATTTTTTTATTTACTTGAATAGTTTTTGAAAAATTAAGCTTTGAATTGCGATTTCGGCTCGTTTTAATAAAATTTCCGTCATCTGGGGGGGACTGGGACTCAGGAACGTGTCCTTTGTAATTTACTATAAAATGAATTACAATTCCGGTGACCAGTTGGGAAAATCGTTCTTTAACTACTGCTTTAACTATTTTCTAAGTCTAGTTTGGTGCACATTTGACATTTTGATCACCAACCTGGCGAAGGGACTTGGCATCTTGAATATTTGGTTGAGAAATTTGAAATCCAAAACTATTTGTTGGTGTAGGTCCTTCAATATAAGATCCTTCACTGAGAGATGTTTGTTGGTGTGCGCCTGGTAATGGATAGTCCTTTTGGAAAGAGATAAGAATTAAATTGTACAATATATTTTAAGTGAAGACAATTGATTTTCTTTCTTCAGCAAGATTCAAACTGACAAAATATCATCCACAACAAGACAGTAGCTAAGTCAGCCGTTCCTACTCCTACATAAAATTGTATGAGTAAAAATTCGACAGGTTGTTGACTTTTTGTAAATACAAAAGAATCAAGTAACAATATGTAACAACTTTGTAACAATATGTAACAACTTTGTAACAATATGTAACAACTTTGTAACAATATGTAACAACTGTGTAACAATATGTAACAACTTTGTAACAATATGTAACAATTGTGTAATTATATGTAAAAACTTTGTAACAACAACATTGTAATATCAATTATGCCTTATAGAAAAATGCGTAAATACATACAATTACGTAGCAATGACGTAACCGTAAACCAAGAATAATAATATTAAGAGGAAAGAAAATTTCCTGTTTATAGCACAATTATCAAACTCAGAAAATAAAAATGTTTTACCTTTTCGTGATTCTTGAGTAAATTTCTCCTTAGGTTTTGTAGTTTTAAATCTTTTTCCTTGCGAGATTCTTCATTATTCTTATCTTTAACATGATCTATAGGAGTACAATGCCATACTTTATGACTTTTATTTTCACAATCAACTACAGGTGTACTGTGTTTTGGACCAATCACGTGACACGAAGGAATGTTCCCGGAATTTCCTTGACTTTCCTCATTATTTTCTTGTAAACTTTGACCGCCACTACTTTCAAGCAGTTTATGTTCTGTCACAAACGTCTCTCCATTAACAAAATTCGCAATTTTAGGAATTTCGCAATCCTCTGAAACAATATCTGAGGTATTCAAACGTTCACTTCCAGGCCTTTTTGTCAACATCCATTTCTCGACATCTTTCCTCGTTGGCGGTAGTTTAACTGGAGTGATTATCACGTCACGATCTCCCATTAAGACAATCTTTAGTTTTCCAGGTATATCCTTATATTGAGGAAAATTACTAATTTTACCCTCTGAAGCTAGACAGTCCATGAGTAAACCGTTGTCCATCTTGGATACACATTGGTCTTGGAGTTCCCTCAAAGTCCTGAAGTTCCCGCCAAGATTGAATTCAGGAAGCTCTTTTACCTGCGAAACAAAATAACACTCCAAAATTAAAGGATGGTTAACCAACAATCAAAGGAAACGATGGAACTATCATAACATTCCTGGATTAAAGGATAGTTAACCAGCTATGAAAAGAAAGGAGGGACATGATAAGATTAAGTCCCCAACTAGCATAGGAGAGAGGGGGATTATGATGCAAAGTTAGAAGATAAAGACGAAAAAATAACATTGCATTCAACGGAGAGGTTTTTGATTTTTAATCTCCAATTTTCATTGCTCATTATATAAGATAAAATTCCATGACAACAGTTCACTAAGTGTACACAACAAAAATAAAAGTAAGAATGGAGAGCTTACCGATAATGAAGACAAATGAAGACGCCGTCCACCGACGACCCTAAAACCATATCATATAAGAAACATTCAAGAACGAATCCAGCCCGTTTTTTATACCTACAATGCAAACAATTTTGTCAAAGTAGCTAGTTGCTAATTTTCAAAAGAAACAAAAAATTTTGCTGAAAAATTTGCATTGTATAGGCAAATGTCCGGGATGGTTTCGCCAGTGGAAACATTCAAAATTATTGAAGGCCCAAAGAGCACGCCATTTTAAAAAAAATACATTTCAAACATCTTTGCATTTAAACGAAAAGACAAAATAAACAAAAACAATGTCATTTTCAAACAAGAAACTAAATTCCTTACTTCGTTGTTAACGGTAAATCATTGGAATCTCTACAAAACGCTTTTTGATGACGAACATGAGGTAGATTGTAGATATGACGTGTTTCTTTAACATAATTTGGTGATGGAGGCATTATTGTTGGTCTCCAAATCTTCAATTCATAACTACCTTCTGCCTGGGATGTGTTGATGTTTTTGATTTTTGAATGGGATTCTTTTTGGTCTTTATATACTTGGTAAGAACTATCTTTATTAACATATAGTTGATTATAACCATCACTATCCTCAAATACTTGACGACAACCATCATACTCCACAGCTACCTGATTACAACCATCATTATCCGCATATACTTGATTATGAACATCATTATCCACATATACTTCATTACAACCATCATTATTCACAGACACCTGATCAAAACCATCTTTATCCACTGATACTTGGTCACAATCATTATTGTCCACAGACATTTCATAAAAAATATCATTACCCACAAAAGCGCCTTTAATATGTTCTTTATTGTGTAAATCACGCGATATTTCCATGTTTGAAACATCACAAACAACTTCTTCACCCTTTATTACATTATTCTTACTAAAACATTCCCCAGTCCTTTCTAAATTTAAGTCCCTGACCTCGGTAACAACAGGAACTGTACTACTATCAGGACTTCCGAGGTTATTACTCGTACCAGAGGACTGGTGACCGTCAAATGACTCATCAAGATTCCATTCAAAGCTTTCCTCATCTGGTGGAAGCCTTAACACCATAGAACTTCCACTAGAGCACCCATCACTATAATGACTGTACAAAGGATGTTTTTCATCGGTCAAACACAAAGATTCCGAAGGTGAATCAATCAGATTTTCACTTTTAGATTCACTACACACAGATCTGTGATCAACATGTTCCAAGTATTGATCAAAATTCTTTTCAGTTTGGTTTGGTGTTAAGGCAAACAAATCATCTTCAAAATCCAATTCAACATTCCTCGAGCAATCTTCCACAACAAAATCATTAAAACCATTATCGTTGTCAGTATTTAACGACTCCAATACTGAAGATATACTGTGAACACGGTGATCTTTAGTTGTTTTTGTTTCAAGAGAGTTGATAAAATCTTTATTTACGATATCACCGCACGATAAAAACACATTACTTTCGTCGATAAATGTGATTTGAAAATCCCTCAATTTCCCACAAGATTTGTCAACCTTATCATTCAGGGTGATATTATCCTCAATAAAGTCAGGTTCATCAAAGGACTTCTCAATCCTTTGAAGTTCATGCTTATCCACATCTATCATACATTCCTTACAAGATACGTTAATAGAGTCAGCAGACGCGTTTTGTAGAAAAGAAGAAAATGAAGGTGTGTTTCCATAACCAGAATGATTTTTCTCAACTAAAGTATTCTTCTCATAGCTTTGCAATGATGTAAATTTATCTTTCATATGTATAAAATCTTCCATATCTTTTAACTCTAAATCTTCGTCATTTTTGTTCTTTCCACAATTAACAACATCTTTAGGATGCTCCACAATTTTAGACGACGTTTTAAATTTTAAATCTTCAACAGAAATCTTCTCCAGCCGTACGCAAGCATCCATTAAAACTCTTGGAGAATTTCTTTTGTTTCGCATTTTATTGTTTCTTAAATCACAATCTCTGCGTTTTTTATTATCATTTACCTCACTCCGACAATCGATGACTTTAGCTTTCGTACATTTTTTCTTAGGACGTTCACGCTTCTTCTTTTCTTTAAAATCATCATTATAACCACTATGTTTCTTTGCAATGGCGTTATCCTCATTTCCTGTTTTTGTCACCTCCGTTTTCTCGCAGTACTGTGAGTTTTCATTGTACTTTTGGACAGCGTTATCCTTACATAAACTTATTTGATTCATCCCAGAACTTTTTACTAAATTCTTGCAAACATTTTCATTTTGAAAAGTTATCGAATCACCACGATATTTTCCGTCCATTTGTAAGACATCTTGAATTGGATTTTTCTCAACAATTGAAGACACTTCCACGTCACGTTTGACATCATTTCTATTCAAGTCAATCGATTTCTTGTTAAGAGAAACAGCATCATGACAAGATGAACTATCGTCTTTGGTCACCACTTTTTCAGTTTTATTTAAAGTAAACTGTAAACAGGGAGACTTTTCTGATTTTCTTGTTCCTTTCAAATTATTTGTAAAACTATTTCCATACAAACAAGATTCTTGTCCTAAAGTTGAAGTTGTGCTCGGGCCATGACTGTCAGGATCAAATAAGTCAGAGATATTTTTCTTACAAGACACAGAAGTAGTTTCCATACATTCATTTGAGCTAACATTTGATTTTTTCGACATAAGTTTGGTTCTCGTCTTCAAATTATTTTTCCCACATTCATTCGCCTCATTTGTGCCAAACGAGCCTTGAAATACTTTATTTTTATGAAAATTTTTGATGAAAGTTGCTTTAAAATCATCATCATCGTGATCATCACAGGAGCTTTCGCTTAACCAAAGTTCAAAATCTGACGTTTGAGATCCACTAGAATCGTTCTCTGTACAACGTAAAAGTTCTCTGCCATTTTTTGAAACGCCAAGATTACGGAATATTTCATTTCCCTTCTTTAATCCAGACATCTTCTTCTTTCCTTTTGATGTTTTTTTAAAATTATTAGAAACAGTTTCTTTATCCATCATCTTCACGTTTTTCATTGTATTTGTTTTAGAACCCGAAGAATTACTCTCCCCAGATCTCCCTCGTTTATTTGATGGATAAAATGAATGGAAATCAGGGAATTCTTCATTAACATTGTTCTTACTTCCTCGAAATGGACTTGTTGGGGTCATCGTTTCTCGACGTTTATTGTCATTCGTCATCATTTGCCGAGAAGAAATGTGTGTTGATGTATCAACGTCATTTTGAGTTTTATGACAGCCACCAAACACATTAAGTTGAGCAATTTTTCTTTTTCTTCCACCTTGTTTACATTTCTTTAAATTTTTACTTTTTGATTTTTCTTTACTTTGAAAATCATTGTCGTCGTCATACTCGATTTTCATTTTCCAATTTTTATCCTTAAAACCACGTGATACAGTTGTACACGTGCTACCATGTCCCCCAGAGTCCTCGGCATCACCAGGACCATCCACTTGAGGCATACGTGAAGGTGGTTTCCAGTCCATTTCCTCTCCATCCTCCGAACTACAAGTGAAGAAGATAGCCATTCAAAACTTTAGAGCAGATTGATTGTTTTTCATTTAAGATGTTTACAGAGTTTTCACAGGTTTATAAAAACCAAGGAGACCTATGGGAGAACTTGAGAGCTGATCAGTGCAGAGGCAAGTCAAAGGCTCAAAAGTTCTCTCTAACTTCTCCGATGTTTGCATAAGCCTGTATAAGCAATAAAAATGTCATTTAACTCTTTTATAAAACAACAGTAGTACAAAACAGACAACTTTAAAACGAAACAAGTGTTTTACAGCTATTTGCAATTAACGTTTGTTAATAGTTTCAAAATTTGACGTTACTAACGTCTAACTCATTGTTGCTAAGGCATACGTGTTAAGTTATGGAAAATGTTGTTTTTATCTAATAAACAACCGTAAAATGTTGAAATTATGTAAGTATGGAAAGACATTTCAAAACGTTAAGCTCTATCGTTAGATATAAAACTTTAAATTGGTATTGGTGAGACACAATTTGTCTTTGTCGTAGACTCGGAGAGCGACACTTTGTGATTAACCAATGCTATCTAAGGGTTACGCCTTAACAACAAACAGATAGCTGAATAGTAACGTTAAGTTTTGAAACTATAACAAACAATTAATTTATGCACGCCTCACGGTCAATTGCAAATGGCTGTAATTTTTTCTGTGGCATGTATTTATGATTCATTTGGAAATTCTCTTTCATTGATTTTAGTTCATTGAGCTCAGATATATTTACACAAGCTAATGTTAACTCAACTGTAGAAAAATCAACGCACACCTTTTTCTGTCTTTATTTTATAAAGAAAAATGGATACTTTTACCTTTGGAAATCATGTCCCTCTTCATCATCTTTCCAAAATGGCTGTGACATTAATATTGATTCTTTATCTTCATCAATATCTTCATCATGTTCATCATCACTACCTTCTCAATAAACAATAAAATAAAAAAGATTGATTGAAAAACTTCATATAAGACACATTTCACCAAAAAATGAAACTGTAGACAATCACCATTGATATCCATATTGAATTATGGTAGTTTTGATCTCAAAACAATATTCATATAATGGAGTGTTCATTCTTACTTTGTGAGCCCGCAATATGAGAGCATTCATGCAGCAGTGTTTCATTGTCATCCTTATCCAAACTCATTAAAATCTCCACCAATTCTTTATCCAACTCTCCAGCTAAATAAATGTCTCATATAAATAAAAATTTAAGCCCTTGAGAGAGAAAGAATTATTTTTGGTGAATAATACATGAATTGCTGGCCTGGCTGGCTTGTAGTATATCTATAACTGACTGATCAACAACTGGACTATCCACATCCACATCTAAAATAGAAGAAAATAGAAATATTTTACAGTACGATTATAACTTAAAATAAGTTAAACAAAATTCATCAAAACCTTGGTTTATTGTTGCTTCACACTGCGGTTGCTTGCCTTGTGACAAAATACTTTGAGAAAATTCTTTAAAGTCTTTGGGTGAAAGAGATTTTTCCATTGTCTCCAACTCACTTTGACTGCAAGTTTCTTTAAAATTTATAAAAATATAAAGTTAAATCATTAAACATAACAAGATCAAATCTTACATCACTTTGTTTCGTTCATCAATAATTTCTTTGATTTTTTCTTTGAATTCTTTCTCAAGATTCAATACAGGTGTTTCAACACGATCTAACAACAAAAAAGTTGAATTTTTATGTGTAGTGTTAACTGTAAAGTAAACAAAAATTAATAAAGGAAAAGTTGAACACATCTTTAACAAAACATGAAAGTTTATGGACTATAAAACAACATCATTCTGAGATGAACAAGTCACAGCCACTGAATGCCATAACAATATAAAATGCATGAAATGTATTGTGAGCTATACAATGATGTGAAATGTATTTTTTTGTACCTTACCTTGTGAAACAGGAAGAGCAACTTGTGAAGATAGTCCAATATCTCGTCTTCGTTGTCTTTCATCTTCCCACATAGCAGTTATACCAGGATTATGACCAATACAACCTTCATAAACATAATAAACTCATTAAAGATGTATAAACAGTAAAATGAAGACATAAAGATAACTAAATTTTACTTTCAACATTTATTTGATTCAAGATGTCTTCAGCAATTACATCAACTTCAAGTTCACAACGACTGACTTTTTTCACAGTAGGATCCAGGCATAAATTTCTTAACAATGACAAATAACAAACATTAAAATGATGAATATCAACTGTAAAGATAGTTATCACAAAGAATCATTCCAAAGTTAAACTAATTTTTAAATGTAAATTCTGTAATCTGGATTGAACATTGACTCTAAATCTTGGGATAAATCATACACACATGTGTCAAATTTAGGATTAAGGATTTACACAAATCCTTTTGGCTTCAATTAATCTTCAAGTGTAAAATATATGAATCAGACAAACCCAGGAATAGTGTCTTCATTCCAGTGTTGAGATGAAGGAAAATTGAGAAATGAATTTGGAGATGAACCATGAAGTGGAATTGATTTATTATTATATGAATCATTTTTATCTATAAAATTCAATTTGATGGGAAATAATCATTTGCGATGTTAGATTTTTATAGAATGCTGAAAAAATCAATAATGAAACTTTCCTGTTTTTGAAGAAATTTCTCTAAAATGAACTTTTCTTACATAAAGTAAGTTCATACCATAAAGATTGTAATCAATTAGAAACTAAAATAAAAAATATTTCAATATAATTCTTATAATGTAACTTAGTGAAAATCTATAGAAATTGACCATCCAGGTGGGGAAAGACCAAAGAAGGTCAGTGGCATTAGTGTTGAATGACATTTTAACATTGTTACCAGTAATCATCTTATCTAGATGTGAAAACATCAATCAAGACTACCCCCAACAGTCCTTCTCAATACTGTAGTATCCTTTATGATCAACATCAACAAACATGCAGCTATACTTCCACAATGTGTTCAAACCATTCACTTTACTGACAAAAGTTTGGCACAGGAAATTCACAGCTATAATCCATAATGGAATGTTTTTATTGGGCACCTGATATCTGATGTATAATTATAGCAAAGTGGGCACCTATACATGCAAATGTTGAATCTCTGATGTCGGTAGAAAAGTCAGCCCATTTTTTACTCCTATGTACAATACAAATATTGCTTAGATCAATTAGTTTGAAAAACAATGAATGAGATTAATTTCTAAAGAAATAAACAACAAACTTTGCAGGCCTTGCCCCCTTACAAACTAACTACTCCAGTCTGGGTTATAACAATCGAAGATGTCTTTTTTCCTCATTAATAATAAAAAACAATAATTACCTGTAGAATATAAGGAACATGAGCTTCGTGTGGTTGAAATGACTTGTTCAATATAGCTCCATTATGAAGAAGATCAACAAGTCTGAAAAAAAATGAAAAATTTTGATGTAGTTTTATGTTAGAACAACATGAAAAATATATCTTACTTGGGAATTATTCTTGGATTGTACAACTCCATCTTAATAAACTCTTCTTCGTTCTCATGATAACCATAAAATGGTCTAAAAAATAAAATCATTTTGGGTGAATAATATTGAAACGTTATTGGGTCGAAAATGGAAGATTTTGTATTGTGATGAAAAGAAAGAGAGTAAAAAAGATTTAATAATAGTAAGCTTTGACAACATGAGAAGAAAACAAGGAAAATAACTTACATTTTCTTAACAATTTCAGTTTTATGAACATATTTCATAGAAGATGATGTTCTACCAAACGCAACTTGAACAGCAAAGTCTACACTTGTCGTAAATTGTTTCAGATATTTATCTGTGGGTTTAGTTCCATCGTAAGGTATGTATAAGTAAGGAAATACTTGATGAATATGAACACAAGTTTTCTGTCCACCAGGAGTTGAGCCAAATATCCTCAAAACTGGAACACGGTTAACATTCGCCTCGCGAAATTTAGAAAACAAAATATCTAAGCCATCTATAGGTTTTCCCACGTAAAAATCTGCATCTACAATCCTAACAGAAAACATTCTGTTGTTCAAAATAAGAAAATATATCGTCAATTAAAATTTTTGAAAGACGAAAGACGAGAGTTGAATCCGCCATATTTGTTTTAGATTATAGATTAGCCAATCAAAGACTTTATAATCAAACCCTTATACCAAATTATCGTAATCGCCTTTTTGGGATTAGATGGGATAAAGACCTCATATAATCTCTAAGTTAACATTGTCCTCAAACAAACGCCGTAATTAAGAGTCGGGGGGAGCTTACCAAGCTAAAGCATGTAGGCCCACAATCTGAACGGCCTACTTTTCGTAGTTATTGTAAAGAAAAATCCGACATTATAAGTGATAAAATTATGCTTTTGGTTAAAATCCAGTTGAACATTTTATTTATTGACATGTCACCATGGAGAATAAATTTATCATGACAATATCACGACATCCTCACAATTTTGATTGAAGCACTGCTATTTAAGATACTAAGTTTACCTCAGTAATGCTGTAATTACTTTGAAAGTCTTCCTTATTAAAATAGGTGAAATTTTCTGACAAAGAAATTTTAAAATTAAATCAAAGATTTTGGCAGTAGCTTTGTTTAAGTAAACAATAAAAATAATGTTTTTCTGTCGTAAATAACTTTAAAAATTATGGAAAATCACACTCCAGAAACACTGGTAATCGTTATTGACGAACTCCAGATTTAGAAATTTTCGAAAGGTAAGCTTGACTTTATAGACCTCGCTAGAAAGGCTTACGCGTTTAACGTTAGAAAATATGCTCCCCAGAAGTTCATGTCTTTCTTCATGTCTAACTACGACATTGCATGTAAAGGATTTCCGCTTTCGTCGAGCAAAATAGTGTCCGCATCTTGATGTTTTTGGTCCCGTACACCCATGTCAATACTGAAAATTAATAATAGTTAAATGTGTACAACATTTATGTGTTGATTGAGTTGAACTGAAATTGAATTTGCAATAAAATTTCTAACTCAATCCCTGTCGTGTATATTTCAATTATTGCTAATTAGAGTGTCATTGTTTGTTCTTATGTTTAGAATTTTGTTATATTTGTCATAAAAAACCTGAATGATATTTTCGTGGTGGAATTCGCAATTCATATGTTTTATATTGATACATCTGTTAATTTTGGTGGGACTTTCCCAATAACACATTGCATAATTTATCATTTCAAAATACTGATGTTTCTCGCATTGTCGCCATGAATTAGTTTCACTAGTCTTGTCAAATATCATTGGTACGGCAGGGCTAAAAATCAACAAGATGAATCAAAATTATGACACATCACAAAATTTCAGTCATGCATATCATTATGTGCAATAACTTTAATTTTATCTAACATGGCTTTTATCAAGAAGAATTTTTTCCTCATTCATACAGTCATCTATTTATCTTATTCCTAATACTGATGAAGACATAAAAACATTTTGCTAGGTATGTCTTTAGAAATTGCGCCTACTTGGAGTGAAAAGCTCATTTCTTCATGCGATAGTACACGTGATTTTTTTCTGGTCTATAATTGTTAAACTTGTTGTAAGATGGACTACTTAAAATATTTGTTTGCGTCAAAAGTTCACAAAATGACTAAACTTTGCATGATGAACTGTCAAGTCCAAAGGCCATCAATTTTGAAGTATCTCTGATTACTGAGATGTGACAAAATTATTTAAACATAGAGACTTCGAGATTAATTACTCTGAAATTCCCTTTTTAAATAAAGACTGCCCCAAAATCTTGAGCCCCCCATTTTTTACTTGCTTCTCACGCCCCTCATCAAATTATTTGTTTATCCGTATCAAAAGTTTACAAAATGATAAAATTTCATTGACAACGTTTCAAAGTTGGAACGCTGACAATTTCAGAGAAGCTCTGTTTATCGATTTTCTTAACTTCTTTAATTATAAATCTCTATTTTTTGAGCTATCTCATTTGAAAAAGGCTGGCTGCCCTTCTTCCTTTATGATTATTTCAGTTAGTTTGTATGTAAGTCAGGATGTTCAATAATTGAAACAAATCATAGTAAACTGGGAAAGGTTAACTGGCATAAAGCTTCCAAGCCAAAACTTTTTTGTGTTTACTTCAGTCATAGCTAGAATAAAAAATTTGCATTTCATATTCTATTGCGTATGAACAGAATTCAATATTTTACAATAAAAACAGCAGGTGATTAAAATCAAGCATTTATTTAACATTCCGATTTCTTTATTATCGAGCAAAAGCAAAGATATCATGTAGTTGGTTGCGTCGTTTTTAATATTTCTGAATTTGTGAAGGTATGTTGATTTTAAAGTTTACTCTCCTTTACCTAATGGTGTATTTTAACTTTCTGATTTGATGTTTTGTGTCCATGTATCAATTTTTTTGTTTTGATGTCACGAATATTGTAGTTAAGTATAACTTATAAATTACTTCCGCGCTACGTATGTTTTATATAACATTTCTTAAGTTAACATTTCTTAAGTTTTGTGGGATTTTCAAACACAGATAAATTTTGAATGATTTACACTGTGAAACTACCAACCTTTCCCACATTAATACCAATTAAACAAGATATATATACAACATTAGTGTTTAGTGCAAATGTTATCGATGTATTTTTGCTTTATATAACTACGGAATGATCAATTGTTAAAGTGCTTATATTACGAATTTTAGCCCCCTTTTTTATGAGCTTAATTGAAAATTTGGATTATTTGAAGAATTATGACATGTCGCTGGACTTAAACAGATAAATATAAGTCCCTTAATTTTGCCTCCAAAGTCGGGTACTTTTTGCGAATTTTTTACGACGCCATATTGATACTTGTGACGTAGATAGTTGAGCACGTCTGTTTCCGTCAATATAATATTATATTATAGAAGGTGATTTTGTTGTCGTTTTTCTTGTCTTAAAAACAAATAATGACAGTATTTCAATAAAATATTAAAAAACAAGTTTTCCGGAAAGTATGGCCTCAAATCAGTGCTCAGATAATTCGAATTCGATGTCTGAATGCGTATCTGATTCGAGCTCGTCATTAGCATACCGATCAAAAAGTTCGCAAAAAAAATGCTGAAAATCGTGACTTTGAACGTCCGTAAAATCACTTTCACCAATTCCAATTTCAATTCCAATATCAATTATAATTGCAGATTTAAAATCACTGAAACAAGGTCTTTCAATTTAGCTCATAAAAAAGGGGGGCTAAAATTCGTAATAGAAACACTTTAAAGATTTTCATGATAATTTTATGTGCACATTGCATAGAAATTTCAATTCAACCGAAGATGACTTTCATTCAAAAACTATAGTTAATCACTCTGCTGTATTTTTCGGAAACAAATTATATAGTTATTCAAATTGAATAACAACTATCGTTCTTATCTGTTTAAATAACACGTCGACGCTTGCTGGTAAAATTATAAAAGAGTATAATTAAAACTAACAACTTGCACTCTCAGTGTCTACAAGACCACATGCTCTCTAAAATATGTATTAATTTACATATATGAATGACGTCATAAACTGAACTATATACATATCTTTTAACTACTGAATATCTCTTCTCGCAAACTATCATAATTCTAACACTCCCACTTAATGGTTGTGCGAGAAATTTTGTCTTTAAACTAAATAAATATTTAATAGATTTCTAAACTTTTCAAATGTTGGCTTGGGCAATGCCTTTGTCATTATGTCAGCGATCATCCTTTCGGTTGGACAATATTCCACTTTAATTTCCTTTGACGAGATCCTTTCACGAACAAAATGATGACATATATCTATGTGTTTAGTACAGCTGTGGTGGCTTGGGTTTTTGGCCAACTCTAGCGCACCTTGGTTATCTTCAAAAATAATGATGGGCGTCTTTGTGTTTAATCTCAAATCGCTCAATAACATTCTCAACCAAATCGTTTCTTGCGTTGCTATAGACAATGCGACATAGCCCGCCTCAGTAGAAGATTTGGCAACAGTAGCTTGCTTCTTACTTGACCAACTTACTATGTTTCCTCCAAGTTTAAAAACGTGATCTGATGTAGATCTTCTCAAATCTATACCTCCCGCGCGATCGGAATCTAAAAAACCAATTAAATTTAAATCATCATCAGCGGTATCCTTCAGTCAATAATTTAACGTTCCTTTTAGATAACAAAGAACACGCTTCACCCCGATCCAATGATCATTGCTTGGTTTTGCTATGTATTTAGATAGAACATCTACAGCTGCTCTGATATCGGGACTGGTAATTACTGATAAATATGTTAAGCATCCTATAGCTTGTTGATATGTCTGCACATCAAATAACTTCTCGTTTTCTTACATTTCATGAAATTTCTTGCCATTTTCCATCCGTGTGAACATCGGTTTGCACGATTCCATACCAAATCTTGTCAATGCCTTTTCCATATAATTTCGTTGACTTATTGTTGACTTATTGAACTTCTCCAAGATCTTCCATCCTGAATTTTTGGCATAGTGCTTGTTTTTCTGCATTACGCATCTCGACATCGTTGGACACTGCAAAATATCGTCGACGTAACTCTATGAATCACAAAACTAATGTGCCCATTATCCTTCTTTACTGACTTAACATATAGACATCCGTCTGCATCATTCTTTCGATAGCCAGTTGATAATAGGTATTTATCAAGCGTATCATACTAACATCGAGTCGATTGCTTGTGGGCATAAATGCTTTTATTTAATCTGCATACATGATTAGGTTTCCGTGCATCAACGAATTCATCAGTACTGCCGTTTAGAAACGCTGTTTTGACATCCATCTTGTGGATTTCAAGATTCTGAGCATTTTCCATAGATAGCAGGGATCTGATTGACGTGTATTTGGCCACAGGAGAAAATAATTCTTCGTAATCTGTTCCTTTCGATTGTGTGTACCCTTGTGCAACCAGTCTGGCTTTACATCTGTCAACGGATCCATTTTCATTCCTCTTTACCTTAAAAACCCATTTGGAACCAATGATGTTCTTTTCTTTTGATGGTGCAACCAATTCCTAAGTCTTATTCTCCATAAGAGATGAGTATTCTCCCGTCATGGCATTCTTCCATAATTCTGCATGCTTTCCATTCAGTGCTTAATTAACGCTTTCAGGATCATCTATGTCTGAAATCAGTGATTCAGCAACTTGATATGCGTCTAAACTAAATCGATGAGGGATTTTTCTTTCTCTTGTTTGTCCTAAATTCCTTACATCTTCCATAAACGAATCTTTGTATGTCTTACGAATTGGCGTTTCTACATGTTCTCCCACTTGCTCAGTATCTTCTCTGCTTGAGCATTGTTCATCATTCATAGTCATCCTTTGTTGAAACTGTGTCGCTTGCTCTTCTGGATCAGTTGTATCAGCATTTTCGTTGGTTCCTTCATCCTGTTTTTCTTCTGATTTTGCATCTTCTTCATCCTTATAAACGACGGTATCGATTAACATATCGACATTCCTCTGCTGTGATTGTTCAGCAAAGCAAATTTGTTTTCAAGAAATACTACGTCTCTACTGATTGTAAAACGGTTTCGGTTTAAGTCGAATACCTTGTATCCTTTAGTGCCCGAGGGATATCCGACAAAGATTGCTTCGTTTCATTTTTTATCAAGCTTCTGACGATTACAGCTTGGGACGTGTAAAAAACATTTGAATCCAAAAACGTTTAGGTTTAAAAGATCAGGCTTCTCTCCAAATAAGCACTCAAATGGTGTTTTAAACTTTAATGTAGCTGTAGCACTTCGATTATGAAGATAAATGGCGGTATCTCCTAAATATATTTTGGTTGGTGTTTGATATTCAACATAGTCCACAAACAAATCCTTGTTGTATGTCATATGTTTTGTTGCAGCGGAATCGATGAATCATTCATCAGAGGGTTTAATATCATGAATAAGAGCAACATCACTGCCTTCAATAGCACATGAACTTCCTTTTTTCTTATTGGATGTATTCAACGGACAGTTTCTTGCTATGTGTCCACCTGGTTACATCTGAAACAGGTAACACTTCTTCCCTTATTAGAACCACAGCTTCTTTCATCTCTTCCCATGCTCCATCCTGGTTTGCTGTGTTGTGGAATTTCTCCTCTAGGCATTTCATTGACTTTTCCAAAGTCATGCCTTTGTTGCAAATTAAGTTAAAGTTGTGTTGGGTTTCAATTGTACATTCGAGTACGTCGGGGACAATAAGGAACAATGCAGACAACATGAGTGGAACGAAAGTAGAGAGAGGAGAGAACAAAAGTGAGAGAGGCGAGACAAGGGAGAGAAGCGAGAGTAAGAATAAAAATTGTTTAAGAAACAAAGTTGTTGTTGTGATTATTTTTCGTGTTCCGAAGACATTGGAACGGAGGTCAATTTTTGGAATACCTTTTTCCTTGATTGTAGTTTTCCTTTTTTCTCATGTATAATGCATTGTCTTCTTTCTTATCTTCTTTCTTCTCTTTACGTTTAAGATGTTCCTCAATCAACGATCCTTTTATATTATCCCTATCCATATCTTCAACTTTTCTGGTGTTTACACTAGTGATGAAATTCTCGTATGACTCTGGTAAACTACCTAACAGCGCCATTGCGAATTTCTTTAACGGAATTTCCTCATTCATTTCACGCAGTTGTTCTGCTAATGTGGTCATATATGTGATATGCTTTAGCAAATCTCCCCCTTCTTCCATGCTCGCAGCGTAAAATTTCCGATTCAGTGTTACTATTTGTGTGACCGAGATAAATTCAAATTGAACTTTTAAATTTTTTCATGCAATGAGCGGATTTGTGGTTCCAGAAATATGTATTTGTAAATGTTTTTCTACATTTAGAGCTATAAGAGAGTAGGCCTTATCCGACCTTAATTGAAATGCATTCTTCGTCGCAATCGTCACCGTATCAGGAGGAGGAATTTCTTTTCCTTCCCTTGTAAAACTTCATTTTATAGTTTTACACTGCAATATTTATATAGTATTCATTACAAATAATAAATATTATCATTGGTCTAATAGTTGTTCTATCTAATATCTAATCTATATATGGTACATAAGGACGTCATATATGACGTCAATAAAGAGTTTTAGCGAAGCCTACGAGTACGACTACGAGTACGATTTACGTCATTTTGGCGCGAAAACATTGTTGCGACAACAAAAACACGTAGCCGTCATCAATCTGAGTACGATGTTTTGTAAAAAATTTGTAGTCGCGACTACGATGTCTTTTTAAGCAAAGAAAGTAGGTATATTTCTTTGCTTAAAAAGTAGTATAGTAGGTGTATTTCGAGCATCCAGGCTTTAATTTAGAACCCTTTTTGAGGGCAGATGTACATTAAAAAGGATAATATGACCTGCAAAACTTTCATGTATTTCGTACGCAAAGTTAAAGGTAAACAAACAATAAAATAGTACAAATATATCGTACATAAAAAGTAAAATAGTGAAGATTTTTCAGTCTAAAGACTATATTCTCGCAAAACCAGTATTGTCGATTCTTTGATATCATGATTGACAAATAGAGCCGTAGCTGCTTCGCAAGCGTCGGTGTTTTACACAATAAAAAGGCTCGTCTGTTGTTTACAACTAAAGCAAAATTTTGACGAATCGACAACGACAACAACCTTCCTCGTGCCATTCTCTTACACGGTCAAATTTCGTACTTGTTCACGCAGTCGTACTCTTGCTAAAACTTCCTAATAAGTGTTTCTTGGGTGTTAACCGTATGGGAACGAATACACTGGTAAACCCAACTATGTACATTCTATTTCTTTTACGTATTTTTGTGCTTTATGAGCATGACTCAACACAAGCGATTCTGCCAGCAAAATTCGACTGTGTAGTTACCGTTCCCACAAACGCGAAGTGTTATCTTCCTCATAACAAAAACGTTACTAATTTAATATGTAAATTTTTCAAAGTAAACAGTACTTACACATTACATTCTCTGCCTTCAAAATTGATGTTTATTTTGTCCTTAGAAATTAATTAAAATGTTTTATGAAAAACGCGCTAAATTACAGAAGAATTAAAGACACACTAGCTAACAAGACTTCGAATCAGATAAAAGTCGAAGAGTCTGTAAGTGACTAGCTTTCATATCGGGAAATACGATATACGTCTACTATTTGTTCAAAATGTGAAAAGGAGCAAACATCTGCCCCCGTGGCTCTGGTGCCCTTGGTAAAGTTCGTCTCCAAAAAACTCCTTGGCAGACGTACGCCAGGAAATGACGTTCACCAAAAAGCATTAAACATTTAGACAAATCTCAAGGTAAAATTTCTTTGCAGACGTACTCCAGGAAATGATGTTCACCAAAAAGCATTAAACATTTAGACAAATCTCTAGGTAAAATTGCTTTGCAAACGTACGCCAGGAAATGACGTTCATCGAAAAGCATTAAACATTTAGACAAATCTCAAGGTAAAATGCCTTTTCATTTTTCTTCTGGGCCTTCTTTACTAATTTTTTGTTCTTTTGATATATTTAAACGTCTTACGATGTCAAAGTGTACGTCTATTGGAAATAAATCTAAAATAACAATTTTTATGAAAAGGAGGCTTGAAGCCCCCCAAATTGCCCGTATGACAACGTTTTTTGAAATCAACGCACCAATATTTAGCAAAAAGTCTCACGTTGGGGGACAATAACCTTTCTACGCCTGGTATATTTTTTATGCGCAGTCGTTACATAAGTTTTAAACTTATATAAAGTAAAAATTATAAACTAAACTTGCTTCACTTTTCTTGAGGACGCGGTAGAATGACCATGAAGGCATACAAGTTGTATATGAAGGATTTTAAAAACTTCTCTAACTTCCACAGAAATGCCTAAATGCAGGACAACTTTAAACACAAATATTCACAGGGTTGTTTTTAGCTACCACCTTCATTAACCACTTTCATATACAACTGAAAATTTACGAACTGATAATATTCAACAAATTTTAGTTGTCCATAAATTATGGTTAATAAACTTAATCCTTTTATAATCCGTAGATGGAGTCAAGAGAAGAAAGGAATAACTTCTACATTCAGAAAATACTTTCAGATGTTGTTGTGAATAAACTTGTTGATTTATTTATCCAAGAGTGGAAGAATAATTACAAAAAATCCCACGGAGAATGGGATAATACAAACGTTAGTGGTCAGAAGTTGTTCAACATTGAAAAAACAAAAAAGAGACCTTTAGACAACCATATTTTGTCAAAATTTCAAGATGGTGACACCAGTAAGTGGGATTCTACAACAGTATTTGCAGCAATACTGTATTCCAAAACAATTGGAGCAAAAGTTAACCCAAAAGTTAGATCTGCAGTTAATGCACTTCGTATTGTTAGAAACAAACTCACCCATGAATACCATGGAAGAGTATCTGATACCGAATTTGACAAAATGCTTTGTGATATTGAAAAGTCATTTAAAGATCTTGCATTTTCATTCACTGAAATTAATGAAATTAAATGTCAACGAAACAGATTTAATTCTTTTCAAGTACTTCCTTGCAAATCAAATCACGATGTGGTTAAACGTACAGAGTTACTTTATGAAATCAAAGCAGATCTCAATAAATTGCGCAGTACTAACAATAATGAACTAACATATTACTATATTTCTGGTAAACCTGGCAGTGGTAAATCTCAATTAGCCAGACAAATTTGCGAAGAAATGTATAACTCGTTTGACTGGGAAAAGAACACGACATTTGTGATGACACTGGAAGGAAAAGATGCTGACTCCCTTTTGAAAACTTATGCTGAACTTTACGAACGATTAAGCAATGATAAAACTGTCATTGAAAATATTCGGAAAGAAGCAATAAGCAGCGAAGACAAAATCAAAGATTTTCAATTATTGCTGACACAGCAACTGAAATCTTGGCAATTATGGTGGATTGTTGTAGATAACGTGATTGAACTTGATAAAATTTATCCATTGTTACCTCAAGTTGGTGATCATAGCTGGAAAAATGGACAAATTATAGTAACTGTCCAAAATACAGATGCTATAGCACCAGATGGAAGTCTAAATAAACACATTTCAGTTAGTCATGGTATGAACAATGAAGAATGTCGAGAACTTCTATCTGTCTTTTCTGATATTTCAAATCATGATGAAAAATTTTTAAAGGATTTATCAGACAAATTAGATCGTCAACCATTGTTCCTGGCAAATGCTGCTTACTACGTAGGTAAAGTAAAAAGTGTAAGCCCGACATTCACCTGGGAGCAATATTTTGCTAAGTTGAATGAAGGAGAGCGACAGAACTGGGATGGCAATTTTCAAAAATTAAACTCAGCTTACTTAGGAATGAAAACTGTTATGTTAGCGGTACAAAAAAATGCTGAAGAATCCATCCTTTTGAAACATGTTTTTAATTTTTTCTCAGTAATATCTTTCGATCCCTTACCACAAGATGTTATAATACCATTCATTAAAAGCATTGATCCACAAAAATCTGCAGAAGATGTCTGTCTTCAATTAAAGCATTGTTCTTTATTCCTTCAAACCGAAAACAACGACATCCGCCTGCACAGCGTTGTACACGAAGCCATCAAAAACTATTCATTGCAGGCCTTTGGCTGTAAACAAAACGAAAATAATTCTAAAAAGTCTGCAGCTGATCTTGCCTGTCAAGTTGCATGTGCACTAAATAATTTTGAAGACAGAGAAGATGAAATCAAAATAATTCCACATCTAATAAAATTTATAACAAATTCATCATTTCAACATTTCCTAAAAAAGTTGATCGATGTAAAATCAGTCTTTTTTTTCATAAGAGAACGAAAACTTGATGAAAGAAATTGGAAATTTGCCAAATATTTCGTAAATGTTCTGGAAAGATTTTGCAACTATAAACTTGCAACTAAAGTACTTGATGAAATAACAAAAATTCAAACTAAAGTGTTAGGTGTTGATCATATTGATGTTGCATATTCGTACAACAAGCTGGGTGAGTTGCTTTGGAAGAATGGAGAGTACGAAAATGCTAAAGATTTTCACGAGAGAGCAATGGAAATTCAAGCTAAACAAATTGGACCTGACCATGTTAATATTGCGTCAACGTACAACAATCTGGGTTTGGTTTACTATAATATGGGAGAGTACGAAAAAGCAAAAAATTTTTATGAACGAGCGATACAAATTGAAACAAAATCATTTGGACCTGACCATGTTAATATTGCGATAAGGTACAACAGTCTAGGTTCGGTTTACGATAAGATGAGGGAGTACAAAAAAGCAAAAGATATTTATGAACGAGCGCTTGAAATTCAAACGAAAGCATTTGGACCTGACCATGTTAATATTGCTACAACGTACAACAATCTGGGTTTGGCTTGCGATCATATGGGAGAGTACGAAAAAGCAAAATATTTTTTTCAACAAGCGATGAAAATTGAAACGAAAGGATTTAGACCTGACCAAGTTAATGTTGCCACAACGTAAAACAATCTGAGTTTGGTTAACGATGATATGGGAGAGTACGAAAAAGCAAAAGATTTTTTTGAACAAGCGATGAAAATTGAAACGAAAGCATTTGGACCTGACCATGTCAATATTGCGACAACGTACAACAATCTAGTTTTGGTTTATAGTAAAATGGGAGAGTACGAAAAAGCAAAAGATTTTTTCAAACGAGCAATAGGAATTATGTTAAAAAAAAAACAGTTGTATTGTAGATTTCTTTTAACAAAGGCTCAAAGAACAACAGTTGTATTTTCCTAAAAGGTATAAATATAATGTTGACAATATTCAAACATTTGTATTATAAAGTTTTCAACTGTCATTTATTTACTGGAACAGTTTTTATTAAGAAACTTGTATGGAACTATCAAAGTATATTTATGACTTAGTTTGCAATATTCAGAAGTTGAGAGGTTTCTTAAAATGAATGTTGTTGGGTCATTTTCTTGTATAATAAGAGTAAATACTGATCTTACAGCAACCATAATCATGTAACATCCTTTTTTGAAATGCTGAAAAGCCCACAAGATTTGCTTTGCTATATAAGTATGAATACAGTCTTTTCTGTATTTATTTCTATTCATTCATATAATTTACAAAATATAATTTGCATTTATGAGATTTTCAGTTTGAAATAGACATGCAGTTATTGTTATTTGATTAAATCATACTTGATTTGGGGAGTAACTCCTTAATTGTCATGACGATGTTTAATTTTTTATTTTGGAGGAAATATTTATTTAATGATTGATTCAATAATACTTTTTCATAGTTCAAACTATAAAGGCAGTGTAAAGTAAAAGTTATAAATAACCTGAAGAAGAAAAAGTAGGATATCATTGCCATAGCATTGACAGAAGTGAAAATGACACATTTAAGTGTCCGACTAACAGATTTGAGACTACCAGATTGACTAATATATAAAAAATCCCAGCAGTGGCGCAGGAGGGTGGGAAAATGTCATATATGCAAGTCTTGATTTGCTGAAAACAATGGATTTCAAAGGAGCTTAATGTGGAAGAACATGAATATATGAATATGTGCTTTCTACCCAAAATAAAGAGTCTGCTATGCCATTTATTCCAATGGCATCTTGAAGAGCTCTGGCATTGTGTGTAACAGTTAGTATTTCATTTTGCAAGAAACTTCTTATTTTTTTTCCAAAACATTATTTGAACATTATAGAAGTTGTATACAAACTATAAAAAGTTTATATTAGGAATATATTTCTAGGTCAACAATCTCCTTTAAAGTATGTATCCATTTTCAGGAGTGAATGACATGACCAGACAATTTTGGCTAATGTCTTTAAAACTGATAAGAACAATAAATGAGTCATTTCTACTGGTGTCTTTACAACTGATATGGACAGTATTAAGTCATTTTCATTGCCACGACATTCATGTCTTGCTTTTGCAATAGTTTATACTTTACATTGCTTTCAAACTCATTCTCCTAGCTACATAAATGATTTTACCACAAAATCACAATACAAAATGTTGTGGTTATCTCTGATCCCAAGAAAACCAAATATAAATGAAAATTGAGATTTACTACATTTAAATGTAAGAGAAAAAAGAACATTGTCACAACAATTAAGATGTAAATCCTAAACCGTAAATAGAAATGTTGAATCGAGTAACCAAACTATTTACCTTCTCTCCACACACAATTCTTTTAAATACAAATTATATTTTACTATTTTTCACAGTGAACAGAAATTTCTATATTTACACAGCAAAGCCAGTTTTTAGAACACTTACTAAGCGCTATAAATTTTTCATGTAAATAATGTACATGTTAAGATTTTTCTTATGAAACTACAAAAAGAACCAAACAAACCCTCCATTTAAGCCTTGGCCTACAGAAATTGAAAATACAACTGTTGCTGGTGAACTAAAGGAGAAAGAACACATACCCAAAAGCCAGGGCTAACAAAGCATCTTGTTCCTTCAAATGGAGTTAAAAATCCATTAATTTCTGTAAAGACTAAACACACAAAAAAAATCCTTTTCTGAAGCGTTTTTATAGACCTGGCATTGTTGACCACTTGACAATGTAATTTATCTTTATTTCTGTTTTAGGTAGTGACGTAGCCAAGAAAAATGGGGCTTTTACTCTAATTATTTGTGCCTAGCCCATATTTACTGTTGTCATCTCATATGTAGTGTAGTGAGTAACGAAAAAGTAATTGAACAACAAAATATTTAGTTTTATAGCACTTTTAGACTTGCTATACGCTACGAGTTGTCATGGTGTTATTAAAGGCTGAATTCTGATATTTTCCTTTGATTCTTATTTTTTTATTTTCCGTAAATTATACACGTATTTAATAAAATATACATTTAAGTTGATTTATTCAAAGGGGAACCCACATGGTCTGGGGATTTAAGTTCTTGATACAGGGTGTTTCAAAAAAAGGTAATCCAACTTTTACTTGCTGTTGTGTATAAATTACTGAATAAATAACTGTAGTTTTAAATAGAGTTCTAGGTTCTAGCTATGGAATGCTATGTTGTTTGTTGCGATTTGGAAGGAAAATGAGTGAAATGCAAGCGCGTTGAAAAATTTTGGTCAAAGTCGCATTCTTTCACCTTTGAGCATTTTTCCATCAACATGAAAGGTGCTTCACTTTGATTTTGCTGGTTTGTTGACTGACTATCCCATATTTCATGGTGATGTCTCATTTTTCAACCTTTATAATATTTGAAATTATCTGACATTTACAATTTCCATGAATCAGCACAAATTGTTACTAAAGGAGCCTTAATTAAACGTAGTTAAAAAAAAATTCATTAATAACTTCATACGTATAATATAGAAGCTACCTCAACTTGAAAATCCCGGTCAAGAAACTTATTTTAATTACATGCCGCTGAATCATGCGAATTTTAGATTATCGGCTTATTTCAAAGATGACCAGTTCTTTGCAAAGATCATCAAGTGTACGCTCACTACGCTGAAAATGATCGAGGTGTTTAACTACACTGTGAAGCATTTGGAAGAAATAAAAGCATAGAGCACTGTTTTACCCGCTGTTAATCAAGTTGTACTACAATTTGAAACCCTAAATTAGCGTTAAATTTGTTTCTGTATCTCAAATATAATACGCTTTAATAATTATTTTAAACATTGATTTGTTTTATCTTTCGTCATTGACTTCAATTTTCGCCGATCAAAACAATAGTTGACTTGAAGCGTGATTTTATTGTCTTGTTTGTGTCATCTCCATCCTAATCATAAAATGTTTCTGAATTATTGTAAAGATAACAACATCGCAATGAAGACATAATTGAATTCAACTCTTGGGTCGAAAATAGGAGATTTTGTATTTTAATGTAAAGAAGAGAGTAAAAGAGATTCAATAAAAGTAAGCTTTGCCAACATGAGGAGAAAACAAGGAAAATAACTTACATTTTTTTAACAATTTCAGTTTTATGAACATATTTCATAGAAGATGATGTTCTACCAAACGCAACTTGAACAGAAAAGTCTACACTTGTTGTAAATTGTTTCAGATATTTATCTGTGGGTTTAGTTCCATCGTAAGGTATGTATAAGTAAGGAAGTACTTGATGAATATGAACACAAGTTTTCTGTCCACCAGGAGTTGAGCCAAATATCCCAAAACTGAAACATGGTTAACATTGCCTCGCGAAATTTAGAAAACAAAATATCTAAGCCATCTATAGGTTTTCCCACGTAAAAATCTGCATTTACAATCCTAACAGAAAACATTCTGTTGTTCCAAGTAAGAAAATATATCGTCAATTAAAATTTTTGAGAGACGAAAGACGAGAGTTGAATCCGCCATATTTGTTTTAGATTATAGATTAGCCAATCAAAGATTTTATAAGCAAACCCTTATACCAAGTCATCGTAATCACCTTTTTGGGATTAGATGGGATAAAGGCTTCCCTCTAATCTCTAAGTTAACACTGTCCTCAAACAAACGCTGCAATTAAAATTCGGGTGGGAGATTACCAAGTTAAAGCATGTAGAACCACAATCTGAAAGATTGTAAAAAAAAATCCGACATTATAAGTGATAAAATTATGCTTTTGGTTAAAATCCAGTTGAACATTTTATTAAATGACATGTCACCAAGGAGAATAAATTTATCATGACAATATCACGACATCCTCACAATTTTGATAAAAGTGCTGCTATTTAAGATATTAATTTACTTCAGTAATGCTGTAATTACTTTGAAAGTCTTCCTTACTAAACTAGGTGAACTTTCCTGAAAAAGAAATTTTAAAATTGAATCCAAGGATTTTGGCAGCAGCTTTGTTCAAGTAAACAAAAAAAATAATGTTTCTCCTGTAACAAATAACTTTGAGAATTATGGGAAATCACACTCCCGAAACACTGGTTATTGACGAACTCCAGATTTAGAATTTTTCCAAGGTTGAGCACGACTTTATAGACCTCGCTAGAAAGGCTTACGCCTTTGGCGTTAGAAACTATGCTCCCCAGAAGTTCATGTCCTTCATGTCTAACTAGGACACTGCATGTAAAAGATTTCCGCTTTCGTCGAGCAAAATAGTGTGCGCATCCTGATGTTTTTGGTCCCGTACACCCATGTCAATACTGAAAATTAATAATAGTTAAATGTGTACATCATTTATGAGTTGATTGAGTTGAACTGAAATTAAATTTGCAATAAAATTTCTAAATCAATCCCTGTCGTGTATATTTCAATTATAGCTAAAATAGAAAATTTGCTCATCTCATTTTATCGTCTCGCTGTTATGAACAGAATTCAATATTTTACAATAAAAACCGCAGGTGATTAAAATCAAGCATTTATTCAACATTCCATTTTCTTAATTATAAAGAAAAAGCAAACACATCATGTAGATGGTTGCATCTTCTTTAATCTTTCTAAAATTGCTAAGGTATGTTGATTATAAAGTTCACCTGTCATAGTGTCATTGTTTGTTCTTATGTGTAGAATTTTGTTATATTTGTAATAAAAAACCTCAATGTCATTTTCGAGGTGGAACTCGCTTATGCATATCATAAATGCGGAATAATTTTAATTTTATCTAACATGGCTTTTCTCAAGAATAATTTTTTTCCTCATTCATAAAGTAATCTATTTATATTATTCCTAACACAGATGATGACATAAAACGTTTTGCTAGATATGTTTTTACAAATTGCGCCTACTTAGAGTAAAAAGCTCACTTTTTCACGTGATAGTACACGTGATTTTTTTCTGGTCTATAATTGTTAAACTTGTAGTAAGATATAGAATTTGAAATATTTTTTGCGTGAAAAATTCACAAATGACAAAACTTTGCATGATGAACTGTCAAGTCCAAACGGTATCAAATTTATCTCTGATTGCTGAGATGTGACAAAATTAATCAAAACTAGAGACTTCGAGATTAATTATTCTGAAATTCAATTTTTAAATAAAGACTGCCCTAAAATCTTGAGCCCCAAAATTTTACTTGCTTCCCTCGCCCCAGATGAAATTATTTGTTTATCTGGATCAAAAGTCTACAAAATGACAAAACTTTATTAACCACGTTTCAAAGTTGGAACGGTAACAATTTTAGAAAAGCTCTGTTTATCGATTTTTTTAACTTCTTGAATTATAGAACTTTAATTTTTGACTTATCTTACTTGTAAAATGTTGGCTGCCCCGTCTTCCTTTATGATTATTTCAGTTAGTTTGCATGTAAGTCAGGATGTTCAATAATTGAAATAAATAATAGTAAACTGTGAAAGGTTTATTGACATAAAGCTTCCAAGTCAAAAGTTCTTTGTGTTTACTTCAGTAAAAGTTAAAATAAGAAATTTGCATTTCATATTCTATTGGGTCAGGGGCGTAACTAGACTTGAAGTAATGGGGGGGGGGTGGTGGAGAAATTTGTCCTGCAAAAGGGCGTTGCCCACAAAACCCCTTAACTCATTATGGCTAGCAAATTATATTCATTTCTATTATTGCATGCGTGGTTTGTTAGTAATCATTTAGTTAGTTGCACTTGACTTAATTATTTACTAGTTACAGGAAGAATATGAGAGCATATGTTAACAGTATCCAGCGGTATCTGCATCTGCATTTATAATTACTTCATCTTACACATCTCACAGACACATTGCACTGTAGAATTAAGCCAAAATTGTCAAAAATGAAGGTTTGTGATTTCCACTTAGTAATCATTTAGTAGTTCTGGATGGTATGGCAATTTTTCTACTTCCTGAACACTGCCTTGCCACTTGACGGCAATATGCCCTGCAAAAAAACTGTTTTCAGCAATTGGGGGGTGTCACACACCACCACACACCCCCAACAGTTACGCCCCTGTATTGGGTATGACCAGACTTTAATATTTACAATAAAAACAGCAGGCGATTAAAATCAAGCATTTATTTAACATTCCGATTTCTTTATTATCAAGCAAAGCAAACACAACATTTAGTTGGGTGCGTCATTTTTAATCTTTCTGAATTTGTGAAGGTATGTTGATTTTAAAGTTTACTCGCTTTATGTAATGGTGTATTTTAACTTTCTGACTTAATGTTTTGTGTCCACGTATCATTTTTTTTTTTTTGAAGTCAAAAACATTGTAGTAACATATAAATTATAAATTAGTGCCACGTATGTTTTATATGGATAAATTTTCTTCATTTTGGTGAGATTTTCAAACACAGATAAATTTTTGATAAATTATATGTGGAAAATATGACTTTTCTCACGTCAATACCAATTTACTCCAATCGCTTAATCAAAATTGTATCAATACAGCAAAGTTTATTAAATTAATGTGTTGAGTCAAAATAATGACACGTCAAAGAATGTTAGATGTGCATGTCATTATGTGCAATAACTTTACTTTTTCTACCATGGCTTTTATCAAGACGTGTACAACATTTTATACAACATAGGACTAGAATATTCACATCGAAAGAGAGCATGAATTTTTTATCTAGGTGATTACATTTCGCAAATTTTGAGTTAGATATCTATGGAACAATTAGTTGCTACAGATTTGCATGATAACTATTTTTGTTTTCTTTCTGTGTCTTTGTTGAAAAGCATTTTTGATATTAATAACATTTGTTGATATTGATAGGTTTTTCCAGACAATTACAAATAAATTTTAGATGACTTAACGTTGAAAAACACTGAACCTTCCAGCATCATCACAAGCAATACGATGTAATTAATCAAATATTCCGATAGTTCATTTCAAATACTATTCATACAACAGGTCTGAAAAATCAACAGGATGTGTTAAAATAATGACACATCACAGAATTTCAGTTAAGCATATCATAAATGCGGAATGATTTTATTTTTATCTAACATGGCTTTTATCAAGAAGAAATTTTTTCCTCATTCATAAAGTCATCTATCTATTTATCTTATTCCTAACACAGATGATGACATAAAAACGTTTCGCTAAATATGTTTTTAGAAATTGCGCCTACTTAGAGTGTAAAGCTCACATTTTCACGTGATAGTACACATGAACTATTTCTGGTCTACAATTGTTAAACTTGTAGTAAGATATAGAATTTAAAATGTTTGTTTGGGTCAAAAATTCACAAATGACAAAGTATCTCTGATTGCTGAGATGTGACAAAATTATTCTAAATTAGAGACTTTGAGATTAATTACTCTGAAATTCAATTTTCAAATAAAGACTGCCCTAAGATCTTGAGCTACCATACTTTTACTTGCTTCCCTCGCCCCTAATTAGATTACTTGTTTATCCGGATCAAAAGTTTACAAAATAACGAAACTTCATTGACCACGTTTCAAAGTTGGAACGCTGACAATTTAAGAGAAGCTCTGTTTATCGATTTTCTTAACTTCTTAAATTATAGATCTTTAACTTTTGAGCTATCTTACTTATAAAATGTTGGCTGCCCCATCTTCCTTTATGATTATTTCAGTTAGTTTGCATGTAAATCAGGATGTTCAATAATTGAAATAAATAATAGTAAACTGTGAAAGGTTTATTGAAATAAAGCTTCCAAGTCAAAAATTCTTTGTGTTTACTTCAGTAAAAGTTAAAATAAGAAATTTGCATTTCATATTCTATTGGGTATGACCAGACTTCAATATTTTACAATAAAAACAGCAGGGGATTAAAATCAAGCATTGATTTAACATTCCGATTTCTTTATTATCAAGCAAAGCAAACACATCATTCAGTTGGGTGCATCTTCTTTAATCTTTCTGAATTTGTGAAGGTATGTTGATTTTAAAATTTACTCGCTTTATGTAATATTGTATTTTAACATTCTGACTTAGTGTTTTGTGTCCGTGTATCAATTTTTTTTGTCTTGATGTCAAAAACATTTTAGTTAAATATAACTTATAAATTAGTGCCACGTATGTTTTATATGAATAAATTTTCTTCATTTTGGTGGAATTTTCAAACACAGATAAATTTTTGATGCATTACATGTGAAAATACGACTTTCTCACATCAATGCCAATTTACTCCAATCGTTTAATCAAAATTATATCAATACAGCAAAGTTCATTAAATTAATGTGTTAAGTCAAAATAATGACACGTCAAAGAATGTTAGATGTGCATGTGATTATGTGCAATAACTTTACTTTTTCTAACATGGCTTTTATCAAGACGTGTACAACATTTTATACAACATAGGAGTAGAATATTCACATCGAAAGAGAGTATGAATATTTTATCTAGGTGATTAAATTTCGCAAATTTTGCGTTAGATATCTATGGAACAATTAGTTGCTACAGATTTGCATGATAATTATTTTTGTTTTCTTTCTGTGTCTTTGTTGAAAAGCATTTTTGATATTAATAACATTTGTTGATATTGATGGGTTTTTTAGACAATTACAAATAAATTTTAGACAATTTATCGTTGAAAAACACTGAAACTTCCAGCATCATCACCAGCAATACGATGTAATTAATCAAACATTCCGATGGTTCATTTCAAATATTATTCATACAGCAGGTCTGAAAAATCAACAGGATGTGTCAAAATAATGACACGTCACAGAAGTTCAGTTATGCATATCATAAATGCGGAATGATTTTAATTTTATCTAACATGGCTTTTATCAAGAAGAAATTTTTTCCTCATTCATAAAGTCATCTATCTATTTATCTTATTCCTAATACAGATGATGACATAAAAACGTTTCGCTAGATATGTCTTTGGAAATTGCGCCTACTTAGAGTGAAAAGTTCACATTTTCACGTGATAATACACATGATCTTTTCTGGTGTATAATTGTTTAACTTGTGGTATGATATAGAATTTAAAATATTTGTTTGCGTCAAAAATTCACAAATGACAAAACTTTGCATGATGAACTGTCAAGTCCAAACGCTGTCAAATTTAAAGTATCTCTGATTGCTGAGATGTGACAAAATTATTCTAAATTAGAGACTTTGAGATTAATTACTCTGAAATTCAATTTTTAAAGAAAGACTCCCCTAAAATCTTGAGCCCCCAACTTTTACTTGCTTCCCTCGCCCCTAATTAGATTACTTGTTTATCCGGATCAAAAGTTTACAAAATAACGAAACTTCATTGACCACGTTTCAAAGTTGGAACGCTGACAATTTAAGAGAAGCTCTGTTTATCGATTTTCTTAACTTCTTAAATTATAGATCTTTAACTTTTGAGCTATCTTACTTATAAAATGTTGGCTGCCCCATCTTCCTTTATGATTATTTCAGTTAGTTTGCATGTAAATCAGGATGTTCAATAATTGAAATAAATAATAGTAAACTGTGAAAGGTTTATTGAAATAAAGCTTCCAAGTCAAAAATTCTTTGTGTTTACTTCAGTAAAGTTAAAATAAGAAATTTGCATTTCATATTCTATTGGGTATGACCAGACTTCAATATTTTACAATAAAAACAGCAGGGGATTAAAATCAAGCATTGATTTAACATTCCGATTTCTTTATTATCAAGCAAAGCAAACACATCATTTAGTTGGGCGCATCATTTTTAATCTTTTTGAATTTGTGAAGGTATGTTGATTTTAAAATTTACTCGCATGTAATATTGTATTTTAACATTCTGACTTAGTGTTTTGTGTCCGTGTATCAATTTTTTTTGTCTTGATGTCAAAAACATTTTAGTTAAATATAACTTATAAATTAGTGCCACGTATGTTTTATTTGAAAAAATTTTCTTCATTTTGGTGGAATTTCCAAACACAGATAAATTTTTGATGCATTACATGTGGAAAATACGACTTTTCTCACATCAATGCCAATTTACTCCAATTGTTTAATCAAAATTATATCAATACAGCAAAGTTTATTAAATTAATGTGTTAAGTCAAAATAATGACACGTCAAAGAATGTTAGATGTGCATGTGATTATGTGCAATAACTTTACTTTTTCTAACATGGCTTTTATCAAGACGTGTACAACATTTTATACAACATAGGACTAGAATATTCACATCGAAAGAGAGTATGAATATTTTATCTAGGTGATTAAATTTCGCAAATTTTGCGTTAGATATCTATGGAACAATTAGTTGCTACAGATTTGCATGATAATTATTTTTGTTTTCTTTCTGTGTCTTTGTTGAAAAGCATTTTTGATATTAATAACATTTGTTGATATTGATGAGTTTTTTAGACAATTACAAATAAATTTTAGATAATTTAACGTTGGAAAACACTGAACTTTCCAGCATTATCGCCAGCAATACGATGTAATTAATCAAATATTCCGATAGTTCATTTTAAATATTATTCATACAGCAGGTCTGAAAAATCAACAGGATGTGTCAAAATAATGACACGTCACAGAATTTCAGTTAAGCATATCATAAATGCGGAATGATTTTAATTTTATCTAACATGGCTTTTATCAAGAAGAAATTTTTTCCTCATTCACATAGTCATCTATCCTTTTATCTTATTCCTAACACAGATGATGACATAAAAACGTTTCGCTAGATATGTCTTTGGAAATTGCGCCTACTTAGAGTGAAAAGCTCACATTTTCACGTGATAGTACACATGATTTATTTCTGGTCTATAATTGTTAAACTTGCAGTAAGATACTGTCAAGTCCAAACGCTATCAAATTTAAAGTATCTCTGATTGCTGAGATGTGACAAAATTATTCTAAATTAGAGACTTTGAGATTAATTACTCTGAAATTCAATTTTCAAATAAAGATTGCCACTAAGATCTTGAGCTACCCAACTTTTTCTTGCTTCCCTCGCCCCTAATTAGATTACTTGTTTATCCGGATCAAAAGTTTACAAAATGACGAAACTTCATTGACCACGTTTCAAAGTTGGAACATGACAATTTGAAGCTCTGTTTATCGATTTTCTTAACTTCTTAAATTATAGATCTTTAATTTTTGAGCTATCTTACTTATAAAATGTTGGCTTCCCCGTCTTCCTTTATGATTATTTCAGTTAGTTTGCATGTAAATCAGGATGTTCAATAATTGAAATAAATAATAGTAAACTGTAAAAGGTTTATTGAAATAAAGCTTCCAAGTCAAAAATTCTTTGTGTTTACTTCAGTAAAAGTTAAAATAAGAAATTTGCATTTCATATTCTATTGGGTATGACCAGACTTCAATATTTTACAATAAAAACAGCAGGGGATTAAAATCAAGCATTGATTTAACATTCCGATTTCTTTATTATCAAGCAAAGCAAACACATCATTTAGTTGGGCGCATCATTTTTAATCTTTTTGAATTTGTGAAGGTATGTTGATTTTAAAATTTACTCGCTTTATGTAATAGTGTATTTTAACATTCTGACTTAGTGTTTTGTGTCCGTGTATCAATTTTTTTTGTTTTGATGTCAAAAACATTGTAGTTAAATATAACTTATAAATTAGTGCCACGTATGTTTTATATGAATAAATTTTCTTCATTTTGGTGGAATTTTCAAACACAGATAAATTTTTGATGCATTACATGTGGAAAATACGACTTTTCTCACATCAATGCCAATTTACTCCAATTGTTTAATCAAAATTATATCAATACAGCAAAGTTCATTAAATTAATGTGTTAAGTCAAAATAATGACACGTCAAAGGATGTTAGATGTGCATGTGATTATGTGCAATAACTTTACTTTCTCTAACATGGCTTTTATCAAGACGTGTACAACATTTTATACAACATAGGACTAGAATATTCACATCGAAAGAGAGTATGAATATTTTATCTAGGTGAATAAATTTCGCAAATTTTGCGTTAGATATCTATGGAACAATTAGTTGCTACAGATTTGCATGATAATTATTTTTGTTTTCTTTCTGTGTCTTTGTTGAAAAGCATTTTTGATATTAATAACATTTGTTGATATTGATGGGTTTTTTAGACAATTACAAATAAATTTTAGACAATTTATCGTTGAAAAACACTGAAACTTCCAGCATCATCACCAGCAATACGATGTAATTAATCAAACATTCCGATGGTTCATTTCAAATATTATTCATACAGCAGGTCTGAAAATCAACAGGATGTGTCAAAATAATGACACGTCTGAAGTTCAGTTATGCATATCATAAATGCGGAATGATTTTAATTTTATCTAACATGGCTTTTATCAAGAAGAAATTTTTTCCTCATTCATAAAGTCATCTATCTATTTATCTTATTCCTAATACAGATGATGACATAAAAACGTTTCGCTAGATATGTCTTTGGAAATTGCGCCTACTTAGAGTGAAAAGTTCACATTTTCACGTGATAGCAATGATCATTTTCTGGTATAATTGTTTCTGTGGTAAGATATAGAATTTAAAATATTTGTTTGATCAAAACCACAATGACAAAAAACTTTATGATGAACTGTCAAGTCCAAACGCTGTCAAATTTAAAGTATCTCTGATTGCTGAGATGTGACAAAATTATTCTAAATTAGAGACTTTGAGATTAATTACTCTGAAATTCAGTTTTCAAATAAAGATTGCCACTAAGATCTTGAGCTACCCAACTTTTTCTTGCTTCCCTCGCCCCTAATTAGATTACTTGTTTATCCGGATCAAAAGTTTACAAAATGACGAAACTTCATTGACCACGTTTCAAAGTTGGAACGCTGACAATTTAAGAGAAGCTCTGTTTATCGATTTTCTTAACTTCTTAAATTATAGATCTTTAATTTTTGAGCTATCTTACTTTTAAAATGGCTGCCCGTCTTCTTATGATTATTTCAGTTAGTTTGCATGTAAGTCAATGTTCAATAAAAATAAATAATAGTAAACTGTAAAAGGTTTATTGAAATAAAGCTTCAAAGTCAAAATTCTTTGTGTTTACTTCAGTAAAAGTTAAAATAAGAAATTTGCATTTCATATTCTATTGGGTATGACCAGACTTCAATATTTTACAATAAAAACAGCAGGGGATTAAAATCAAGCATTTATTGAACATTCCTATTTCTTTATTATCAAGCAAAGCAAACACATCATTTAGTTGGGTGCGTTGTTTTTAATCTTTCTAAATTTGTAAAGGTATGTTGATTTTAAAGTTTTCTCGCTTTATGTAATGGTGTATTTTAACCATCTGACTTAATGTTTTGTGTCTATGTATCAAGATTTTTTGTTTTGATGTCACGAATATTGTAGTTAAATATAACTTATAAATTACTTCCGCCCTACGTATGTTTTATATGGATAACATTTCTTGAGTTTGGTGGGATTTTCAAACACAGATAAATTTTGAATGATTTATACTCTGAAAATACCGACCTTTCCCACATTAATACCAATTAAACAAGATATATTTACAACATAAGTGTTTAGTGCAAATGTCATCGATATATTCTTGATTTATACAACTATGAAATGATCAATTGTTAAAGATTTTCATGATAAATTTATGTACACTCTGCATAGAAAATTCAATTCAACCGAAGATGACTTTCATTCAAATACTATAGTCAATCACTCTGCTGTATTTTTCCGAAACATATTATACAGTTATTCAAATTGAATAATAACTACCGTTCTTATCTGTTCAAATAGCACGTCGACGGTTGCTGGTAAAATTATAAATGAGTATAATTAAAACTAACAACTTGCACTCCTTATGTCTACAAGACCATGTGCTTTCTAAAATATGTATTAATTTACTTATATGAATGACATAAAAAACTGAACTTTATACATATCTTTTAACTATTGAATATCTCTTCTCGTAAACTATCATAATTCTGACATTATCAAATATAAACTTATGACAATTCCTTCTGGGTGTTTTGAAAAAGTAAAACCCTATTTTTGGGCTTACACCAGCAAGGACATACAATTTTTTGCATAAATCTTGGGCGTCAGCAAGCATTTTCGAAAGCGACCAAACATGTTTGAATAGCAGCTCGTTGCAGTGGGCAAAGCAGGGAATATAACGTGCATGTTTGCAAACTTCATCTTTTATTAGCACCGCCAACCCTTCATTGCTAAAGCTCCATCAAATGCCATACCAGCCATTCATTGAGGATGCAAATTGCAATGCACTAATATGCCTTTAACATATTTTAAAAAGGCTTCAGGTGATAAACCGACGTCACATGGCATGACGCCAATAAAATCTTCTAAAACGTTGTAGTTTTCAGTACAACGGCGAACAGAAATAGATAATTGTTCAGTTTTCGAAATGTCACTTGATTCATTGGAAATTATAGCATAAAATTTAGTACTATTTACTTCATTAAAAAGACTTCTTCTACCACTCAGCACCAATCTTTCTTCTTGGTCAACTAAAATATCATGAGACATGTATTGATTTTCTTTTAAAAGAAGATGCAACCCTTCTTGATCAATGGCTTTGTCTTCGTTAAATTGAATGATGTTCGAATCTTCTTCTGTATGACTCTGACCTGCTACACCCTGTGTAAGAAGTGTTTTTAATGTATTAAAATGGGCTACCAAACTTGTCGCCTCAGACGTTGCTGCTCTTTTACATGGCTACTAATCTGCAAATCAACTGTAGGCTGAGTATTTCTTTTCTGTTTAGTAGCATTCTTGTGGTTTTTGCTATGTTTGTGATCTGTTAGACGTTCTACGCCTTTCTTTCAGTTACAGAAACCAGTGGCAGATGTAATGGTAAATATTGTATGCTTTCCTGTGTTCTGTACACGTCTCACAAAATGCTGCTCACTTCTCGCAGTGATTTGAAAGCCATTCGTAATTTTTTGAGGCATTCGGACTGGAAAAATCTTCCTTTATTTTTACTTCGAAGGTTTTTGCCATCGTTGAAGTCGCTCATAACTTTGATCCATGGATAAACATTTGCCGTTGATGTTTCATGACCTGGGTCACAATCAATGCTATTAGGTGATGGGGTGGTGCCAATAATGTTTCACGACCTGGGTCACTTTTACTACTACTAGTTGATGGGGTGGTGCTGTTGATGTTTTGCGACCTGGGTCACAGTCAGTACTACTAGTTGATGGGGTGGTGCCTTTGATGTTTCATGACCTCGGTCACAGTCAGTACTACTAGTTGATGGGGTGGTGCTGTTGATGTTTTGCGACCTGGGTCACAGTCAGTACTACTAGTTGATGGGGGGGGTGCTGTTGATGTTTCATGACCTCGGTCACAGTCAATACTACTAGTTGATGGGGTGGGGCCAATAATGTTTTACGACCTGGGTCACAGTCAGTACTGCTAGTTGATGGCGTAGTGCCAATAATGTTTCACAACCTGGGTAACAGTCAGTATTGCTAGTTCAAGGGATGGTGCCTTTGATGTTTCGTGACCTGGGTCACTGTCAATGCTAATAGTTGATGGGGTGGTGCCAATAATGTTTCACGACCTGGGTCACAGTCAGTACTACTAGTTGATGGGGTGGCATCTTCCCTTTCTAATATTTCGTTATCGTGTGTCAATTTTCCACCAATTTCTTAAGAATGAAAAAATGATGCTATTTTTGGTTTGACCACTCGTATCAGCAATTGTCTTGTTCTTTTTATTTGCATCCTTCTTTGCTCGTAAATCACGTGGTATTGCTCCAAATTTCTACTTATCAAACGAGCATATTTTATTGTTTACAGAGGAATATTTATATAGTATTTATTACAAATAACAAATATTAT